TCCAGAGAGGACAAAGGAACAATATTTAATCACAGACTGTAATTTCCTACAGATGAATGACAGCGTGGAGGCGATACGGAAAACGGTCCAACTGCTTCATTTGAGCATAAACAGCGTTACAACGGCAGCTTTGCTCTTAAGAACTGGCACCAAAACAGGACTGGTACATCAGGATTTATCTGTAGTTTCAGTTGGAATTCGCTGGCCACCGGATTACACGAGTGTCAAAAGTGTGAGTTTGAGTTATCAGGTTTTAGAGCTGGACCTTGACCCGAAGACCCTAAACAAAAAGCCAAATATGTCGGCCTGCAGGTGGAAAGATAAGGAGACAGGTCAAGAAGTCCCGACAAACCCTCTTTGTCAAATACCTGTCGTGATACTTCAGCCTGATCCGAAGCGGTGGAGCAGAATTGTGAAATATCCTTCAGGGGGGCTGCTGGGAAATAAAACTCTTAAAACACGGACAGATATCACCCTGAAAGCAAAAAGCACCCGTGTGAGTTTTATATTTTCACTGAAAATGATCATTACAGATGCATCTGGTCAAAGTTAAGCAGAGTCTTCTTACAGCTTACAAAATGTAACCGAAACCTGGCCACAGAGGACGTCTTTTGCTTTATCCCAGCTGCACAAAAAATAGCAAAGAGACGCTGAAGTTCATGAGTTGCTCAAGCAGAAAAACATTCAACAGATACGTTCAATAATCACAAGTGGAATATACAAAAACAATCAGTGGCAGTGAGACGTTCCCCACAATTCAAAAAGCTGCAACTCTGATTTACAAATAACGCCGATCCACCTTCAATCATTTAATAAAAGTTTGGATATAAGACCTTTTTTTTAATACAGCAAGTGTGTCTTTGTTTTTAATGGGAAATCCATTTGATCTAATCCAACATGGTGTCTTTTTCAGACATTCAATGCTCACCACCGTCGTTGGATAATAACCAAAATGTGGAAATTCAGTGGTCTGCTGACCAGGGAAAGACTCTTCTCCCCCTTTTGAACTGCAACTTCCACAAATACTTTTACAAATCTATAGATATTTCTGATACAAAATATTCATATAAATATTTCACCATATAAAGGTCAAATGATGATCTGTATTTATTGACAAAGTGCTTTTCATAAAAATTGAACAGGAAAGTTTGAAAGAAGAGGCCGATTACTCCACAAACCGGACAGCAGCTTTGTCCTCGTTTGAGCTGCGACTGGCTGGAACTCTGGTGGGCCTTTTGCCCCAAAACAGCTCCCACTCAGGTGGGAAGGTGTCCCAGAAATGTATTCATTAAACCAATGCCATCCCGTAAAAAAAGGGGATGTTTTCATATCTTCTACAATTCGTCTGTTGAATTTAACATGGAAAGTGGCGACATGCTGCAAAAAGACGTGTCAAAAGCTGTTAAACCCCTCGGCATGGTTACAGTTAACGGCACATTACGAGCATCCAGACAAACCAGTCTGACCATCGGCTTTTTAACCAAACTGACCAGAGCTGTTTGGAGATCTCATGGACTGATCGATAAAGCCTCAACATGGGAAGCACTTTTTTTTTTTTTGAGCGCTTAGGGGCCTGAAAATGTAACACAAATACAACTGGTTATGTACAACGCATCCATTATTAGTGCTTACACTCACAGTTAGTTATGGCTGAAGCGGCGTTGCCAGGTGGGAGCACTGCTCTGCTGACGGGCAAATCAAAATGCTTTCAGTTACGTGTTCGCTATCAGTGGGTCCACATGAGTGGGTGGGGTGCTGATCGCACACGCCGAGGGGGCTCTGGCCTCCGGTTTTGCAACACACGGCAGCATATTAACCGAGAAAAAAAAAACAATCACCTCAAATTTCATAAATGTAACATGTTCAATAGCTTTCCCATCTATTATAAAAAATATCCAGGGTTTAATAATGCAGTTGCTAAATGATTAATGACCATCATGTTGTGACAGTGAGTCTCTAAAGTTAAAGAAATAATTAAGATTGGAGGTTTCATTTTCACTTTCAGCTTCGGTCTGTTCAATGAGCACTTGCATTTTTCATCTTAGACATATTTCGAAGGCAGTACCCTCATAGCGGTTGCTATGCTGCAATTCCAGCACAGCGGACAATCGGGCGACCGGAGGAAACGGTACCTAGCTCCAGTAAGTGAATGCATTTTGACCCAGTTCTGACTTGACATATCACAACAACCCAGATAATCACACCGAGACCAGACCGATCGGCCTTGGAAGATAAAGACAGTTAAGAATATAGCTGTTTTTCAACACTGGGAGAAGCATGTGAGGGATGGCACCACAGGCAAAGTGGAAAGTTGGGCCCTTTCTATGAAAGTAAAAAAACAAACAGGGCCTGGTTTCTCAAAAATCGACCTGTTTTTTTTGTTGTTTTTTTAGCAAACACCAGAGACCATAAGTGAAGGTGTGGACTTCAGCAGGGTTCAGAGGTCACACCAGTGAGTCTGCAGCCCATTATCACCTCTGCATACATCAGGGCTGGGGAAGCTCCACACGTGATAAAGGCCTGACAAAGACGACGATGAGTGAAATCTTCATGACCCCGAACCGTGGATTCCATCCCACAAAGAAGGCTGGAAGTTAAAACCTGATACCAGTCATTTCCTCATCAATGCAAACCTTAAAATGGCAGAAATAATTATCTTTATGTTAAATTGGACTTAATAATACACTGGGAACTCAGGACGGTAATCGATGCAAAATCTGTGTCCATTCTTGCTGACTATACACAGGATGTTATCTGATGGTTTCAGTGGGTCAAATGTGCTACATCTCCATGCGGAACAGTTTCAGGTTACATCTCTGGATGCAGCAGCAGACTGCAAAGAGGGAAAATTACTTTTCAAGGCTGAGCCCACGTGGTCATACAGACCTTCACTTTGCTCATCCAACAGTTGTTTCCTTCTCTGGACGTTACGATGTCATTTCTACAGAGAGAATATTTCCACGTTAGGCACCTTGGATGCTGAAAAGACCGACCCTTTGGCTGGTGCTCCTTTTATGTTAAATCCTGACACCCTAACCACCACAAATGAATCTGCTTGTTGTCGAATCTTCTCTAAATTTCTGCTGAATACATTTTCAACTCTATGCTTTCGATCCAGCAGAGTTTGCAGTGATCTTCACGCGTATACTCTAGAAAACGGTATGTCGTACATAATTCAGACAAACTGCCTGACATGTTTGAAAACCTTTAGAAAATACTAATGCCAATACCTTGATTTCAGCCTTTTGGACAGATACAGTTCTTTTTCACAGCTAGGATAACATTTTGGAACATGGACATTTGCACTATTAGCTTGCAACGAAATGAAAATGACATCTATAAATGTTTTGCTTTGCACGTGTATAAATCAATTAATTTGCAACTGAATAAATTCTTGAATGTTTTGAGAAACCAGGCCCATCTCATCCTTTCTGTTAAATACAGTCCTGGGCAGGAGGGAAAACATGCCCTCTCTCACCTCATATTTAGTAAAAGGGGGCTTCTATTAATAAATACAAAAAAACAACAGATATGTACATCATTAACTATCATAATACTTGCAACATTTCTTCAAAATGCCTTAGAAATTTCTTTTTGCTCAAAAAGTCTCAAACCTCGATGGTCGGTTAGACAAACATTATATAAGAATGATAAATTAATATACAAAAAAAAAGCAATCCAATACCACAGCAGTAACTCTGTTTCGGATGCTAGTCCAGGAGTCCGTGTTTCTCACAAAGCATTATTCAAAACAAAGAAAAACACAAAAACAATCTCAATGGAGTCAGACTTCATCCTATATTGAAATACAATGCCCTGGCATGGCATGGCTGGAGACTCAAACTCTTGTTTTCTTCTCTAGTGTGAACAGGTCTTTTGTGGAGTCAGCGAAGAAGGAAGCAAGTGGAACTGAGGGCAGTAAGTGCACTTTGAACACAGGCATGCTGGGATGGACTGGGAGCAAGGGGAAGTCTGTGGATAGAGAAATGGACAAAGCTGTTTTGGTGCACAAAGGAACAAAGCAAGAGGCTAAAAGAGAAGAGGAAGCTGGATAAAACCCAGCCAAACCTGCTGCTATCTCTCCTCTCTTTGACCTGGGAAAAAGGGCTAATTGAGGAGAGAGATAGAAAAACGGGGCGGTGGGGCCGGTGAGGTGGCATAGCTGGATTCCTACAGTAGCTGTGTCCGTAGGTCCTTAAACCATCCATTACTTGAAAACAGTCACAGACGTCCTTCCTCGCCAGCAGATTGGAAAACAAACTCTAGCAGTCTCCCCAAAACTCTACAGTGGCAGAGTTATCAACAATGCCTAGTACACTTGAGGCAAATTCCCTTTTCAGAGGAGTCTTTTTTTTTTTTTTTTTAAATCTTGTTCTGTATAGACCACAAGCACACTGAGGCAGAGCAGCTTTCCAACAAAAAGGATCCATAATGAAGGACAGGGAGTGGAAGTAACTGCCAGCCAACTGTGGGCAAAGACTTCAGAGGCCCCGTGTCACACTGGCTGAACTGAACTGTCATTGGATAGAAAGGGGTGACATGGGCGAGATAAAGCAGTCTGATTGGTGCTGTCAGTGGAAGAGTGGTGAGGTCAAAGGTCACAAACGGTGCTGGCCTGCACAGCTGCCTGACATTCTGTCCGTGAAACGGGGTTTCTGTCAGTGATGCAACTTGGCCTGCGGACAGAAAACACACATTTTATTTTTGTCCTGTAAGCCAGCAGCTTAACAACACGGCGAGTAAGAAGCTTCAGGTGAGCAGTGATCAGTGCCCTGTAGGCTCTGTGTTGGTCTGCCGTCGTTACAGCTGATGACAAACGATCAGATGAGAGCATGCACATGTTTAGCTGATGAAGTATCATCTTTTCTTTGAGTGTTTTCGGGCCAGATTGAGCCATATACAATTTACAGTTGACCTGCAATGAATTGCATTCTGTATTGTAAGCATCAGTTGTCGTTTTTCCTTTAATTGTGAAAGAAAAGTCGGTGTCTCACACATACCTGTCTAGGGGAGTCGGGGCCTGACGCCAGTATCCCCCCGCTGTCCTTGCCTTTACCAAAGAGACTGCCCAGCCCACTGGGCTTGCTCAGCTTGCTGGCCTTCTCTTTATAAGAGCTGGGACTCCTCCTCTTCCTCCCTTCTGCTCCTCCCCCGTAAGCCAACGGTCCTGTGGGGGGAGCCATAGGCTGGTGTAGAGTTGTGGCTTGTTCCCTGGGTGAGGAGGGTATACCGCTGGTGCTGAGTTCACGACTAATACGAAGTAGAAAAGGAAGAAAATGACCGTCAGTGGTGCTGGTAAAACAGTGGGATTTATGGGGGTTAGGTTTTCATTCATCACAAGAGGTCCCCTAATCCTGCTGCACAATCTTCATGAAGTCAGAGGATTTGCTCTGTTTGTTTACATGCTGCTCTTCTTCAAAGGACTCACTCTCTTATGGATGGATATTTTTTAATAGCATTGGCAACACTCACAATTTCCCTCATGAGAATATTAAAGGCAATTTTTTTTGGCAGCATAAGGTACTTATAAAAAAATACTGCATTCATTCCCAAATAAAAAGATTTAACAGGCTTTGTTTTGTTGTTTAAGCTTTAACGGCCTCCGGACTAACCTGTTCTGCGCGTTGTGACTCTGAGACCCGTCGGCTCTGGATAGCCAGTTGTTTGTCCCCCTAAAAAGCCCACTATCCCCACGACTGGGTCCCTTTTTCCGGGCTGGGGGGGCAGATGTGACACCAGAGCCTTGTAATGCTGGATAAAAGCTGCTGCCGTTCCTCTTGTGGTTCTCCACAGTCGGAAATAAGGAAGCGGACGAAAGGGAGGAAGAAGAGTGGGAAGGGTATTTTCTTTTCTTAGGTCCCGCCACAGTGTCTTCCGTGTCTTTGGTTGGACGACTGGCTTTCTGCATGCTGTTGCGAGCTTTCCCCTGGGCCAAAAGCTGGCCACTGGGCTGAGGAGAGTCTCTCGCACTTAGCACGCCAGCTGTGGGTGTAGAATGAGGAAACGTGGTGCCGTACGAGAGGGCGTTGGAAGGGGATGTGAGGAGAGGGGAGGCCACGGTGGCAGGTGAAGGAGCGGAGGTACCAGAGAGGGAGGGAAGGCTCTCAGCAGCCAGAGGCACTTTCCTGAAACATGGAAGAGAGGCTATTTCAATGAAGAGGCCACAGCAGACTGAAAAGGACTCAACTTTATGTTTCATTTTGTATTTGTGATTTTCTTTGTGTAATGTAATCAGCTTTCTTAAATCTCATCTCCTGTTTTATGCAGTTCTGGAGCTATTCATTTGATTTTTCCATCTATGAATGCTGCAGTTTGATAGCATTGTCACTCTTTAAACAGATATGTATAATCTTTGCTTGTTGCTTAAAGCAGGTTGGTTTGCACATAATTTCCTCTCACACAACTCCCACATGACCTGCTCATATAGACAGCGCTCCTCTAAAAAAATCTTTAACTTGCCTCCACATCTGTGCGTTTAGGTGTTTCTCTACCATGCTCTGGAGAGCTATTCTCATCCTGTCCCATCGTCTGTCAAACAAATAGTATCCTCTTCCCATGAGCCTGCTGCCGTACACGCAAAACTGGAAGGAGATGAAGTGCAAACGTTAATAAGACCCACCAAAGATGAAAGATGTAGAAGCAAATAAAAAATCAAACAAAAAGTGCAACAGAACAGAAACCCAGAAAAAAGTGGACAAAAGATGAAAACTGAGACAAATGATTTATATATCTGACAATTAAAAGACTAACAGAAGAAAATTATAACATATATTTAAATATGATGTGAACCATGAATATGTCTGAAAATAGTAAACAGTTTTTTTTTTTTTTTAAAACAGCATAATTTATGCAGATTGTTCGGCTTTACAGGACAGTTAAAACAGACAGATGAACTGTTTTCTGCCTTTTTCATGATAGTTATATATAGTAAATGTCAAATGTCAGTTTATTATTCAACAGCCGTTAATGAAAACTTCAAAACATTTGAAAACATTAGTCTTTTGGACTAAAAATTATACATTTAAGCAGTTCACCAAAAGGATATGAAAATGAATCAAACTGGGTGAAATTGCACATATTTAAAGTGAACATTAATTAAACGAAACAGAAGTCTTGGATAATTTAAATGTCAGGCCATGCGGGGTTAGTGGTTTCTGCATTTACCCCTAGAGGCTGCGGATGATGACTGGAGTAGTGCAATGTGGATCTGTCAGTGTCGTCCGGAGCCTCTGTATCTCCATCATCACTGGACAGTCGACCGTTGTCTCCTGCTGCTGTCGTCCAGCTGTGGGGAGACTGCTCCGGGTTGGGCGCTTGGACAGAGGTTGCAGCTGGGAGAAGAGGACTGGCAGTGGAGGTGGAAGCAGAGCTGCCCAGAACCCTGTGGATATATTGCAGAGGTATGAAAAAGAAAAGGATCAGTCAGGGTCAGTGAACTTCTTATGTCACATCCACAGTGGCCTTCCACTTCCTGTGTTAGGTTAAACCCTCCAAATGTTAAACCACGTAGAGAACCTCCAAGATAACTTCATCTTTCCAATAGAGGATGACAAACTCAAAAGAAAATAGATTTTTACTTTCTAATGAAGCTTCCACAAAGACAGTCTGTGTCTACAGCATCCCCTGGTGGAAAAATAATGAGACGAGCAAAGCCTATGAAAAGGAAAAACTAAGACTTTTTTGTCATTTCTGTTTGCTTATGCAAAACAAAAGAATGCATATAAATAACATCTAAATGCCCATGGAAATATTCAACTTAAACATCTTATTGAGAAAAAGACACAATACTGGCAATAATACCCCTTAACGAATATCAATAATGATGATAATAATCAAATAATACCAATAAAGCAGAGTTCTATGTGTGGTGGGCTCATTTGGATCATATATTCCATGTGCAGGAGAGGGTCCCACCTCGGTATGTGTGCATTGGCCAGCCTTAGCTTGAGTGTAGAGAGGGGCCGTCCATTGGGGCAGTGGGGCTTGCTGGGGCACGCGGCATCAACAGATGTGATAGTCTGGCTGCAGGCTTCCTTCCCTCCCTGCAATCCATCCTTGTCCTTCTCCCTTTCTTTTAAAGCCTCCCTCTCCTTCGCCTGTCCCTTGTGTTCAGCTAGCAGGATGTCAAAATGTTTCCTTCGGCCAGGAACGGCTCGCCGATGGGTTAAGGAATGAGTCTGCAGGAGTAAAAAGGAAAAAAAGAAAAAGCAATTACATATTTCTTCTTCTGCAATGCAATTATGCTGATGCAAACGCTATCCAACAGGCCTAAACGCTGCTCTGAGGGAGGCCCACAATCACTCGACAGCCAACACACGCAAACATTACCTTTTTCCTTACAGGCATCTTGGAAGATTAAGCGGCCAGCAAACATTTGGTTTTCCAACTATTATTTACAAAATGTGTTCGGAGAGGCAGCTGAATCACTGCTTTAAACAGGTACTGCAGCTTCAGGGGGGAGAACATTATCCCTTCACTCTTTTAAAGGAGCACTGAAAGTCAGGGCCTCTTCAGACTGAGCTGGAGAGCAGCATGCATTATAATCCTAAGGATGTGAAAGGAGGCCAGTTTAAAGCTGAGGCAAAAGTAAGGGCAATGCCGGAGCTTTGTCTCTGTGCTCGTCGTCAGCCGGGGGAAGGACGACATCTAGAACTGAGCAGGACATTGTTCAGGTAGGACATGATGGAGCTTTCCGATGGCTGGGGTTTGAAAAATTTAATTAAAGTTAAAATGTTAGCAAAAATAAAGCTGAATCCATTCAGTCTAAGTAATTGTGCGCGCATATAGGTTTTTTAATTCAGATTTGTTCCAGTTCCCCCTGCGACCCCATCAGGGAATAAGCGGTATTGATAATGGATGGAATTCTGATTTGTAAGATGCAAAAAGATCATTTATATAGAAATGCACAATGAGGTGAAATGTGGAAATTCAGGGGATTTAAAAGATAAATGAAAGCAGAAAGGTGAACTCTAGCATTCCTTTGCAGACCCTTCTCACTGGTAGAAAAAAAAGGTAGTCAGCTGTGTATTCCAGCTGTAAATGAACACAGTTTGAAGTATTTGAGGGAGCCCAAGGCCATGATACTATCCTATGTAAGAATTGAGTCCATTCTGACTATATTGTAGAGTGTGCACAACAGCTTAACCAAACACTGTGACAGCGATCAGGTTGGATTCATTGTTGTTGAGGTTGATGGTTCAGACTGAATCATCACTGTTGCGCGGATGGATTTTCCTTGTTATGAAAAATGTCACACGATGAATAATCTTTCCTCACAGAGACTGAGCTTCCTTCTAACAGGTTGAAACAGCCCTGAAGCTCTGCTTCATTCTGATTTTCTACTGAGACATCTGGAACTGATGTGACCGGACACTAAAAGTAACCCCCCCCCATGCCACCCCCTGAAATCTGCCTTTTGTTTCAACATGGTATTGATCTCGTGAAGATCTCATGTCACATGATCATAAAAGATAATGATGTTAGACAGGATAGTATTTTGACCTGCCTCTCAGACCCCGCCTCCATCTAGGCCCCTTAAAAATACATGAATACACTAGCTTGATGGATCTTTAATAACTTAATAACCAGTCTGTTTGAAAAGATTAGCAAAGCTTGGTAGAAAGTAATTAGAGGGCAGTAATAGAGTATTACAGCTAAAAGATGTTGTAGCCTCATCCAACATGTATAATTACCTCATCAAGCAAAGTGTGGGCCCTGTAATGCTTCATACAGCGTTGCTACCCAGCAATAACAGAGGAATTAGAAGTACAGACGTATGAGAGAGGCAGATACGGACAGATTGGATCACAGCTCATGTCTCTCAGCAGTGATGCTAGCGGCCCCTTCAATATCATTACTCTCATAAACAAACAAAGCCGTTTTCCCAGTCATGCAGCTGCAGACGGGAAGCCGGAGAAAGGGTCACAGACTCTCACTGTCTGTGCAGAGATGACACATAGGAGGTGGGGGGGTGGGGGGGGGGACTGCGCGTCGGTGTGGGACGACGTTACCTTGCAGGTGAGGGATCGCGTGCAGGGTCGTTTTGTCTCGGGGTCCTGCACTCCGCAGTGCTTGTCAGGATCAAACACTCTCCCTGTGAAACAAACGCACACACACACACACATACACACACAGTCAGCCTGAAAGGCCATGGATAATTTCCTCCTTCCTTCCTTCAAATATCAAATCTCATTTGGTGGGAGTGGTACCACAGCAGCCCTTTTCAATTTGCCTCTTTTGAGGCGGCAGTTCACTAATTTCTTTTCAAACTGATAAAAACCATTCACATAATCTTTTATCCCCTCCATCATTCTGATGTAGACTCAGACTGCGGTAACACGCTGTAATTATGAGAAATATGTCAAGTATCAAAACAAATGATCTGGACTGGTTTTTCACACAGACACAACGCAGCCCTGACACTTTCTTTACCTCCTGCTCCTTCCATCTATATGGAAGGAGCAGGGCCGAGTTAAAAATAACATACAGGAATAGGGACACATCTCTAAAGAAGAAGATTTATGTATTTTTCTCAGCGATGTCTGCAAATGGCAAAAAAAGAAACTGCATAGCATCAAAGAGGGCTGATCATGTTTAACTATCAACGTGTTATCAATACAAATAAGATGTTTACCAGCCTTTTTAGGTTTAAAATGTTTAAATTTAAACTTCCTGAAACAAGTCAAACTTTGATCAAATGAGGTTAAATTTGGCTGTGAAGTGAAGGTAATCTATTCAAACTAATTTCTTTATCTACTTATTTCAGGCTCTGCTTTATGCGTTTCACTGGTTAAACATGAAACAGAGATTTCTGCTCCAGTCTAAAAAACTGACACTTTATTTCTGCTTATGAAGAATTCTTCATAAAAGTAAACATTTAACCGATAAATGTAGAGCTTTTACTACACTGTGTACAACAACAACATAACAATTTTATCCCTGAAATAAAATTTTACATGCAGGGTCAACTCTTTAAAGGCAAATTTTACTGGAGTCATAAAAGCATTTAAAGCTGAACCACAAAGAAACGCATTGCCAACAAATGCAAGGAGACAGACCTTTGTTCCCTCACACAAACTGGAAAGCCAAACACAAGCAGTCAGCAGGCTTTCTTGAACAGTCTTACTGTCAGAGGGCTGTAATCTTGTGCTGGCCTGTCCTATAATCCCTGTAATCTTTCTGTTTGCAGTATCGGACAACAGGTCCAGCGAAGGCAACACGAGCAACAACGTAAACAAAGTCACGTGGCTCACACATGAGGAGGACGACGGGGAGCGCAGACTGAGAGGAGAGGACAAACAACACAAACTGCAGGAGCCGGAGTAGAGTGACAAACGAGATAATGATGCACAGAGGCAGTGTGAGAGCAGGGGGAGGACGGGGGAGGAGGTGGATGGGTGAGGGTGGAAGGGAAATGCAGAGGTGGGGAGAAATATCTCAAATGGATAAGGTGCTCTTTGGCGTCAGGAGCTGAGATACAGGCTAGAAATGAGAAGCAGAGATACAAAAACAAACAGCAGTCGGAGGTATCCTTCACAAATCTAATCTCCGAGCACAAGAGAGCTGTTTAGAACTAAAAAAGACGGGTTGAAGATGGAGCGAGAAAAAAGCCGGGTTAAATGGACAGAGAAGGTGAGAACTACCGAGAAGAGAGAAAGGAATTCAAAAGCAAGCATTTGTCTTTCCTTTTTCTGAACTCGAATCCCCCCCACAAACTAAACATCAGACTAAAAGCTCTTCAAAACTGAGAAGAAACAGTCCCTCAGGGATTATTCTAACGCACTGCCTCGGAGAGGAGAAAAACAAGTGAATGATGGAATGCTGAACTCTTCAACCGATGGCAGGTTAACCACCACAAACTTTAGGAGTTACTTCTGTGAGCTGTGGGCTACGGGCTTCAAATAAAAAGGATTACATCTGCAGTCACGCGGTCAAACAAAAGGACTTCTGACCTGAGAGTCTCTTGTGTGACTTGGAGGGAGCCTTAGTCCCGTTCTGCTGCTTCTTCTCCACGGGCGACAGTGACGATGGCGCTCCGCCGGGCCGATGGGAGGGCGAGGGCGAGAGGAAGGGCTTCCGGTCCAGCGGGGAGGGGGACGGCGTGGACGGCGCCCGCCTGTCCAGCGGCGAGCGCGCCGGGCTGGGCCGCCTATCGGGGGGCGTGATGGAGAGCGGCGTGGACGGGCTGCTGCTGCTGCGGCCGTTGGTCAGCCTCTCGCCGGAGCGCTGAGGGGCGGGGGGGGTAAGGGAGGCAGGTTTGGGGGTGGAGGAGGAAGAGGAGGAGGAGCTGAGGCGCACGTGAGACGCGGAGTCGGCTCGGCTGAGGCAGGGGATCTTTTCCAAGCTTACGACTGGTAGTGACACGCTGCAAAAACAACAGGAAGTGTTAAAACTCCGCACATTAGAGGGAAGAAAAGCAGCACGTGGCATTTAATCAGACTCCTGAAATGATGCGAAGAATGTGGCAGGTCAAAGAGGGAAGCAGGCACCCACCAGGACTTGTTCCGCGCCCCCTTTGGGGGATAGACAGCGAGTGGAGCCTTGCTGAAGCGGGAGTGGGGGTAATCTTTGGGGACCCTGAAGGCCAGCGGCTCCCCAGCGCTGGGAGCCACAGCGGGGGCCACCACAGGTGCTTTGGGCTTCATGGGAACCAGGGGGCTCCTGGAGGGGACCGGGGAGCTGTGCCGCTTCTCTGAAACGAGGGAAGACAAAAACAGAGACAATTCTGTCTGAGTAGAGTCGAGCGGACGACAAAAGACAGAAGAATCAGAGGCTCTTAAGCACCCGGTGGCTGCAGCTCTGGGATTTGGAATCAATTAGCCATCACCAACTTGTTTTTGATTTTTCTTACTTTGGCTTATCTTTAGAAAAAACAACCTCTTGTGCCATATGGCCGTGCTGTGACAAAGAGAGAAAATCTGTGCCACAACTCTGCAAAAACAAGTGTTTCCATTTTTATTTCATCTACTTCTCTCTGATTAGCAACATGCCCGTTACTATCTGAAGTGAACTCCTCCACGCTGCTGCTGTGAGAAGTTCATACCAGAGCCAACTGTTTTTAACACCTTTTGACCCAGATCTGACAGGAATACATAAACAAAAACTGCTGAGACACAGTAGGAAATGCACAGGGAGGCAAATTTACAAGGCTGTCGGCGGGAAAACGAAGGAGAGGAGAGGAGCTTCCACTTACGGTTTTTGCTATGCATGTCTTTGTGGGAGCAGGGTGGGTTAGGGTTTGGGGGGGTTGTGGTCCAGCACTGTCTCTCTCTGTGTCTGTCTCACAGGGAAACTATATCCCAGCTGCCTGAATAAAAACAGAGGGGTGAACACGTCGTAAACTCACAGAAATGAGGTGGGGAGAGAACACTGAACACACACTAAAATCATCTCCTGGGTAGCCAAGAATAATAAACAAATTAGGTTTGATGCAAATGCCAGGGTGCTCTGAGCTCATCTCCGCCTTAAGCTGCTGTGCAGGTAACAAGCCAACACCTGTAAGACGGGCTGGTGGAAAGCAGCTGCTGATTTCTGGACGAGGCCGTCAATTTCCTGCCTGCTGATAAGATTTGAGAAGCGGAGGGCAGGAAGCTGTAAAACTAACAGAAACCTGCCGAGAGAGGAGCTCGGGTGGGATATCATATGCGTGTGCATTTATCTGCTAATAAGGTCCATACATTCATCTAGATGTAAATGAGGAAAACTCGGCCTTACAGAGCCACAGTGTTGCACAGCAAACATTCAAACGCCACCCCACACCTTTCCACGGGCTTTATCCCATCTGACCTGGAGCGGCCTGCCGTGCGGCGTCCGGCCTAAAACAACTCCACTGAGCACCTGCTAATGTAAGTTACAGCTTCTTACAGTTTGCGTTTCATGATTTATACATGAGCTTTTTACACGGAGAAAGAGCCCGTTAGAGCTGCCGGTCAGTGGCTGATTCGGGTCATGTGGTAATGCTAAGCTAAGCATCTCCTGTTGTAGCGGCAGATCCATTTTTAATGGAATGGTTGCCCTGTCGAAAAGCAGGAAGGTGCAACAGTATGGCCGAGTCCCAGCGCTGCGAAGTGAGCTAACGCTGTGCCCATGAGCTCAGATATGTGTGAGGGGAACATGTGAAACCAGGGGCTGCAGCAGTCGTGTGTGAATGGATATAGATAAACATTATGGTTACTTTGTGAGCGCATCATTTGCATGTGTGGTTGTTTGTGCGGCAGGTGTGCAAAGAAGTCAGGCCAGGGAGGGGGCTGTGATCGGAGCAGAAGGATCAAAGTCCAGAGTCCCGTCCGCAGGTACGAAGCACACCTTCACACAAGAAAGCTCTCATTCAATCACCCTCATGGACTCGGATCCTTTAAGTCAATTCAGCTGTGGGACACACAGACAAACTGGAAGGTGAGAAGTTGATGCTTTCGGGCTTCTTTACCCGTTTCGGTTTGTGTTTTTCGATTGAGCCAAGAATACGGGAAATACTACGGCTGAGGAGACACCATGTCAGGTATTCCGTTTATATTTGGATAAAATAACTTCCACAAAGTCTTCGACTTTTTTATGATTTCATTTTAATGTATGGCGATTTTAATTTCAAACGCTTTGAGAAGAAAGATGAATGTTCTGTGGTGAGAATGAAAATGGGTCAAATAAAAATGTATCTTTGCATTGTGTAAAGCCTCTTTAACAAGAATACGCCTAAAATATATACTGGAGACAGTGAACTTAATTCTCATGATCAAACAATGAATAAAGCATGTCAGAGTTTAGAAGACTGATTGTGCAGTGAGACAAAGAACAAGAACCTAATTTTTTTCTCCAAAACAGCCTCTGATTTATGCTATTTTGTCGTAGAACTCAACCAGTGAACAGCAGCCAGCTGGAAGCTAACCATACTGATTTACAACACATGGACAAACGCCCAGGCAAGGTCACTAAGCCACTCGACCACAAGGGCGCTTTCCCCACAACAAGCTCCTGCCTGCCTGTTGTTATGGCAATGCTTAGAGCCCAGCAGGCTGCTGATTGGCCTCTGACTCATTCTGTGGGCGGAGCCAGTGGATGATGAGGAAGCAGAGGCTCTCTGAGCTCAGCTGAGTTTGTTTACATTGAAAGAGGAGAGAGAATGAAAGAGGAAGAGAGAAACTGACAAGAAGAAGGATCTTGTAAGTTTGTAGTTGTGTTGAGTTGGATGTCAAATGAAAACAAAGAAGCTATGATGTAAACAGGAAATGTATCTTAAGGCAGCCAATTGCATTACACACATCATCCTGGGTCATCTTAAGGTAATTTTAAACGATTAATGCAATCATACTGAATATCAAAGTAACATTTGCATTAGTGGGAGGCTACAAGAGAATCATTTGTACAGATTTCCTTCTTTTCCACTTACAAAAAGATTGTTTCCAAGTCCGAAAACATAACAATACATTATTTCCTTACCCTTTCATTTTGATATTAGAAATCTAAAAATTCATATAAAGCACACAAAGAAAGATGGAGTATAACAACCTGCACTTCTAAGCTTTAACAGTCATTGATTCACAAATATACACAACAAATCTCACAAGCGTCTCCACAGAACCCCTCCAACAGAAGTAGGAATAAAACCACAAAGCCATTGAGGAGGACACTTCCGTCAACAGTGACGGAAAACTCCAAGAAAAGCATCACTGAAAGAGATACAACGTGAAATGCAACCCACATTTATCGGGAATGGCTGTTCGTGGATTGATAGACTGAAATCAAACAGCAGCTCCTGGCACCGCGCTCCTCTGGCAGAGCTCTCTGCTGGTGTTCCAGCAGTAACAGCAAGCATCGACACCACTAAATGAAACTTGTGTAGTTGGAGGCAAATAACTGCCGAACAGCGTGTGAACTGCATCGCCCCCTCCCACTTCTGGAGAGACTGAAACACGGAGGAGCCCCTGCTCTCGTTAGAAACCTACCGCTGCTGGGATGTGGCTCACAGTTCCATTGATCCACAACTATGGTGAAAACGTTGAGAGGTAAACGCTTCCACCAAGGGCGGCAACGTGACCCTTTCATCACGCTCTGGACTTCACACGCAGCGGGCTGGGCGCGGGAGGGAGGAGCTGAGCTGATAAGGGCGAGGATGGAAACCACATGCAAGCGCTGAGGAGGCCTGAGGTACTTAAACACACCTCAACAAGCTCTGGTGTGACAATCACCTCTTCTTGTTTCTGGGTTCCATAAAAGTGCCCCAGAAAAGCTCTCTAAAGTACGTCATGCTAACAAGAATAACGTTTGCATGACTCCCATCTAATCTACAGATAGTGTTAAAATATAATAAACTCTCATTTCCAGTGAGGGAAAATGTCCCTGTAAACTTTTGATTGGGTCTCTGAGTTTAAACTCACAAGCACTACAAAGTATTTCTTTGCACTCTTCTTCTCTTAAAGCTCACTGGAGAGAGCGCACGGCTAACACTGCCATGAAGGATTTAGTTTATATCCCACTGGGGCACTTATGCTAAGAATATGCGTGCTTCCCTGAGTGTAAGGAGATTTAAATCAACAAATCCACTAAATGGAACAAGACTTGGATGCATGAAATATAGTTTATCTTAACCTGAGAACAGAGTATGCAGCGTCTCGTTGTTAGTTATGATCCCTCCCTTCTTTTAAAGCAGCAAAATGAGCAGCAAACTAAACATGTGTAACTAGGAGCTGCTGACCCCTGAGGCAGCCAACCCCCTTCTCCTCCCTCTGTGTGCATGCATTTCTGTACTTGCAAAGCCTCCGAGCTGCTCTGATGTACAGGTCGAGCATGAAAGCTAATCCCTTGATGGAAACACTCGAAAACAAATACAAGGCTGCTGCAATTAATCAAAATGCGAGTCAGGGTCACAACATTTAAGCTGGAGTTCCCTGCAGGAAACAATGGCGCAGCGCTCACGAGGATACCTCCATGATATGATGGAAGTGTGCGACAATGGCAGGAAACCCATAAAACATAATAAAACTATCTTGACAGGGTGAGCCTCCAAAGGCAATCCACTCAGCAGAGGTCATGAGAAGCCAGTTGCATGCCATGACAAAGATCAGTTTGGCATTTAGTGCTTCACATGAAACAATGACATAATTTACTTGAACTAAATGATCTAAGAGGGGCTAGTTTTAAATGGTCGTACATATAAAATAATCTGACGCAGTCCGCTATGCTGGTCAGCATCTGTTGTCTAATTATAGGCCAGGATCACTTTGTCTTAAAGGAAACTCTGGGGAGATTCCCTTTCCTGACTGCGTGTGTATGTCTGTACATCAGTGTGCTGCAGACCTGTTGTCACCTGACCGAGCACAAACTCTGCCAACAAAAGTAGGGGGAGGGCCTGCAGGGGGCAGGAGCAGGGACAAAACAACTGTGGCTGCCAAGTGTGTGTGTGCATGTGTGGGTCCCACGATGCCAGAAACTGGCCGAGAAGCTGAGAAACCGAAAGTGGGGAAGTGTTTGTACGCCTCTTTACACAAGAAGAGAAAGTGTGGTTGCGTGTGTGTTCATTAAGCGTGACTGTGTGCAGTCGCCCGCCCCCCCTCACACCCAGCCAGCCCTCACATCAAACAGACGACTCGGGCTGGTGTGCTAGACGCCAACAGACAAACCGGCGGGCAGATGCGAGCGTGCTCAGAGGGGCCACAACCCAGAGCAAACAAGTGGCGGCTGCACCGGGCGGAGGGCCGACGAGGGCCGGATCGTCACGCAGCCGTCTTTGTGAAAATGTGATTATTTCACATGTGTATGAGCAAGACACCTCGTGATAATGGCTGAGCAAAATGTCAGATATATCATTAAGGTTAATGGCTGAAGATTACAGTCTCCACAGCAACCACTGTGACATTTTCTTAAATTATGGAAAGGCGTATTCTGGAGCCACGCACACGCTGCCTCGGTGCATTTTAGTTAAAGTAACCTTCAAACAGGGGAAGTGGCACTTTCACCTGCGTGTTTCTACTTTTCATTCAATACAGAACTTTGACAAATCCATCTGGAGGAGCGCCGGGAGGGAGTGCCACCCTGCTTTAACAAGCAGAGCCAGAGCAGAGGAGATGTTCGGGAACGGGCTGATCTATGTACCCATTTGTCAGGTGAAATGCTTTTGTGTACGTCTTCACCTGTAAATTATTTAGTGTTTATCAGCGTTCAGATGCCTGCTGAGTATTAAAGGGCAGAAATGTGTGCCGTCTGTGGAAAGTTTTACCGAGGAGGGTTTTTAAGTGAGGAATATGACATGTTTTGTGTGTCTGTGCGATCAAGAGATCCCCCCTCAGAGCCTCGTTTGTGTGTGTTAGCGGAGTGTGTGCTTACGCCCGGAGGCTTTTTTGTGTGGGAAAAGGTCTACGTGTGCATCTCTTACCATAGTGTGTGAGGATGCCCTGAGGAGTGACCACCTTACTGCAGACATGGCAGACAACAAGACAAAAATCCTCCAGTGCTGGGAAGGGTCTGCAGACATGCATCTCTGGAAGACACATAAAGAGCAGACGCCATGTTTTAAGCAAAGTTCATTCACTCACCCTGCAGCTACATTCCACACAAGACATATGCAGGCTATCCACAGCCGAGGCGCGGTGGAATGGAGATATTTTTCACTGGCACCTGCAGCACACGTATGACACGAGTGCTTCTGCAGCCTCAGTTTCTGCGATCAACACGGCGGAGCTCCACGTTTCCACAGCGTTTGTGTGGTAATTAAACATCTGTAAGGGATAACGTTACTAAGCAACCACCAGTTGGTAGTAGTGAAATAAATGATGGCAGCGTAATCGACACCCCAAAGTGGGGGTCTGGTGTGATGCACACTGACTGCGTTTCACAGGTAGAATTAAAAAGGGCTGAAAAAGAGAAAGAATTTCATCTCTAGCATGAAGCTTTTACGGCATAGCAGGCAGTGGAATAAAGCAGGAGGGGTTAGTGCCCCCTTCATCACCACTGTCATGAGCAAAACCAACTGTTTACCGCACACGCGGATGATGAGTGTGTTCTCGTGGCTAAACAGGCTGGGAAAAAGAAACAGGAGGCTGAAATACAACCAGCAAGACACCCACCCAGTCAACAATAACAGAACGCTGAATTAAATATGGAGGAAAACAAATATATCCATTGCAAAGCAGTTATCATGTCCTCTGGCTAAGCTGTGAGAGCATAAAAAAAAGTCCTCCTGACAGAAATTGCTGCTCTTATTAGCACGGGGCCTCAACCAGACTAAGCGAGAGGGAGGCGAGTGAGAACCAGTTTCTGCTTGAGGAGAGGGTAAAGAAAACGTGGGTGTCTGAGTGCCCGGGCCATGCTGACCTTGCAGTGGCCGTCATACGGACGGGCGAGGAGGCAGGCGGTCGTGCGCGTGTCTGTGAGAGGAAGAGGAGGCCGTACAAGGCCAAAGTGTGCTACATTACAGGCTGCATGCATGCAACATGTGCCTGACGCCGAACATGACACTCCAGAGTGTGCGACTTACAGTCTGCCTTTACACAGTAAAAGGTCAGAGGAAGTTTCATTAGATTCAGTATTTAGAGATATGTCGTGAATTCTGCTGAATGCTTTATGTAAGGGAAGAGCTAAATATAACTGGGTTGATCACAAATTTGTGTCAACACGGCCACAGTTCAAACTCTAACTCTACAGTCTTCTGTTCAAACTTTTCTTCTGACATAGAGACTTTTCTGTTTGGCCCAATCAATGCTACAGTGTGGGAGTTCAGCAGGTATTTAAGTAGGTGGTCAACAAAGATATCTCAGAATGAGCGCTCACAGGTTAGATCTGCTTTGGTAAGTGGTTTCTGTCACCGCACGGCCTTTTCTAATCTGCGGAGCAAATGAGCTGATTTTCTCATTACGAGGAGACCGTCAAAGCAGCAGCCAGTCCAGCTACAGCGGAGAAATAAAAAGGTCCGCGTGCCATTTTATTGCAAAGGCGAATTCCAGCGAACACATTCACATAAAAGAACATGAGCAGTAGTTAAAAGAAAGAAAAAAAAAAACTCAAGAGAGCCATTTCCTCTGCATCTGCCAAGTCAAATGCAAACTGAGTGTGTATTTCAGCTGCCCGAACTGTGTGTGTGCCTCAAGCCAACAGCCGGACTCTGCCAACTGACTGACAGGCCAGAAAATGAACTACAGAAACGTTCAGTGATTGCAGAATACGCATGTTTGAGCCACAGCAACAACCCATTATCAGACACTGATTCAGATGAGAAGAAGCACGTCACTTCCCTTTGGCTAATTCATGTTTGGTGTCAGCAGAACTGCACAAAAAGCAACTATTACTCATGAAACTGGAGGTTTAGTCAACAGTAGCCAACTTGCATGAACTAAATCATTTGCATTCTGGATAACTCTGGAATTTAGAGAATGAAACCATTACAGCTTAAGAGTCTTAGAGAAGGCTGAAATATTCAACATGTCCTCCTGTTTAAAACACAAGTTATATTTTAAAACAAGCACGCCAGAAACTGATTTGTACATCACCCGAATGTCGGCTAGAGTAAACAAGCTGACAAGCAGCTGGCAGCTTATGCTGCAGAGTCCAGCCAACACACACATGCACGCAATTATTCAGCTCTTTCCCTTTTTATTTTCACCCCCCCAAAATAAATACTAAAAACCCTGGTGGAAGTTTCGCAGCTAAAGAAGATACTGGGCCACAAAGACAATTATTCTTTCTCCCAAAAGCTGTTACCGACTGGGAACAGTGTTACCGATAGAGGCAGAGGACAAAACCAAAGCAACAATCTAACAGCTACGATGGAGAAATGATCCTCAAACAAAAAGTCTCACAAATCATCTTAAATATCTACTTTTACTTTTTACATTTCTCACAACACTTTACATTCATCCCAGGATTTGCTTTTGTTTTGTTTTTTTTACCAGAGAACAAATACATCTTGAGGGTTTTTAGTGTTCTTACAGCAGCATTAATGATAAAGCTGGATTAGTCTTTAGCTCTTATTTGAAATCTTTGCTGCTTGATGTAAAACGTGCAGAGGCTGGGTAAAACGACTCATTCCTGCTCCAATCATTTAAACAAAGTGCTCCATTCACCTGGTGACTAATTTTTTTGTGTACTTGACAACCGGCACTTTCCAAATCCCTCACAAAAAGGTTTCCAACAGAAGAAAACTGTAAATCCTCCCTTTTAGGTAAGTGCGTTCACACTACGCTTAGTTTAGGACACATAGAGCAGCACATAAAGCATTGTAGGAAGAACTTAATGGCTCGGATGAATTCCATTTGCATTAGACAGCACAGCAGGCCCTCAGACGGCAGCGTTACAGCGCTGTCTATATCTGGTGAGATGATGACAGAGGCTGGCAGTCTATTCAGACAGAGAATCTGCTGGTTATCGTCTGCTCTGCGTGCATGTGTGAGTGTGAGAGAAAACCCTAGCTACCAATCATAACCTGCATCGCACATCAATTACTGCCCAACTGGCGTCACCGCACAAATGCGTGCGCGCACCGGTGCAGCCTCAGGAGAACACGCGCAGTAATCAGGGACCAACCAGCTGGATCCGAGGTTCACAAATAAAGCGTTTAGCTCCCTGTGTGTTTGGGAGGCCTGTGCGTGCGCGTCAGGCTCAGCAGGCCTCCGTGTCATGTTGCCAACCGATCAGCGATTCAGGAAACACCGCTCCCGTCTGGCTCTGACGGAGGAGGATGAGGCATGCGAGTGTGCGTGGGTGACAGGGAGAAAGGGCGGAGGGGGGCTCGGTATCTGACCGGCGAGAGTGAGAAGAGATTCCCCGGCCCTGCATGTGCGTCACCGAGCTCCTACGGGGGCAACAGCTCGCTCAAACTCCCAGGGATGACTCCAGCGGGTGGCGGCGCCACGCACGCTCCCGTGGGTATTTATACACGCCGAGGTGTGGAGGAACTCCTCTGGCTTAGTCTCAAAGTGGGCAGGGGGGGGGAGGGGCCTGCTCGCTGCTTAGGGACACCCCTAAAGCACTTGCAAAAAAAGCCCTGCAACAGTTTACATGAAGGAAATCAATGAGTCACCGACGGAAACGATGTGCCATCGCTGTTCTCATAAACAGGCCTCAGACTGACAAACGTTTTGTTTGGAGACCCACATTGCCCCAAGAGTATTTGAGAATTTTTAAAGAAAAAGTGACTTTAAATAAAAAAGACACAAATCTAATCATCCTGTTGTTTATCCTTAATTGAAGTATGATACTCTTTTCAATAAGTAAGTGACAAAACAAGCTATCAAAGGGCATCCTGTGATAGATAAATAAATACAAAATTCTCCCTGTAGAATTACTGCACTCTCAATCACAAAACTGTCTGAACGTTGCCACTTGATCCACACTGGGAAATTGATTTATAATATAATATAAAGCAGCAATGGCCAATAGCATTATGGAGATGTTATCTATCAAACACAGCATCTAAAGCCCTTCCTCTGGTTCTCCTCTCACCATTAGTGTTTCATGTGGGACACAAAACTAATGAAAGACACATCAGCTCATTCCTCGGGCAAATTATTTGAATTTGTTAAGACACATCTGTAACTATACTAGGATTACTGTCGCAATACATATTAAAAATACAAATATGAATGTCCTATTTCGAGTAAAAAAAACTTTTTTTTAGATAAATACACAATAGTCATTTTGATTACCTTAAAGAAGTAGTCATAATCAAATTCACTTACTGCGTTATTAATTAAATAATCTCAAAACACGTTATTTTTCGCCTAAAAGGAGATGTGTAATACTAAACTAAAGTATCTATTGTTCTAAATGTAGCCAATTTATCAGCAGTGAATGTGTTTAAGGCAGATAAATGGTTCAAATGGAGCCACTGGGGCTGCTGTACGTGTGGAACCAAACAATAACAAACCACCGCCGTGCCGTACGTGACAGCGGTCATCATCTGGTAGTACAACTTCCTTACCTTCTTTCCTGAGCTTCACGGTTTCCCCGGGGCAGAAAAGCTCTCTGTCGCCGTTGTCCGAGGACGAATCTGCGCCTGAGTGGACAAAACAGCCGCTTACAGACCCCCGCACGGGCGTTCGCAAACTAACTTTGCGGCCACGCGTGGAGCCCAGAGGGCTATCGGGGCTAGCGTTAGCCCGCTAGCGCTCGCCCGGGCTGGCTCACTAAATCAAGTGGAGCCGCGGAGCTGTCAGAGCTAACAAACTTACAGCTGGACAGTTGAGGAACGCGTCGGAGGCGCGAGCCCCTGCGCCGAAAAACGCTAAGCCTCGCGCGCGCGCACGCGCCCGCCTGTCAAAGCAGCCCACGAAAAACGGCGTTTTGTTCAAATATCTTGACAGTTACTTTGCTGCGCTTTGACAGACCCTGCATGGTGGAGGGAGCTTACTCAACTCAATCACAGACAGTTGGACCACGCACTTCCCGACAGTTTGCCAGCGAAAACAACAACCCTACCGGCGCGTGAACTTACTGTCAACAAAACGTAATTTAGCGGCACTGACGAAGGAAGACCAAGGCTTGCAGAGGAAGGTATCCGGACTTGGTATTTGGCGATCCAGTGTCGCCATTGCTCTTCCTTCTTGTTGCTTTGCTGAGAGCCGTTTTCCTCTCTCTCCTTCGCACGCAGCAGGCGAAAAACGAAAGAACGAGATATGGTGACGTCACGCTCGGCTGCCTTCGGCTCCAGTCGGTATCTGCCGGAAGGTTGAGAGGTTGAGCTCCACATAGGTATTCAGGGTTCAAAAGTTCAGTGTGTAGCTGGAAACACACAGGAGCCACAGTAAACAGGAACCCCAAACGAAGATTCACGAATAAATTAAGCGCAAGAAAAAGTATAAAATGATGTGAATTAAAATTAAGGTCCATTTCAGTGGGAGACAAACTGGTATGTAGGCTTACAATGAATGGACATGTAATGGACATACTTACATGAAATAATGCAGGTGGCAGTTCCTTTCAGACAGTATACAACATGAGACAGTATACAAGGATGTTGACCAGCTCCGTGTGATCGGGTTAGGGATCTCAGTTTCATAATCAACATACTACTCATCATTTAGTCTCTACGTCTTTTACCAAAATGAAGTTTTAGAATTGATTTTGATCCTCAGTTTGGTTGTTCCAAACACCTTTAGGACAAAGGTCAATTGACAGAACACATTGAAGCTGAACTGAAAACAGAACAATGCATTGATTGAAGGGGGAAAAGTGCACTCCAAAGATCAAACCTAATCAAAACTGTGAAGCATAGAGGCAGCAGCATCATGGTATGAGGCAGAAAACAGAATTTAAAATGTGGAAACCTCTAAAACAAGTGCATTCAAAAGTTTACTCTGACTACCTATAATCAGCAGCTAAGCAGAGGTTCTATATCACCAAGTAATACACATATAGTTTAATAAAGTCAGTGGTAGAATGATGTATGATTTCCTGATATTCTCACAAATATTAGCTTTTGTAAGAGAACTGAAGTAGGCTCTCCAACAGAGGTGCCCCAGAAACATGTAAGGGCTGAGAAAAGTTTGTAAAGGGAAGGATGATGAGAAATTCCTCATCATCATTGCAGGACTCATAAGCAACAAAGAATGTCTTAACCTTGCAGCTAAAAGATCCTCTGCACATCATAGCTGCATTTTGTAGAGCAGCCCTCTAATCCTGCTATTGCTGGTTTACAGAAAAGGTCGGATCAATTCTTTACTAATACAGCACAGCATTGATTCTGCATGAGGTTCACATCACATAACGATATCTTGCCAATGTTATTTTTGGAGACGTTGTAGATCACAACAACTGGATGAAGAGAGGACCATCTTTCCTCCTAACTCACACTTGACTACAATCAAACAAGCAAAAATGAGGAGACCGTTTGAGAACGGGTATCATTCTTTAATGTAGATGTATTTTTTTTATTAAATCTCTTCTTCATCATTCAAGTAGCTGACCTTCTATCCCCATGGTCAAGCGACTTGAACTAAAAACTAGGATATATTTGATCTCACAGCAGCTCAGAAGGCGGAGCTTGTGGCCTCACGCTGACCTCTTGTGGCTGAAAATGGAGACTGCGTTTCATCATGCCCAAAGCCAGAGAAAAGAAGTCCAATAAATCAATGAAAAATAATCATTCTGACATATTGACACTGAGGTAAATGTTTTACTTAAAAGTGATTAACCTCTCTTGTAATGTTGTGCTAGTTAGTAAAAAACATCAGCATTCACTGAACTGAAAATGAAGCAACCTGGCCAGAAGGATTGGATTCAGGATTGAGATTAAAATAACCTCATCCATATCGGCAGATTCAGAGAGAGTGTTAACACTGTAATGTGGAGTTCAACAGGACACGAATGTATTAAGAGATAATAAGGAAATGACACTGATTTCTTTATTAGGCCAGATCGACATACAGATACGGAGCTATCACACGCTAATCTGTCTTTGATGTCAACTCTTTTGTGTTATCCGTCATTTCATTTTTCCTTGCCTTCAGCCTTCTGTTATTTGAACACTAGAAGACGCACACAAAGGATGACTCAGTCACGGTTTGTTTCTCCACATGGTGATCTGGGACACAAAACAGTCACAAGATGACAAAAAGGGAAATTTTTCCTCTTTGTCATTACTGGTTTTGTGTAAATCATAGAAAAAAGATGCTTCAATATCTTCAAATTGTGAGTTGGAGTTCGAACTCAGCATATTTCAAACTAGTTTCTTTTCATTGTGCACTGAAAAGACTTGTTTTTGGCTAAGATGTAAATGAACAATATTCTCTCTAACAGGTCAATTAATGCAAAAAACATGAATCTTTATTGAAAAAACATTGAAATTGTGCATGCCACATTAAAAAAAAGTACGCATCACTCTTTATTAGGAAAGTTCTGCGGTTTAAGGCATTAAAATCACAGATAAAGATATTGCTCACTGGACGATAACCAATATACCCCCCCACACATTTTGCTGTCTCATTTAACTCTACTGTTGGGTAAAGTTGAAATTACTTACATCATTACCAGAAATAAAGAATGAAACAATGAAATAAGAAAATTAATCAAACTAACCATCTAGATGATGCTAAAAGTGAAAAATACAAAAAAAAGGCCAACCTCATTTCAGCCATCGCAAGCTCACCGTCTGATGTTGCATTGAGAATCTTAAGCCATAAGACTCTGAAGATCATCATAAACTGGTCTGGCCATCAAGAACAAACCTGATCCCACTGAGATATGAAATGAGGGAAAACTAAAGCTTTGGCAGAATAGCATCGGAAACACAAAAACTAAATGATGAAAGTTGTAATGACATGGTAAAAGAACATTATTACTACATTCAATGATGAAAGTAAAAAAAAGTACACAATCATGTGAAGATTTATCCTTAGTCTGGTACCTCCATAGAGGGCATTGCTGCTCTCGCATAGTTTTCTAATGTGTAACGTTTCAAAATCTCAGGCATTCTTCACAGGCTTAAACTAAGAACAGTAAAGAATCATATTAAGCACCTCAAGTGTCACAAACCAAACATGGCTGACTGAAAGGCATATAAAGTAAAGTTGAACTGGACATTGCACCAATTCTCATCTGCCACTAGATGGTGAAAAGCCTTTATCCTCCATCCAAAAATACACAAAGTGTACAAAAAAATATAACACAGGCCAATTTTATGTCTAAACAACAAAGTTGTTCTCTTTGCTGTTGTGCTGTTTCAGTTTAAAGTTTTTTTTAAGATGAGCTTTTATTATGATACCCTGCCTCATCATGAATAGTTAAATAAAAGTTTTAAAAAATTACTACGGAAGAAATTTTAAATCTAGCACAGTTTGTTGCCAGATCTTGTTATATAACTCGTATTTCATTGAGCATATTTGTAAATGTGTGGTTCGCTAAAACATCGGCAGTATCAGAAATGGTCTGGCTAACCAAATGTATCTGTTGTAGGAATTAGTAAAAAGTAAAGGCACATGGAGCATGGTGTAGTGCTGGTGGTGTCACTGAGGAGCTGTGCCCTCCTACTTTCAGAGCCGTTTCCGTATGCTGTGAATGTGCAGGGGACTCAATTTCAGGCAAGCAAAATTCCAATTTTGTCCTCATCGTCTTCTCAGAGCAGTTTGTGCTTGGGGTTAGAGTCTGGTGTCCGTGTGAGGCGTGTACGTCTTTATGCCTGGATTAAATGGGACTGTGCTTGTGTGTTTGGCTGATTTGGGTCGTTAGATTGGAGCAGGGACCTGCTGCCTTCCAGGCCCTGGCTGGGAAGAGAACTTCTGGGAGTGCCAACGAGTTTCCTTGTACACGAACCAGGCGTTGCCAGCCCAAACCAACATGTTGAGGTAGCCGAACACCTGAAAGAACAAAAAAAACAACAACAAAAAAAACATACGGTCAGTCAAATGCTGCCGTTGATCTAAAAAAGTCTGAAAACATTCAGTGTGAAGCTCATGTGACTTGGATCCTGTCCTTCAAGCCAACTTTAATAATGATTTCAGAGCCCTATGCTCCCCTTCAAAGTGCTGAAGGCAAACAGCTATCATAGGTTTCATATATTAACCAGCGGAGAGCCTCCGGTCGCCATGCTAAATGCTAGTTAACGGAACAGGCTGCACACGTAAAAGCTGTTTGTAGCCAGCAGGACTAAAAAAGATAAAGCCAATGTGTGCAGTAATGCTGAGGATTACTAAGAAATAAATTAATGAACCAAACATTTCTGGGTTTCATTAAAAAAAGTGGCAACATTTTTCATTAAATTTGAAGTCGGCGCATTATAACTTCCCAAATTCCCTGATCAGTATGCTGATAATCCTTCGGAAAACCATTTAATAATTAAAAAGACATTAGGCCTCCGAGGGCGTTATCTTCGTGGATGTGACCGGCTTGACTCCAAATGCTCACAAAGACTCTTTCTTGTTTTTTTTTGTGTGCCAATCAAATTAGAGCATGCTTTAAATTCACATAAGCATGCTGAGGTGACTGTGCCAAGAAGTATTAGAAATAAAGGTGGGAGGTGAGAGGAGGACTATGATGGCAGATTCCTAATGTGGCGTATTTGACATCAGTGTGGTGACATTTGCTTTTCACCTCCAAAGGCTAAACCAAACGCCAATAAAATGGGATGATGGCCATTAACAAAACTTAACGGAACTGCACATTTCCTGCTTTTTATCGCCCAACTCTTAGAGTCTCTGAGCGTCTCCTCACCACGGAGACGTTGAGCGTGCGCATGCTGGCGAACTCCGTGACCTGGCAGGTGACGTTCCCGCCCTGGCAGAGCGCCAGCGTGGCGCCGATGGCCTCGGTGTCCGTGGCGTCCTTCACGTTCTGCAGGCCCTTGGCCCAGGCCGACGAACACACCAGCCACAGGAAGACCAGGACCGCCGTGATGACGAAGTCCTGGAAGGGGAGGAAAAAAAAACACATCGGCTCTCCAAGAGTCAGCAGCTCCCACCAAAATCCCCCCCCACCGGGTGTACCTGTTGGATGGATTTATACTCACAAAGATTGGTCCGAAATCGGAGTCCTTGTAGACGTGCATGTAGCCTAAATAAACCAGCAGAGCCACCATGCTGTACAGGAAGCAGACGATACCGATGCCCACAAAGAACTCCGCCGCGGAGGCCGAGTCTCCCATCATGTGCGTCGTGCTGACGGACCGATTGCAAATAGTGGTGTTTCCCTCAATGAGCGGGACCTGGCTCAACCTGGCCGTGACACCAGGAGGAATGCGAGACGGACGAAAGAAGATTAAAATAGTCATTCTTTTCTTCAAGGAATGTTTTTATCAACTCCTTAGATAAGGGCAGAAATGTAAGATAAGATAGTTCTCTAGAGTCTCAGAGTGGGGAAATTCACATTGCTCACAGTGGCCTGTGTGAACGTGCTCACCTAAATGGGTAGTGAAACTGGGCATTGAGCGTCTCATTCTTGCCGTCACCGCAGAAGAGAGATATGACGTTCCTTCCTGAGTATCCTCCACAGCTTCCAAAGGCAAATATGGCCGTGAGCTGTTTACACGGACACAAAAGTGAAGACAACGGCACTGAGATGAGGGGACACAGTTAAATGAGGCAAAACTCACGATGCTTTAAATACCAGTAAACAGGATGCATTGCGAGTAGCTTTAATATACTGAGCAGAGGACGCAAATGCTAAGTGACCAATTGATTAGTACATGCGAGTCCACATCTCCACAAATGACTCCTAACAAAAGAAAAAGACCATTGTCAAATCTGATATCTTTTGAGGCCATCTTCCTGATGCTTCCATCCAGTTAGTGAATTCTTTCTTGGAGAAAAACATCTGACTCAGCATGGAGACCATGTGACGCTAATGCTCTCGCTAACAGCAGCACAGAATACATTCTTTCAGTGGTGGTGACTGAACCAAGGCTCAGCCCTGCTGAAGCATTCAAAACAATGACAGTTCATCAGGTATTTGAGCTCATTAATAGTCACCCTGATACCACTTTACACCATCCCTGACGATGGCCATGATATAGCATGAAACTATGTGGACTGATTAGACAATGTGAGGAAACAGTATCTTTTTCTCAATGTAAGATCACACACTAAACCAGACGTATTTATGTTGTCACATCAGGTAGAGAGTTATTCGAAGTGCTCAAGAAAAAAAAACTAAATGCTGAATTAAAAAACCCCCACAGATCAACCCAAAACACCAAAATCCAATAGGATTTTCCAGTCATGGAACCGACTTAAAGTGGGCTTTGTGGTTATGCAGCTAACGAGCTAAACAGGCATCTATTAATTAAAGCATAAAGCAACGATTTCCTGGAGACATCGAAGGCAACAGGGATGGTCTACTCTAGCAGCAGATCCACGGCGGTGAACGATTCAGTGAAGAGCAGAAGAGTCGGATGTCTGGAAATGCCCAAAAGATTTACGTCTAACATGTTAAACCGACTTTTTTTTTCTACTTTCTCAGCACAACGCTTTATTTCTCTTAAGCTTCACACCATCACATTCCACAGCCACACACACACACACACACACACGCCTCACGGCGTCCCTCCAGATGTTTCTCCATATGTCACTTTTTGCCACTTCCTGTGTTGGCTGCCGACCACAGTAAGCCACTTCCCTCACGTTCTAGTTTCTCTGACTCCGTCCTTCTTCCACGAAGAGGCCACAAAGCAACAGGGTGAATGATTTTAACGGCCAGCGTGACCCAAACACACACACACACACACTCACAGACTTTATGTTATACCGTTTGCATTCTCAGTGGCTGCATAACTCATCACAGAAAGAGCTCAAACACGGCCTGGTTAGCTCCTCATTAGATAACATTTTCAGAGTTCCAGTTTTGCTCCAGGAGGAGCTCTCTCATATCCTCCAAAGATGGTGAACACGCCGCTTCCTCCTGCCAGTCCTCCGGCTCTTTCTGCTGACATGTCACACACTTCTAGAGCCTCCTCGGAACCAGTTAAATGAATATTACTGAAAGTATTCGCTCTGTGGGACGGAGGGGGGAAATCGCACACGCAGCCACTGATTTGAAACAGATTTTTTTAAATCTGCACTCATGTGCAAGATGCAAGAGAGAAGTTTCTGTAGAGAACAAAATAATATACTCATCTATTTTGAAAACTGAGACAGAAACCGAAGAATTAGCAGACTCTTATCTAAGGAAGTCTGAGCTAAAGGCCTAAAGCCAGAAAGGAGCAGCCCAGGCAATATTTGTTCCATCAAACATTCCTTCCTGTTTATTACTTCAAAGAAGATAATATCTAGGGAGGATTGAGTTTAGGCCAAGGCAATTATTTACCAAGTAAACTGCTGTTTCAGAGCCTTTTTAATCTTTTTCAAGGTGGGAGGGTGTTAAGGACAAAATGTTTCATTTAAAAAGGAACCAGTTAGATTTAACTTGAACCTGAAGCTCTGAGCAAACATTTTCCAGCACGAACCTTTTGCTATTCATTTCAATTTCTTGTGCACATGTGATTTGTTTTTTTGGAAAGAATATAGATAAATAACTGGAAATCAGTTGTCATGAATTGCTTGGTAACCGTGGTACATTTCTACGAGCATTTGGTCTCTTTGCCTTCATCATTGTTGCATCGTCCGCGGATAAGAGCTGGAGGAGCTCTTAGGGCTGTAACTCTGCAGCTTTATGCCCATCATTCAGAACTGGGGTACGGTTGGGTCTTCTGAGAATGTTGGAGTAGCGGTTGTGAAACAGAAAACTGGGTCATCTCAGGCATGCTTTGATTCATCAAAACAATCCCTCTACATGGGCCTGGAAACCTCATTTAGAGCACGGAAATAGCTCTTGAGGCTCTTCAGTAAGCAAAGAGTTCCACGTCTGACACGAGACTACCTGTGCTGAGCGCCATTTTGAATGGAACTAAAAAAAATTGCTTTCACTATTCCTTTCACTTGTTGAACAGCTAGATAAACGGGTCCTGAGGGAGAGTTATCTTTTATTTACAAAACGGCAGTGTATTGAGTGGAAGAGCTTAGAACCAACGTAGCTATCTCTCCACAGTCTCTGTAGGGCTTTTTCTTATCAGGAATTGATAAGAAGAATTAAAACTCTTCATTTTTATGTGCTCAAACACCAGGGATTTTCTTATCCATTTCTACTTGGACTTGAGTTTCTATTTGGACACCAGTGTGGACACAGCTTGCTTTTCTGACCTCACCAATTGAACTGATGGAAAAGAATTTAAGCACTTGGTATACAGTATATCAATCAGTCAAAACAGTCCGGAGCAGTTTGTCGCTCTAAACGCTGACTTAGGCCACATTTTGTATATTCTAATTTCTCTCCATTTAAATGAGCAGAAAACCAAAGCTGAACAGTAAGATGACAGTAACAAAAACGCAAAAAAATCAGGGACTGGTTTTACCTTTCTGAGTTTATGCTCAATTGGGTTAAAAGAGCATCAGACAGAAATTAAAATATTTGTCACCATTAACTAAAATCTTGAGTGAGGTCTTGTTTCCAAATGCTGTTAAAAAAAATGTAAAGAAATTCTTTTTATGGTCACAAAAAAAAACAATTGTTGCAAATGAGTTTCTACTGTTTCAAAAAACTAATTTGCCATAATGGTTTCTTTCTTTAGCCGCTTTAATCTGATGATTGTGCAGTTATAGGTAGAGGTTCTGCTGGTCAGAGGGACCCAGTTTTGTCGTGTTTCTTTGCGCACACAACCAATCATTTAGTCCCTCGTGGGTAAGTCAATATGCTTTGCTAAATAAGAGTTACATAAAGCCAAAACTTTGAGACACACACACACACACACACACTAACCCACCAGCCTGAGTCAGATGACTGAGCCTTGGTGCTGTTGTGGGCCACTGGATGTGTGGCATTACCAGAAAATAGAACAGCTGAGAGGAGCTGAGCACTTTTCCTCTGACCCACTTTTATGGACCACAACTGGCTACCGGACTTTCAGGGACAAACTGTGGCACGCCCTCCTCAGATGAGAGGTTTCACTATGAGTCTGTTCGGTTTTCAAAAGGTAAATTATTGGTGAGGGGCGCATTAATCTATAACTGTGTCAGAAGTGCACTCCGTGCAACCGGAAAATCCAACTTCATTTGATTATGCGAGAGAGACCATTTTGTAATGACATAAGCTTCATATTCACTCAGAATAATCAACAATTACACGTTTTTTTTCATGCAAATTGTGTACAAAAAACCTCAGGATGTAAGTAGCCAAAGGGTTCCTGATACTTTAGAGCACATGGATTAAAAACTTCTCTAAAGAAGATTACTGGTGAGATTTTTTCTCGCTCTTAAGTAAGAGGGTGTACATTGCAAAGAAAGGATTCTAGGAGGGACTGGACCTCCCCTGCGCTCAAGGGGATGACATGTAATAGCTAAAAAGAAAAAGAGGGCTTCGACCTTACCCACTCCACCAGTTTAATGAAGCCCAGAGGCTCCTTCAGGGGCAACAGGTTGAGCCGAAATCCGGTCATCATGATTGGGAGATTCAGATCCAAATGATTTGTCCAGTTTTTCCACCCCTAAGCTGTGGATGATGGTCCAAAAGAGAGGAAAGAGTGGGAGTCGTTTGACAGAGTGACGTGGTTTTCCTGCTACCGCTGCAAAAGAAAAAAAAGACGAGCCACAGTTATTTGGGAGGAGTTCTACGATCCGACTTAAAACCAAATGGGGAGAAAAAAAGCGAAGCTTTGAGAATCCACTTACCCGAAATACAATTGGATTAGTTTCTGGAAATTTCAATAAGCAATCTAAACGATCAAATCTTTTGTGCTGGTGGATGTTTTCCTCCTGTGGAGCTTGAGAAAACGACAAGCCCTCTTTTTGGCTTGGGGATGCGCACAAGACGACGCGCGTAAAAGTGCTCCAAACTTCCCCTCAGCACGCGTCATGTGGATTTCGTTACAGGAAAATGATGCCAAAAAACAAACACACTGCAGCAGAAAAACCTTTGTTTCTCCTCCCGCGTGGAAAAGAAAGAAAGAAAAAAAAACGCCCACACAAAGACACCTTGAAATATCCAGCAGCTGCGACACGAACCGATGGGTTTTTACCCCAGAAAACCCATGCAAATGGACAAAAGATTCAGTTCCCTATGAGAGTCGTTGGCATATCAGTGTGGTGTTAAAAAAAAAGACACAAAAAAATGCACCGAGTCCCACTCACGTTTCACAGACAGGAGCTCCAGAACATGGAGACTTTCTGGCCCTTTGTCGAGCTGCTGAGTCTGCAGCTGCATGAAACGCCTTTCTGCTGCTCCCTGAGTCATATGACTCTCAGAGGAAAGCCAGAATTCCATCGCCATTCAAAAGGGGGCTTTTACTAAGTTAAAACATCAGCCAAGGCTTTTTGTTAAAAGCAAAAGTGAACTACATAAATAAGACATTCTCAAATATTTGAAAGATTCTCCAAGAGTTTGTTTAAAGTACATTTTACAATTACATAATAAAACCTCTATTAAGGGGCTGATTAACATTACTATGTATTAACTGTTTATAATCCGTAATGTTTCGATTTTGCCTCCACAGTCAGACATTCTTGCAATCTCAAAGCTGTAAAGGTATTTAAAGGATTTTCTGCTGACATTGGTTTGGAGTGCGGTTCTTGTCCCCGAGCATTTGAAGAAAAAGTGCTCTTTGTGGTAAAGCCGCTCTGCCCCCATGAAGCATGAAAAGGCATCTCACACCACAGATAGGATGGACAGCTTAGCAAAGAATGTATTTAGATAAGTATCTTTCGGAACTGAACAAAAACAGTCACACACAATTGTACACACTTAATTGTACAAGAAAAGCATCATCTTCCACCAACAGTGAGATTTATATGAACAGCTTTTGCAGTTTCCAGTTCTAAATTCCAGTTGTCTAGTCTCTAATTTCTTTTAAGCTATTTTTCCTCACATTTAAGTTTAAACTTTGATCTTAAATGCATATTAAATGGATTTGAAATGCATTCCATTATGTTATCAAAAGGTGTCTATATAAAACCAAGCTGATCTTTTCTTTCACTGGAGTAGCCAAGAGGCAACACTTGGCTGAATGAATACATCATGAGAATCTGTTTTCCAAATGCTTAGAGACTGCACACAACCCTGACCTCCAGCCCTCTGCTTCAGATGTGCTTCTAAAGCATAGAAATGAGAAAGGTAAAAGATACTATTGCATTTCATAAGCCTTTTCTTTACTCTGAATTACCCGTCCCACTTTGCAATTTATACCTCCTTTTCGCTTTTCAGTTACCAGCTCTCCTTTTAGATCAATGGGATTTCCCATCACAGTTTTACCACTTTGGTTCGGTTTCATCCTCTTTTAGCTGTCAAACTGTCACTCAGACTTGCCAGCAAAGATGAGTCGTATCAGACCTAGAGGAGAAATGGTGATTTCTTTGGCTCAGTTTGTAGGAATTAAACTCTAAGATCATTCCTCTTATAATAGCTGTAAATGATTATAATTGTATTTTATGGAAATTTTCTCCTAATGTGTTGGAAACAAGTCATCCAAAATGTGGAACACAGAACCAAGGGATCATTTTATGCTTTGTATTTCATAAAACAGGATTCGAACAGCTATTTGCTGCCTTTAAAAAGCAGCGAAGTGCTTTGAAATCAGTATCCCGTCTAAACTTTAGCATGTAGCAGTCAGTGGTTTAGCATCTACCTGTTGGCCTCTGATCAGAACCAGAGAGAAAACCATTCTGATTTATTGTAGAGGGCGTATACCAGATGTTTTAAAAATCTGTGTAAAATACATGCTTGGATGTTCAATAAAAAGGTTGAACGAAAAAAGAGTGATGTCAGAAGTCAGTTTCACCCTGGTGAGTAAAGGGGATTTTGACATGAGGTTTAAATAAAGAATGAGAAATATTAGCAGCTTTGACATTTTTCTAAATATAACCAAGTATCGCTGAGATTTCCGCTGTGGGTGGAATGCTAATCGGCTAACCTCCATGCCCTGTAATTACTCAGCTGGGGGGGGAAGACAGTGTGTCATTGCATGTGCGTCCAGACCAGGTGGAAACGATTTGTCCGTTTTCCAGGAAACACCTTTTCCTGCATTTCTTCCTCCATGCTGGACACTTCACTTCCTCGTCCTCTGCCAGCAGACCAGGGGGGCAGGAGGACAGAAACACACTCACCAGCCCCTCCTTCAGCAAGTAGAGCTCCACATCTAATGCACCACTTGTAGAAAAGGAAGTCAGAGGAAGACACCATGAAAAAATTCAGCCGATTCGAACTGACTGGGTGGCAACTTTAATCAATGTTTCGTTGACAATATAGCAAGTTGATGCTCGTTAAAATATCACTTGTGTTGTGGGAGAGAATTTGGAAGAACCAACATATACATACAATTGAAACAACAACAATAACATAATTGGGAAGGGGGGGGGAGTATTCACAAACACATTTTCATCCGTTACACACAAGGCATCCACACAGGACAACACACACGCTTCAAACAGAAGCCGAGAGCCCGACAGCCGCGCTGCCAGTTAGTCAAGCAGATTTGGATTTTTTTTCTGTTGGTACAAAAAAAATGGTCATTCCGACAAAAAAAACTAAAAAAAAAAACTAAAACAAAAGAAATCTAGTGTGGTCGTCTCCCCTAACCTGCTCTCTCTGCTCTCCGTCAAACTACTTGTTTTATGTACAAGTGAGAAGGCAGTATGGCCGCATTGTTTGTAAATAAGGATATTTACTGCAATATTTCTGGCATTTTGTCATATAAAATAATATTTCTCTGAGGTAAGAACTTAGACAGTATCAAAATAGTAAAATAAAGTTGGACTAAATGCACCCCATGATTGGAAAAAGGGCTGAAAACAAAAACAAAAAACAAACAAAAACAAGCGACCGCGTAATAACCGGATAAATTCACAAAACAGCAGCAACAGGTGCAAAAGTCGAGGGAACCTTTCTGTGTTTCAGCAGGATAATCTGAGCCGGGGGGGGGGGGGGAGAAATGGGAGTCTGGAACATCACAGGCCTCGTCCTGGCATCACGGGGATTTTTGACCGTATCCCGGTGGGATTCCGGCAGGGGGAATACTTTAGGATGGGACAGCGGCGGGAGAGTTTGGGAGTCCGAGATGAGCTTTAGTTTAGTCTCGTTTGAACTAGGACTAGACAGGAAACGGCCCCGGTGAGCACAGGCCCAGTGACTTAGCCGTCCTTTTGTTTAGCTGCCTCTTTCTCTTAGTTCAAATGCTAACACTCGCCAACTAGCACTTAAAGAAAAAAAGAAAAGAACGGCTGAAGCTGAGGTTGATATGAATGCATGAACAGAATATGAATACGAACAGCTGCCCGTGAACTTCACGTTGGAGCTAAAGTCGGAGGCCGTCCACAGCCAGAAGTATTCACCCCCCACCCCCAACCCTGCGCGAATTGTAAATGTTTAAAATTTCATGGGAATCCATCCAGTGGTTGGCAGCCACTGCACGACCTGGAATTTTCCACTCGAATATTTGGACCCCGTGATGTCATCAGCTCCCAGCTTCTCAGAGATCCCTCTTAAATACTTTGACTAAAAAAAAAAAAGGAAAAAAAGGCCAAAAAAAACAAAAGAAGAAACCCAATAAAAAAAATTTATGACAAAAAAAAAAAAAAAAAAAAAAAAAGAGGAGCCCTGAAAGGAGAGATAAAGGACAAAGAGTGTCCTAAAGGAAAAGGAAGAGCAAGATTTGATGAGTTGGTTTCTGACAAACATGTCCCCGCCCCCCCCCAGCCCTCTGCGTCTGTGCCTCTCACACGTTAAGGCAGTGATACTGAGGGCAATGCTTAGCTGGCCTCCGTCAATCTTCCACCCCCTGGCCGCTCCGGTTAGCCTCACCGACCGTACTCGCTTTAGGTCTTTGGTGCTTAAACATTGCCCAAAAGAACCCCCCCCGCCCCCACCCCTCACCATCTGACTACCACAACACTCCTCCTCTCAGGTACAAAGGCCAGAGAAATAAAAAAGGAAGAGACGTCTCTATTCCGATGATCGACCAGCGTGTTTGCATAAAGGATCACGACACAGTCCTTGAACAGAAGAAATGTCAAAACACACACATACACACACACACACGCACACATACACAAACACACGCAGATCAGGAGCGACACTTAACACACATTTAAACCCAGGAGCCACGTACATTATGTAATCTCTCATAAACACTTGATTTTTCATCTTTTTTTTATCCTTATACATCGATGTCTTAGTCTTCCACCGAGATGGCGAGGCATTCGCCATCATGAAGATCACAACACCTTAGAGTTTAAAATCCGATCCATGATTCAACGACAATGTAAAACATCGGGAATGGGGGAAACCTTTCTTCCCGTCTTTTTCCGAGCGGTAAGATCTTCATGATGTGAACGTGCGCCGGGCGGCGAATCAGCAAGGAGCCAATCACATACAAGCGTGTTCCTTCAGATACGCCCAGTTCGGGTCAAAACTACTGATTAAAAGCAAGAAATGTGGGAAAAGTTGACACCTCCTTTACCCATGATTACAGTTTCACTACCGAGTTGTATTAAATATCGTTTGTCATGTTATCAGTGCACGGCGGATGATAAATCGGGTTCCTCCTTCACACCGAGGTCAAAACTAAGTGGATTCAGAGGGTTTGTTTTGGTTTTTCTCTAAACCGTTCTGTACAGAATACACAGAGGGTGATCACTGGTGTGGGTGTGGCCTCGTGGTTTCCTTTCCGCCATCGTCCGCCTCCCTCCCCCTTCTCCAACCTACAATCACCTCGTCTGCGGACGCGCTGCCCGCCAGCGGCCGGCCGGTCACATTCATGTAGTAGCCAAATGCCCAACCTATTAGTGCAACAAGCTCAGGCTTGATCTGGTTTTCCGTCACCGGGACTCTCTAAACACTCACACACGGGTACTTCTTTTTTCTTTTCTTTTTTTTCATGCCCCTCCTCTAAACCCCACGGGGAGATTATCATCGATCTGTGACACCTGTGATTTCCTAATTCTCCTCTTCTGTCGCTCTGCCGGACAACCATCGAACAGCGTTTTAGAACCCGTGGGGGGGAATTCTGTAAATCTAAAAGGAATGGGAGATTTTTAGGCTTTTGGAAATGTGGGGGGGGGGGGGTGGGCGGGAGGGGGGAGGATGGGGGTATTTGCAGTGCACACACCTCCATTTTATATGGTGATACTGGAGGCAATAAGGTGAAGGTTGGACAGGAGGGGTGGTCGGGGGCGGGGGGGTTTGGGGGTGGTGTCGGGGTTAGAAAGACTGCCCTCACTGCAGCAGCTCCTCAAGCTCACTGTCTTTGAGCTTCGCATTGTCTCTGACGTCATCGAACGTGTACGTCTTCACGATTTTCCCGTTCTGAAACACTGTGTGCAGCAGGTCCTGCATTAAGAGGGGGGGAGGGGGCAGGAAGGGGGGAAATAAGATGGGAGGGGTGGTAAAAGAGGGAGGGAAGAAAAAAAAAAACGCGAGGTCAGTATTTATGTGCTGGAATGTGTCCTGGTCAGTTACTTTGCTGGATTTTTATGGTTTACGGTCAGCATTCAGGAGTTAAAAGCAACAGAAACGCACAGCAGGGCAAAGCTGCAGCTACATCCTGGATTTTTTTGGTGCGTTTAGTGTTTCTTTTTTACGTGTTTGAGCCAGAATAGAGACGCAGTCCCACCAGAGAAAACAGAAGGCGTCCTGACTCAGCGGGTTTTCGGATGCGTCAGTGTGTGCTCTACTCACCACACCGTACTCCTCCAGGTCTCCCTTGCCTTCCTCCAGGGTGACGAAGTCTCCACTCGGTGTTCTGTGCAGAGAGAGGCGGCCTTTCTTTGACCTCTTGTTGGGGTCTGCCACTGGATCCTTGAACACGTTCACCTGAGAAACGACGCACGCATGAAAACCCGGAACGTTTGAGCAGGAACGGAATGGAAAATCACCCCCTGAGTAGACACAGCGCTTTTTGGAGTGAAGAAAACAAAGCATGGGGGAGATTTACTTCCCCTAAACCAGCCTCCATCTGTTGGTTTGGAGAGGGCTGTGTGCTTTGCTTAATATTTACTCCCAGACTTGCGTCTCCCCGTTTTATCTGAACTCTTTACAGTGGTGGTGCTCACCCCGAGTCCATTTGTGACCACGTAGCTGCATTTGAAGGAGCAGTTGAGCAGATCTCTGGTCAGTTTCTGCAATAAAGCCCCTCCGGATCCGAAGGCAATGTTCTCGATGGACCACTTGTGCGCCTTCATACCCTCCACTATCTGTTGGAAAAAAACAGACGCATCACCAGTCAAAACCCATTTCTGAATGTTTGAGGGGGGGGGGGTGAGGAGACACGAGCAGCCGCCGGGCGTCCCTACCTCCTGCAGCGTGTTGATGTCCACTCCGTCTCCTTGTATGACTCTGATGTAAGGAGGCAGGACCTTAAAACCTTTGGAGTTCTCCAGTGGAGGAAATTTCTTCCCCAGGATCTCCAAAACCTGGATACAAAAGAGGAGAGGAGGAGGAGGGGGGGATGACCGACAGAGGAAGGTTAGCTTTCTGGACTGTTTGGTCTTTCTGGATGAGAGGCAAATTGTTCGAGAGGGACGGACCTTCAGCACTGTGTCCAGCGGGTTTCCCGAGTCTGGCCGGACGACCAGCGGGGCGTCCGCCCCGCGCTTCACTATCAGCTCCCGGAGGTCCTCGCCCCAAATCTTTTCACAGGCGTTGTAGATGTCGTAGCTGTCGCTCACGATGGACACGGGCACGCTGGGGAACTGCTTGATGATGTGCTCAAAGGCATCCTTCTCATGGTCCTTTCCCCAGGCTGTGATGGTACTGTGGAGGGAGACGCACAACAATGAAATACGACACATGGATTCTGCCAGCAGAAACAGGGTGGGTTGGCTATTTGAACAGGAACCTCGACACGTTTTTAAAAACAAACTTAACTTTAAGGAGCGGCTGAACGAGAGGCCGATACTTCCTCTTTAAATGAGAGAAACCCCAGTCACAAGACTTTGATCAAATCAAAATGGCTGACTGTCCAGCAGAGGGCGTCCTACTCCATCATTTCCACCTACACTGAACCCTGAGTATTTGAGGTTTTAACAGGTTTTTTTCCGGTAATTTACACAGTAAATGCACGGAACTTTACAGCTGTGTCTGATAGTAGTAGTGCGACACTTCTCTAACCAACCATGTCATCTTTTTAACCCTGTAGGGGGGGACTCTTTACATTTTACACATTTCTTTGAACTTCTTTACTCCATAATGTAGGTGACTGATCTAAACTCACATAAGTGGCGGCACATTGACACCATTAGGGTATTTATGAACACTTTAGCTTTAAAGATGCTCGATCAAGTAAAGGATGCTCTTTGATGGAAAGAAATGGATTAGGCCTAATACAAGTTCCCCATTAGAGGAGAATGGGTGCCAGAATGCCACCATAACAACAATGTTTGTTAAATAGAAATGCTATCAGAAACATTTTCCTTTTGACAGGCTTATTTTTTATGTTCAGGGCATTTCTGTTAAGTTTTGGCAGGAACAGCTCTAAAAGGTGACCGCCCCTCCCTTTCCTTTTCCCTCAACATCCAAATCAAAGTGGAATTTCACTGGGACTCCTCCCATTGAGGGAGAAACGAAACCGATTATACGAGGGGGCAATTACATCACAGTTGCTATGATCAAACCCCGCCATTCCAGAATGCAAGGTGTGCTGGGGCGGCAGCAACTGCCCCGCTGCCCCGCAGCAGGCCAGTGAGGCGGAAAGAGGAATGGATCGGAGCCACGAAAAACCCCCGGAGACGCGGGAGCTGCAGCCAGTCACAACCCTCACCTCCAGCCAATCACAGCCACTTTGGCTCACTAAGTGTGAAGGTGACCAAGTGTTTTCTTTTTGTTTCTTTTTTATAAAATCCAATAACACATCAACACCCCCCGCAGACAAATGACTGTCGGTAATCTTTGCTTAATAAAAGCAGCACTTAAAAAAAGCTTTGTTTTTTTGTATGTGCTGCTTTTTATTTGGAGAATGACTCCTGTTTTTAAAAAACGCATCACGTTTCCAGACTTGGCTTTCGGCCACAATGTTAAGCAGTAATGAAGATGAAGAGAGCGGAGGTATCCCTGAGATTATAATAACACGAGCCCGGCCTCTGCCCGTCATTAACACCACACTGTAATGCAGATCTACTCCGTGCTCCTAACCGTGCCCCTAAGCCTCTTTAAAAGGGGCCGGTGAGCAGGACGAGCAGACGTCCTGCGCCTCCATCTGCAGGAACACAAACTCCGGCTCATTACTGCTGCATAAATAAAGACGTGGGGGAAAAGGGGGTGGGTGTGCGGACCTGTGCTCGGCGGCGGGAACAGAGAAGCCTGGCACCGGGTCTTTGGTGCCGTAGTACTTCTTTATGACTCCGATCCCGGCCACCGTGTCGGTGCCCTTGAAGTTGACCAGGTGGGCGGAGGCTCCGATGCCAGCAGTCTGTGTGCGAGCAAAGATGTCAGGACACGCGGCAACTGGAAGCCTGGACTAAATATTTCATCGTGTTTCAGGATTCATAAGCCTGGAAGACCTTTCAAGATTCATTCGTTAGATTTATTCTCACCTATCTATCAATTTAGGATGGTCAAAACAACTTAAAGTGGTTTGAGTTCCTGCTCTTAACTGTTTAAAAGACTCACTGTGTTCTGGACCAGGTTTCTATTCTCAGATAATGAGCTCTTACTGTATGTCAACATTTCTGGAAAGGGAGCAAACTAAATCCCACGAACACTAGGTGCTATTATACAGAGGGGCTGTGGATACTTATAGAAAAACACACTTTATAAGCTGACTAACTTGACAAAGCTGATTCCAACCCTTTACATCTCCCCCGTACCTCTTGGGAGGACACACCCCTGTAGCCAAAGTCATGCAGTTTGTACTCGAGCTTCTCCAGGTTCCCAGAGGTCTCCAGGAGGTACTTGGCCAGGATCTTTTTTTGCTCTCTGGAGTTGGTTGCCACAGTGATGGGGTACCAGATCTGAACCAGGATGGTCTGTAGGAACGAGAAAAGAAGAGGAATCAGATTACTCCCTCTCACATCCGCTCTTTCTCTGCTGATTACCAGAAAACACAATGAGTCAGTGTTTTTACAAAAAACCTTTCTCTGTCAACATTAGGATTTTTTGTGGGTTTATTTTTAAAAAAAGAAGAAGGAGGAGAATTCTTTAGAGAAGCTGAGCTTGAGGGCCTGAAAAGAACAACGGCTGTCTGGTCCATTGCGGCTTTCCCAAAATTCAACTGGAACAAAAAGCTAAACTAACAGGCTCAGGGGGATCAAAGCCGCCCCCCCCGTTCACATAAGTCGAGCTCTGGGAAACGTGTTTTCCTTCACGGCTCGTGTCAACTCTGGACCGCGGTCAGAAATTTCAATGTGAAAACAAGTGGCTTATCTGTACTAAACCTAACATGGGAAATTTCCCCAAAAACACCGTTTGGGCGGTGAAGTGTGTGTGTGTTTTCTTTACAATTCTTTTTTTATACGAGATGAATCTGCCTGTGCATCCAGTCACCAAGAGGCTGCGTGGAGCCTCGCTGGAGGGCACGGACGGCAGGATTACAGCAGAAAACAAAGCTGTGCTCCCACCTCCGATGAGGAGAGGTCCACTGTCACGTCTGAAGGCCTCCCTCTGATCCCCCCTCGGCCCTGAGCAGGTCACATGTCTCCTCGGAATATCAGCTGTAGTATGGCCTCATGTGACTTTCGGAGCAGACACTCGTTGCCGTGTGAAGGTGTTTGATATTGATACGTTTCTTGGCTCTTTACCTAAACTTGTAACCGAACTGTAGCCTCTTAAACATGATTCTGAAGGCTTTTCAGAGGGATGTAGCGAGCAAAACGCCCACTCGATACACTGCTGTAACAGTTACCGTGAAATTATGCAACACCACAGGAAAAAAATGCCCTCCCTGAGTTTTAACTGCCTCGTTGGTCTTTGCCAGTAAAGTCATTTTGTGACAGTTTGAAAGGGATAAAGTCGCCGCCGCGGCGGCGGGTAAAGACAACACGCCCGGGCGCGAGAATAACAAGAAGAAACCTGCCAATGTGACTTCTCAGGGCTCAAACAAAATGGAGGCAGACAGGTCGAAGGGAGAAGAGAGCGGGAAAACAACGAGATGCCACACAGACATGACAAAGGGAAGAGAAAGAAGGACAGATGGAGGAGCCAGGAGAGAAAAAAAAAGCCCTGACCTACTGACGCAACCCAAGGACGCGGGGTGAACGCTACGGCTAATTTTACTTTAGCCCTGAATAATGACCTTGTGTGTGCCAATGCATGTATTTTTATCAGCAACAGACACTCAGACGGTGTGTATGTGTGTGAGTAGTGCGTCTATATTTATCAGGGCGGTGATAAATGTGCGTTGTCACAATGCTCTGGGCTGAGAGTGACCACACGCCTGTGTGTTTCTCTTTCCCTGCTGTGGACACGGTTATCAAATCATTAGTTAAAACACAGTCGGACTAACGAAGAAAATGACACGCCGGTCACAGGGGAGCTGAAATCTGTGGCAGACGGTCATAAAAACGGCAGGTGAGGACAACATCGTTGGGTGTGTGTGAATTCCGCTCAGCCCAGTCACTGCGGAGGGGAGCGTGGCGCTTCCTGCCGCGCCTCAACGTCACGCTGCTGGAACCGTATGAGCCGGATCAATACTGCCCTCAAGTCTGAAACACCACACTCTGCCTCCAGCTGCCTTTTGAAAAGCATCACATCCCATCACCTCATGTCACATGATCATTTAGAAGAATCCTAACAGCTAAATCCATCTTTTAAAGATAAAAAAAAAAAAAAGAATCCAGATGACGTTTTTAGACCTGTAGAGTAACTGAGCAGCAACACGGGGCTGGGAGCGAAGCCTGGAGGAACAATGAAACACAGGCTCCGTCTCTCAGAATGTAACAGCTAAGTAAACTCACTCGATGTGGCAGTTAATGAGATTGAAGGCGGATTTTGTTCGTCTTGCTGAAAACAACCTCTCTCATTGTGTGCTCCAGAAAGATTATCAATGAATGGGCTTTCTCCTTTAGAAGGGCTCAGACAGGAGCTCCAAAACGTGGTAAATAATGTCATACATCTCAACGCCGTTAAAAACTAGTCAGAAACGCAAAAGACTTGAAACAACATCATTGACAGACCATATTCTTGAATAATTCTTCTTGAAAATAAAAGTTGGAATGATGCCAACAAATGATTTTCACTTAAAAATCATAATTTTACTTACTAGAAATACACTGAACGGACATTGAAGTCAGCTGAATGACAACAGATATAACCTTGTGAAAAGTTTAAGTTTTAAACTTGATGAAGCCAACCCTGAAATCTTTCTCAAAGACTGAACCCTTGATATTTGAAGGACAAGAGAAATATCAACAGAACAGCTTTTGTTACAAGTTGGCCACAAAACTCGCCGGACGCCATCTGATCAACAGGCCACAGCCAGGGCTTGTTATCTGTCTCTGATGACAAACAAAGCCAGCCTACCTCCACCCAGTTGGTGAGCCAGTAGCATTCAGGGTCTGTGCTCTCCACGGTGAACAAAACGTTGCCTCTAGGAATGACGCTTCCCTCCGGCACAGCCTTGATCTCAATGGGCAGGTGTCCGTCGTACTTCTGCAAACACAAGCAACACAAAAACCATCCTCCTTTAAAGGTCGTTCGCTCTTTAAATCATCAGCTGCATCAAATAGTGAGATTGTTAAAAAAGACTAAAACTGGCTTCTTCTTGTGTGCAAGAAGCATTCCAGGAACACTAAACACGCCATAATGTTGGTCGTGCATGCCTGGAAAAGACCTGCCGTTCCAATAAAGCAGAGCTGACATTAAGTATGTATCAAATGGAAACATTACCGGTTTATCTACACCCACCTGACCGGTTTCGAGCTTGTCCCTGAATAAGCCCATTTCCCGGATATATTTTGGAAAAATGCCTACAATCCTGAGACTGTTTTGGCTTTTCTGGGCACGTCCAGCCGCCCCTTACCTCCAAAATGTACGTCCAGCCCTTCTCGTTGAAAACATCATCCTGGAAGTGTTCTCTGTAAACCTCCTTTGCCTCCTGAATCTTCTCGGGGGTGACAACTTTTCCTGAAGAACGTGGAGGAGGAGCGGGGGTGGGGAGGAAGCAGAGGAAGTCAGCGCAGTGCTAATCTATTGTCTACCGCTGCAATTAAATTAGAGGCTCCTGTGTGTGGAGCCTTTGTCTGGACACACACGCCAACAACCTCTTCTTTTCCCAACAAGTCAGACCAGTCTTCAAACCACAGAAACAGCTGAAACCAGGAAACTACAACATGTGTGACGCACTTACGTTAATTTGGACAGACAGAGTCGGCAGGAGCTTCCTTATCTTATCTTCCGTGTGAAATTCTTATGTGTGTAAGAATAAGTGTAGCAACCATCAAATGTTTGTCTCTGGCTCTCCACAAAAAGGCAAAAGCAACTTGGAAATCTTTCACAACTGCACGATTCCTGCTGGTAAACCAAAAGGGAAATTTGGGATGGAACCTGCCTGCTGCTTTACTGCTGGACTACCGAGCTGAGGCTCGTTTGTTTCTCTTTCCTCCCGACGTTCTTTCGCTGAGGACCTCCGGCTTTTGGTGCGCGGCGGGCTGAGGGACGCTTCTCTACCGGCTCTCTGAGCCGCTGTGTGAAGACAGCTGCTCTTTCTCCCTCAAAGAGTGAAAGAGCAGCTGTGCTTTTGTCTGGGCTCTGTGCTCTCCCCCGTACCTCTGCCACCGCGCCGTGAAATCCTCTTAAGAGAGAGACAGGAGGCAGATGCACGCTTTCCACTCGTTCTGTCTCCTTTGGTCGCCCTCTGAGGGATCACACCTCCTCCCACCCCAACATCAAACTCCCCTGACATGAGTTAATTAGACGATGCTTTTTTCATCAGTCCTCTTCTCTGAGAGGTTTCCCTTCCTAAACTGTTCTTTTCCCTCCTTTTTCTCCAGACCGTTCCTCCCTGTTCTCTCAGTAAATGGCAGCAAATCTGCCGTTGAGGGCATCAGTGGAAAACACCTGCCTCTGGATGTGGAAGAGTTTGCCTTTTCAAAGCTGTATTCAATACCTGGTTCCCTTTTTTATATCGGAGTCCTTTAATACAAACCACCAACACAAAGATCCAGAAGGAAGAGAGGTCGCATTGTGCAGCTGCTACAGAATGAGAGTGGAGCAGTATTGGAATGTGAGCCTTATTCAATTTGCGAATCTGACTGGAAACACTTTCTTTACACCAATAAGGCAAGGAGACAAAAGCAGAAGCGGCCGACTGGAGAGGCCAGACTTTGTTCAGCCGTGCAGTGTTTGGCCTCGAAAAGCCCAAAATCACAAAGCAATCAGAGGGAGAAGAGCTTACCTTTTAGGTATTTGTTGAGGATGTACTGCAGCCCGTAAAAGACGGTTTTGTCATATTTGACTTTTCTATTTTTGCTGGGATCCGTCCTTTTCTCCCGACACTCGAAGTAGGAGTAGACTTTACTTGTGTTGGGCGGGTACTGTTTGTAATGCGTTACCTGTCAAGAAAGAGCACAAAGGAGAGCATATCTCCATGAAAACACAGGCTTTGTGCAGAACTGAGCTTTGGGCTAACTGGGACTGGTCTAAATGCTGATTTCCCCTCTTCCTAAAGTAGAAACTTTTGAGGACATCATCTGCTACACACAGGCTGTCGGGGACAATGTCTGGTGAAACAAACCCACTGAGGCTCCCAAACGTTGCTTTATGTTTGCAGAACAGGAGTAACCGGACTGGCTATCCTACCATTAGTATTCTCATAAAAGAAAAAAACAAAACAAAGAACTTGGCACTTTTCTGAGGACCCGCTGAAACGCAGAATGCTGAACTGATCTGAAACTAAAAGGAGAGCGAAAATGCTCAGGCCCAACCATAGTTCTGGACCTTCCTCCAGAAAAGTGGTGGGGTCTGACGGTTACGTTTGTTGCCACAATAATAGCGAGGAGAGCGACTCCGGGTCATGACTGATAGCATGGCAGCCACCAGAGTTTCTGAGCTGTCCACAGCACGCTCAGCAGAAGACCACGTGAGCAGGCTTTTGTGCTCAGTCCCGTAATTCAGAAACTAAATGTCACAACTGAGGACAGACTTCTCCCCACAAAGGCACGTTCTCTTCCAATCTGTTCCTCTGATACTATTCAGAAACCCGCGTGGGTGTTGTTAGTGTACGTCTTATGTTATCTTCTTATCAGCTGCACACCGGCTCCTGAAAAACTGACCATTTAAATGAGCAGCGAGCAGCTGGTTCAAGGTTTCAGGCATGTCTGGGCATGTTTCTTGAGAAAACTGGGCAGAAGGTGAATAAAAAAAAAGAAAAGATACTCAGATTGAAAAAAGAAAAAGGCCCAGAGTTAGCTGGAGCCATCGGGGCATCAATTAAATCCCAAACAAGTTTAGGGCTTTCTGCAGAACTCCTCACAGCAGCACAGAATCTGCTGATGAATGCAACTTTTGATTATCATCTGCGACAAAATCATCAGGGGTGTGTTTTAGAATAATAAAAAAACCTCACTTTAACATTTTACTGAGGCTCTGCCAGTGCCAGCAACCAGCACAGATTTGTTCTCTCTTTTAAAGAGACTCAGATTGCAGGTGACCTGAGCATTAGGAATGGCCCATTTTATAAAAAAACAAACAGGTGGAGCGAAGGCAGGGCGACAAGAAACGCCTCCCCAGCCACAGCCTGCACAAACGAGAGGGAATAAATGTCAATGAACTACTCAGTTTCTTTGACCTGACTGTGTCCTTTCCTCCAGGCTTTCGAGGACTCAAAATAGAGTCAAGACAGTCAACATGACACTATGCTGAACCACGTGCTCATGCTCCCTGTCACACATGTTGATGTTTATGCATTTCAAACGCTTCAAAAAGCCCCCAAAAAAAGCCCACAGTTAATTTTTTAAGATTAACCAGTCGTTTACTACCCATACAGGCACAGCAGACTATTGAAACACTGTATTAGATCACATGTCGTAAAGCATTTGATAATGTTTTATCTACACAAGTCTTGTAGTTCATAATTATAAACACACATGACTGCATCTGCATGGCGGTTCGACCAGGCGCCACCAGCGTGATGGGATTAGATGCCAAATGTCAGTTCTGAACTGCTGATATCGCAGACGTTTGCTCTTCTACATGCCTTCCTGAGATCACAGAGCACATTTCCATCCAACGTCGGCCAATTTCTAAAAAAAGAAAGTGAAACTGTTTCATAGAAAAGTGAATTAAAATCTCTGCTTGGAAATAAATTAAATAAATGAGCGGAGGCAGCGCTTTCTGCACGGGACCATCCTGTAACCAAAATGTGACACTTTGAACTCCCCCCGCCCCACACACACACACACACACACACACACGCCCACAACGTCCAGAGCTCTCGTGACCAGCTCTGGATTGAAGGGTTAGAGAAACGCCGTGTTATGTAAATGTAGTCACGTGGAAACCAACTTGTGACTTTGCTTTAAAAATCGGCGTGAACAATGAATCGCTGTGCACTTTCCGCTAATGAACCATTACACACAACGCACATCTTTGTGTGTTTCCACCAAACGGGCCGAGCGTCCAGCGCCAAAGTGAACTTTATTTCCATGAAGAAAAAGCCCTTCACGCTCACTTCTGATCAGACCGTAAGCCAGTCAAACACCCCCCCACCCCCACCACACACACTCTATTTACCTAGTTTATTGCACAGTCATGCGCGTGGCAGACACACACAGTGGAACAACACCAAATCATGTCATTTATGACTTTGTGCGTAGCTGATCCCCTATGACAGCAGCAGCTTCCTCCTTTATTTGCTTTTGGGTGACTCAAGTTAATGTTTTACTGGACACTTATTTTAACTTTAGCCTCACAGGGCCTCACATGGGCAAAGATGAGTCATGAGATTCGATCAGCGGCAGATCTGGGCTTTACTTTCATTTCGCTGACATCTGCCATGTCTCATCAACTACTCATTATGTGTCAGACTGAAAAGTGAAACCAACCATTACCTCGACACCACACCGACAAAAAGACCTGGAATGTACCGTTACTCTAAAAACAAAAAAACAAAAGCCCCACCTATTAAACGTTTGAAAGCTCTTTCTGTGGAACTGCTTCAATTTGTGGGAAAGATCATGCATGTCAGCCAAACAAGTGAACAATTAAACTGAAACAAGCTTTTCAGGGAGATGAAACCGTTAGCCTGCCGGGGATCCAGAGATCAAAAACAATTCCTCTAAACCCTGCACAGGCTCCTGAAAAGAAAAAGAAAGCAAGCTTGGCCACATACTCACCTTCAACTTTGCCCACTTTCAGATTGAAATGTCAAAGGTAAGTGGGCACGGCTTTGGCGTAGCATGATATGCAACTTGGATGTGGGTGGAGCTGGATGGTGTAACTACTACTACCTAAAAGGGCAATCCTAATTTCTAAAGATACCCCAGCTTTTCTGGATATAAATGACATTGAAATAGTGGAAACACCTCCTCCATGCTGTAGGGATCATGTCCTAATACATCCTCATTTCATCATATTTCAAAATTATTGCTTCAAATGGTTTAACCCGGACATGGGCACACCTATACTGGACTCTATATTAGCTCCATTTATCAAATGATTGTCATCTTAACCATAATATGCCTCTTTGAGTACTAATAACCACTAAGATCGATAAAGGAATCATATTACCCACTAATGTCTCTCCATCCAATTGCTAAAGATATTTTTGTTGTCGTTGCCTTAATTTGGCTTCAAACTACTTATAAACACAACTAATTTATAGCCAAATCTGTTGCTCCTATACAAAGTCATTTTTGTTTAAGAGACCTCATTTACAAATTATTTAAATAATAAATAGATAGATTTAATAGATAAAGATTGCTCTCGTTTGGGGGTCAGCACAGCCCCCCCTCAACACGTCCTTTCGGTCATTTTGGCCTTTCCGTCCCATCAGCATCACAGTATGTGGTCACATGACTTTCCTACATGGCAACCGTCCCAGCAACCACTTGCTACGTGCGATAAAACATTTTAACCCGCGCGCTTCCTCTGTGTGTGCGTTCAAAACCAGCAGCTGCTCGTTATTTACTGTTCCGTTAGCTACCGAGTCGGTCTCCAGGTGACAGGTAAATCCTCAATTCAATTAACCGCGCACATACATTCAGCGTGAGGCTTTGGACCGAGCCAGCGGTGCTGGCAGCGACAGAAATTAGACCCCCTTCTCCTTTTAACTTTCGGTTTTGTTTCCTTTCAAAGTCGTGCCGGTTAACATATCACAGAGAAAGTGTGAGTGGGACACAGCTCACCTACAGTTCATTGGGCTCCCCATTGAGCATTTGCTAGCTAAAAGCTAATATTAGCTTTTTATTAAAATCAATGTATTCACTCTTCCTTCTGCGCTCCCGGTGAGCTAGCTGGCTAATTCAGCTAGCTAGAATACCATCGTGACTAGCAAAGCCGGTACACAGGCTCCATTACAGCAGCAGCCCCACTGATTGTAAATCCGTTAGCCTACAGAGGGATGCTTGCTTTGTGAATTTGGTACCCCGTCTTTGCTCGGGGGATCTCCTCCCCCAGCTCGTGTGGCCCGCGGTGAAACAACACAGACCGGCCACACGGTAGTGTGATGGCCTTGGGACTGATGATGAAACCACCTTGACTTTATCAATTTTCATTCCTCACGCGCAGCCCTCCACCCAGCCCCCCCACCCCCGCCCACCAGAACCCATTCTGGATACAGTACCTTGTACGAATCGGTCGCTAACAGTATGTTGAAGTTGGTGTCTCTGTGCTCCATCTTTCCCCCCTCGGTTTGTGAGTCAGTCGGAGCTGTCAGTGTGTTGTGTTGCGCGCCGTGCTGCCGGAGACTCCTGCCTTTAGTGTAACTGGGCAGAGGGGGAAGGACAACAGGGGCGAAACGGGCGGGAGAAGGGGCGGGCATACTTGCGTCACATAATATCCGGTATCCCTCGACTCTAATCGGAGTCACTCGGCTTTATTTTACCGTCAGCCAATCAGCTGAGCGCAGATTAAAAAAAAGATCGTGCATAAATATGAAGAACAATCACTCCACGCTGAGGCCAGAGTACCATAAAACCAGCACATTCTCCTCCTATTATGCCTCAAAGCTGCATGATATTGTACTTAACATGTATTTCAGCATTGCTATCTATATTTTACATAATAAACCTGTTAAAAAATCTTCATATCATTGCAGAAATGATAAAGATTTGTAATCCCTGAAGCCGGAGTTGACCCCCAGACTGCTGGTCATGGAACACAACAACACAAGAGAAGGTTCTTTTAGAACCAGCTACAATCACCAACTGAATTCACTTAAGGAATGAAAGCTAAGTGGTTTATTATCTCAAGCCAACAAGCCAAACTCTTATTCTTATTTCACTTTATTTTTTGTAGTTTCCATACTCACCTGATGGAGGCAGTGCCGTTTGCCAGAGGTTACATTTGTTCATGCACACACTCAAGGCCATGTCACCCTTCCTGCATGAGTCACCGTAGCTCAGTTCATACATAATTAAAAAAAACAAAAATTTAATCAAAATTTCTCTGGGTCACAAATGTGAATCTATACATAATGTATTTCATAACACATTAAAAAACTGAGAAAAATACCCCTGAGGAAACCACATACTAAAACACCGTATTTTCCATCTAATCTGAAAAACTCCATTCCTTATTGGATCTGATGATTTTCACATGATATGCATTTGTGTAATGAGGAGCAGTGTCATCTCAGGGGAATAACTTAACATCTCATCGCCAATATATGTTGGGAGAGTAGATGAAGTTGTTTAATTTCATAAAAACTACAGAGAAACTATACTTGGAGCCACCAGTAGGTAATTATCCTCCAGAAGAACTCCATTTCACAAATCTATGTAAGTACGTTTCAAGGCTTAAAGGACATTTGACAACAACCTATGATGGGGAGGATGTGTGAGCCCCTGGCTACATCACTGAGCACCCCTCTGTGGCATTCACCAGCAGGGCGGAGTACTGATCCGGATTTATCGTTATTCTGCTAGACTCCCTCAGGTTGAACCTGATTCCAGCATTTGGAAGATGCTTCCTTCAAGCTCTCTTCCAGGAAGAAGTCAGCATTATCATTTACTGGCAAAACATCAAAATATATACCTCCAGGGTCCAAGTAAATGGCTCTGACCCAAACTAACCCCAACAGTTGCCCTTCTCAAAAGTTAGATTAAAAAAAGAAAAAGATGATTGGAATATTTTTGAGGAGGCTGTAGTTACTGTTCAGGTAATGTGGATTATTCATAAATCAATAACAACATCAATCATGATAATAATGATAAGCCAATATAAATCAATAATGCACCAATTTGATCATCCGGTATCTTTACAGGTGTCGTTTTAGGACAGATGTTACTCTAAAGGAAACGGGATCAGGGACACCACGGCTCCGGTTCCGTGGCGGAGCTCCTCGGACCCGGGGGAGAGGCTTTCGGGACGGTGTGACATTCCGACCCAGGACGGACGTTCTCCGGGGCCAATGGCAGCGACTCGTCCGGGCGGCGTGTTCCCTGGAAGGGAGGGGCCCTACCCCGGGACAACCTGCCATTTCCGCCTGTCAATACAGCAGAGTTTGGACAAGTGAAGAGGAAGTAGCGCATCGTTATGTTCTGCTTTCGGTCTGCGCCCTGCCTGCTCCGTCACATGACAGAGCCGAGCCCCAGCCGAGGACAGATGTGAGGGGCCGGTTGTCCCCGAGGCGAGACCCCCCCCCCCCAGCAAGACGAAGGAAAGTTAAGAGACCATGCTGAGGCTGAGGCAAAAGTTCGACCTGCACAGAGATGTGGACTTGGACATCCTCAGGAAAGAGGCGTCGGTGTGCAGGGTGAAAGGTGAGGCGTTCAGGTGCCCCCCGACTCCAAAACAAACAGCCAAACTAAAAGGGGATGCGTTCGAGTAAAGTGTTTTGGAATAATCTTTACCACACACGCGTTGCAGTTGTACGGTCATTTCTGAAAGTCGTGGCTTTGGTCTGCAGTTTCAGACAGTTTTTAGCTGCAAAATTCAGAACAGCCGTGATTTGTAGTGTTTTGCTCGTTAAACAGCAGGGGGCGCTATTGAATCACTTAGCAAAGACACAAAGTAACAGAATGAAGTATGAGTTTAAATAAAATGCATTTTTATGGGAGAATATCTTGATATATGGGAACTTAACACATACAAAATATATTACCAATAACATCATGATAAATAATGATAAAAACATACTTATAACACAGCAGTGCACACTCAGATTCCTGAGATCATTTTCCTAAATAACTGTGTATTTGTTAGCATGCACAAACAAACAGCTGTATTAATATTAATGAGCTCCTTTGGGATGTAAAAGGTAAAACAATGCTCCTCTGCCTTCAGAATATTCAGAAGCTGTGGACACTCGTATCCTGAACATTGAGAGCGACGGGACCATCCTTTATTCCTGGAAGGTAACTATGTTTTATGTATATTTAATGTCTCCAATGCTTTAGTTGATATTATTACACATATCTACATTAATCCAGAAGCCTTGTGAGACATCTTGTATCAGCCAGCCACTTTATTTTTATATCAAATGGTAAACTTGTTATTTTTCTGACTTAATTCAGGCAACATGAATTTCAATACACCTGCAGCGGCTCAGTTGTCTTTATTAAACATGATCTTTGCCTTTCACAGCTCTCAAGTGGCTCTTCTATTAGATACAACTTAAAATAGCTTTTTTAACGCAATATGTACTTAACCATTCAAAGGAGAAGCTGTTTTATAGCATCTCTGCAATTCAATTCTATCTGGGCACTATTTAATGAAAGATTCAGCTGTCTTTTGATTGGGCCATGTATCAGCTTGACACATTTGTTATTTTTGGAAGCCGTGCTGGTACTGCAAACTGTAAGTTTGTGTGCTCAGTCGCACTCTGCACAGCATGAATTTTTAATGACGGGCCCTCTGAAGACTGTGAGGCTGCAGGAGGTTAAAGGGAGTGTGCAGCCTGCAAAGACTGAGACTAATCTTCTTTTTTTTAGTGCCTAGTTCGTAGTTTTCTGCGTGCCCCCCAGTGCTTCGGTTGTCAGAACAGGCCTTTTATTTTTAATCTTCTCGACCCGATGTGAAATGTGGTGAAATGCGGGTTTGAAGTGCAGGTCTAGTTGGGATAATCAGGTAATAAAGAGGTTAGCCGTGACTGATGTGGGAAAGTAGGGTTACTCACTCCAGAGAGATTAGGATTACCCGTCTGAGTGGATGCATTGATTTAATGACACGCCATTGAACCGGACACTTCTGCTCTGCTTTCACAGGGAGTTACAGGCACAACCAGGATCGGGAAATATGACTCCAGTACCAAACAGAACAAGGTGCTGTGTGCATCTATTAGGTTGCTGATTGTTGCTTTTGTGCACGTGCTTGCGTCTTCCCACATTCACTGTGTGTTTTCCCTCTTAACAGCTCCTCTACACATTTGACAAACAGGTGTGTGTCAGCAGCTGCTCGCTGAACAAGGAGGAGACGCTGCTAGGTGGGTCTCATGTCTGCACAGATAAAGATTTATCCACTACAGATGCTGTTAACAGTATCACGTCCTTGACCTCAGATCATATTTAAACACCATTTAAAGAGTAGTGGTTTAACGCAGTTTTTTTTTGTTGTTGTGAAAAAAAGGCATGAATTCGGTGACATGACTCCACACCTCTGCTTCTGTCCCCCCCCATTAGCTGTCAGCTTGGCCCAAAATACTGGAGTTGAAGAACGCCTCAAACCAAGTAACACAGAATTTTTTTGGACTTTCAATGCAGCATTTTCAAAAAGGTCTTTTGAATATCCCCTAAAGCCTTTTTTGTCTTTGTAGTATCAAAGTGTCTGACTCTGCTGATAGAAATTCGCCCTATAAACAACACTAAAGTCCTCAAAGCAGTGGACTGCAGAGTCAAAGTGCAGGTACAGTGTGTGTGTGTGTGTGTGTGTGTGTTGCTTTTACCACTTTGTTGGGGTTTTACTGCAACCACAAGATGATGTTGCAATTACTCTGAATCTCAGCTCAGAGTATATACAAAATTTATGAGCTCATAGAAAGTTTACTGGCCTTTAGTTTCTGGTTTTTAATATCACTTTTTCAAAATTTATATCAACAGATAAATATCTGTGGGATCCTTGAAATGAGGCACTTAGCAGACTGAACACCCTGATTGAATTTTAGTCTCTCCAATTTGTACCGAATGTCTATTCAGCTCTGTGGAGAAGTCCTCTGCTGCTTAACCTTTGCTTTTAGAGTTTTCTATAAAGGAGTTACTTTTTTTGCAATATTTCAAAGTGTTTTTTTTTGGGAGGTACATTGGCTGTTTTTTAACTCCAGTTCTATTTTGTTAGTTTAAACATTTAAGACTAACCTATGAATCAGTTAAGCATAAAAATGTACCAAACTCAAGAGAAGAAACAGCATTCTGTCAACATATAACAGATAACTTAGAGAAGAAGCAGTTCTCCAAAGGGTTTTTAGTTTCTTTTTGTAGGCATCTGCAGAAAAATGCCTTAGACAATAGTCTGACAGACCAAAAGGTTTGGAGGATTAAATAAGTAATGGAGACTTTAAAAAGATCTTTACTGCAGATGAAGGGGGATCTGAAAGAGTCTTCAAAAGATCAGGATAGGATAAGATTTCATATTTCATATGTTTGCAGACTGATGGGACCATGATGCTAAAAGTTGGGCCACTTTTTCTTTCTGATAAATGTAATAAATCCCTTATTTAAGTTATGTGTTTCTCTCATAGTTTCTCCATCAAGAAACGGACAGGAAATCAGTGCCGGAGAGCCATCTGCTGTTGTTCACTGAAGACGGATGTAAGCCTTTGTGCGCTTAAACTTTTCTGTCTGTTCAAGCTTTTATAGCTTATGTGTATTAGTTATCTGCAAAAAAAACATCACTAAAAGGATAGATAAAATAGACTGGAATGGTTCTCAAGTGCCTAATTATCCTTCTCTGTGTTTCAGATGTGGATCTATACCATGTGCTGCTCAGCAAACAGGAGGGTTACAGAGTGGTAGGTTGCAAAGTGCTCCTCTTTTTTCTCAAATCAATGGAGTGTTTGTGGTTCCATGAGACACGCTATAAATTGCATTCAGGATTCTCCGGCTGGTCGGCCCTGTGCAATTCTGTTTGCCCAGAATGCACACTGAATAATTAGGAAGTCAAACAGTTGTATCTTCACAAGCTCAGCGCAAAGAAAATATCCCCAGTGCCCTGAGTGAGTTTTCCTCTCCCTGCAAAGCAGAATATGAATGTGTGTGTGTGTGTTTTTGTGCACCAGGTGATGGCAAATCCCGAACGCTTGAACAAAACAGCCGAGAGAATCGTGGAGGACTTCTGCTGGGTCCAGTGGGACGGACACACACAGAGACTCTACTATCTTACGCTGAAGGTGCTGCATCTGAGTGCACGTGTCAGGACGTTGCTTTATGCACATTTGGCTGTAAATTGCATATGAACTCAGAATGTGCAAAATGTGTCTGATAGGAAAAGTTCCTGCTGCGATGCATCCAGTTCTACCCAAACCATTACTGCGAAACAGTGGTAGGCTATCGGAAAATTATTGTAGTTAATTGAAATACAAGTGTTTGTACAGCCTTTTTTTGTTGTTGCTATTTGCCTGTTTGGAATAAAATCTCATTCTTCTTGTTCATGTCCAACAGTTGGAGCTCATTGTAGAGATGCCTGCAAACTCTTTCCGCAAAGTCAAGTATGGATACATGTGGTGGCATATTTACATTGACACAGATTGTTTTTGTTGCTGCTTTAGCTTTAAAGAGCTAATACCTCTCCATGCTTCTCTGTCCAGGTTTGTAAATCTTGGTTTCGACCATTATCATGTGGAAAAACCAGATGAGGAGCCTGTCAGGATGCAAGTGTTCACGAGCAGAATAGGTAACACATGCACACGCCTCCATGCACATGAATCCTTTACAGCTGTAAAATAGTGGCTAATTCTTGACTTTTATGTGTTTTGTGTTTGTGGCTGAAAACAAGAACGTGAGTCCCCGTCTCGGCTCGTGTCACATACCGCAGACTGAAATTATTCACCAATAATAACGATCACGAATAACATGCACTCAATCACACTCAAACTATTTGATAATAGATTATAAAATAACTGTTAAATCTCAGTAGCTTCAGGGCCTTGTTTCCAAAAAGAACTTAAAAGTGTAGATATGAAACAAATTACATAAATAGTAGACTTGATTATTTAGTCACTCATATGAGGATTCAGTGTTACATATCAGTAGGAGTGGGAGACTTTAAGTACCTTGTTTAAGTACCAGTAAGTGTTGTTTGTAGTGTATTATGACATAACAACATTCATTTCTGGTGACTCTGACAGAGTTTTGTTGGTAAAAAAAAGGGTTGAATATGTTGCAATTTCAGGTCTGAGGAGTTTGAACTCCATCAGTCCACATTCGGATAACTTCTATAGAGAAATAAAGAGTTTTTAGAAAGCTATTGTTGCCTTCTTCTCTCCAGAAGAACATTGCTACCCATCTGCCGTTTGTTAACCATCATGCATATGAGCCAGATGGCGGTTGGTGAATTATTTGTGCTCACAAGATAAATGAAAAGCCTTTTCCAAAACTGTATTTCAGCATCTGAAGCAACATTTAGATCAGTTTTGACTTGGATCTGCAGCACAGTGGCTCTTCAGCCTTAAAGGAACAATAAATTCCAAACACTGAAGGCTAAAAGTAAAGCTCAAACTTCTAAAATACACTGTAACCTTCAACATAACACGAAAGCCATTTTAAATAATCAGCTTCTGCCCTTCAGATGATTTTTGTACTTTTGCTTAGTGATTTCTTTTGATGTGAAAATCTTCACTTCAAATTATATTTGGATTTCTTTATCTAATTGTCAATTCCTTCTTTGATTTTAGAATCAAGTGCAGCACCTCAGGGTTTCTCTCTGTTTTTGTCCTGTTTGTGATATCGTAAAAAGGTTTTCTGTTCTGCTGATTTAATGATCATCTCCCACATCTTTAGCTATCTTCTGTATGACCCCTCACTGCTTTGCCCTGTGGTTTCCTTTTAGGAAGCATGTGTGTGTGCTACAGCCAGACAGTAAAAGACAAACAGGAGCTGACGTACACCATGGTTTGTGTTCAAAAAGGTCTGTTTGTGTGTGTGTGTGTTTTCCCCTCTATCGCCGCCTGAGTCGCTGTTTTCGTCAAAAGGACCAGGTGATGAATTTGGTTTCCTCTTCGTTTCCGCAGACTACAGCAAGAAGTTCCGAGTATCTCTGGGCAGCGATGAGTCGCCGCAGAAATCCACTCAGCTTCACCCACTCTTCATCCCGATAGGTGACCTCCCACAGGGAAAAGCAATACAGTCATGCCCACTCATCAGAACCACGCCTGCCATTTTTCTGTTCAAAGTGTATCAACATTAAACTGAAAGGGATCCTTGTTGTGTACACCTGTAGGCTACTACATCCTGGTGTATCTGCAGGGTCATTTCCTCCACTGTATCAACAGCAGGCAGCAGGAGATGCTCTGCCATTCCCTCTTCCTCTCCGGTAATGCACACTTGCTTTTTCCCAAACTGCAGAAAGAAAAAAGAAAACAATGAAAGCACGTTCCTGTTTTTGTATTTTTTCCTCTGTCCCGCCGACATTAAGGGGACGAAGCTAGCCTCGGCCTGCCGTGTCAGGCGGCTAACATGACATTGCTGCATGTGGATGAGCAATCCAACAGCTGCTTGCTGGATCTGGAGAGCGGGAGGATCCACTCTGCCGAGCTCAGCCCTGCTTACCTGCTGCAGATCCTGCGGTCGGACCCACGCTCCAAGTGAGGAGAGAACCTTTCCGAGAAAGTGTTAAAGTTGGTATTTCGCTGTCAAATGTGTTGAGATAAATAGAGGAGAATGTGGGTGGGACAGCAGGGTTATTTTGTTCTTTTGCACATACACTTGCAGAGACTCCCTGAAATAAATTCAGCTTCAGCTTGAATCTTTGCCAGCAGACACCCTGGATGGAGCTGTATTGCTCAATAAAGATGCAGCAGCAGCTTTTTCATTAGTTATCTCATGGACTGTTCTCCCGTTCTGTTAGCCTGTTTATTCCAAGCTTAAGTACACCACACATACATCAAATGCCTCCTGACTCGTACGCATCTCTGTTTTTGGCTGTGCGTGCCCCTGTTTTCTAAAGGTAAATCTGAAGTTGTTTTTCCTCCGTCTGAGGTGTCCCAGCGGTAGGAGCGACGCTCAGCGCCTGGCTGCCCTCCACTGCCTGCTGGTTTACATGGGAAATGACCCGAACCTGGAGCTGAAGGTGCAGATGCAGACAGAATATCGGAGTGCATTGGCAGAGATATTGACATTTAAAGTCTGTATCCACAGAACATACACCAGCATCCCACAATGGACTTTCATTCAAAACATTGTTTTTGCAGAACATGAAAAAAAGACCAAAAATCAACAGAAACAAATTCATTGATTGCAGCTGGATTAAAAAAAACATAAAATCAATATGCCCTCTCTGTGGTAGAGATAACAGAGAGAAGATGGCAGGCCTGAGAAGCAAATAAAGAGTAGAAAGTCTCACATATCCTAGTGTACAAACTACGTTCTCTGTCAGGCACAGCTGTCGCAGAGCTAAGAATAATTAATGACTACAGGTAAAAGCTGCACTCCCCCCTGCACTTCTGCTCAAATGCAGAAGGTGTCAACCTTGAGTTAGAAGCATGCACTTGGAGAGAAAAGCACAAGAAGAAATGCTGCTGTAACACATCAGGAGAAGAGATAAGGGAGCACAGATCAGAACGAGTCAAAGGCCAAAAAGAGAGGATGGATACTTAGTTTTGGCACAGTGCTGACTCCGGTTCAGACTCTGTTAAGGTTCCATCTAAATTAAGATTTCCGGCTGCTTTAATAAGAGGTAATAAATTACCTCTTTAAAGGTTAAATGAGTCAACAGATTTAGCAGTCTTTGCATTTTGTTAGTGGGACCAGCATCATCAAAGTACCGTAGTAGTTCTGGTAAAGGAAACTTTTTCTTTGTCCACCTTAATGTTGTGTTTAATGTCTCTGAAGTCATGTTCACTGCACAGAGCTCTGGGGATGTGGAAGGAACAGGATAAAATTGTATTTTAAAGGAAAATTACATTAGATATACTGAGAGTTCTCACGAGGAGCCAAAATACCTGAAATATTAACCTTAAGGAAATGTAGCTTATCTTAACATAAAGCCTGATCCAAATAATAAACCGCCTGCTCAGATGTCAGGAACTAACAGAACTACTTGTGTCCTCCAAAGGTTAAAGAATAATCTGGCAGACATTCATCACAATGATGGCATCACAAACGTCTCGATGAAATTACAGCTGCAAAAAGAATCTGTTCAAAGTTCAGTTTTGGTTTTGAAAATATTTTATTTGCTTCAGACAGCCAAACTATTTGGTTTATGGTTATTTCTGCCGTTTGTCAGGCCTGGATAGAAACAACTCCTCTCTTTTAAAAAAAAAAAATCTGAGTCTGTTTCTTCCCCCCAAAAATACTTACAAAACTGTAGCTCAGCTTAAATCTATTCATGTGCTCGGTGGTCTTCATGCCCACCTAAGCACCGCTGGCGTTAACCTCCTGTGGCACCTCTGATTGTACACAAACAGAAATCTAATGCAGTTACTTCCCCCTTGCCTGTAAAACCCACTTCTTGTGTGTGTCTGTTACACTCCCAGGTCATCGAATGGCTGTGTGACAATGTGAACCCGCTTGAATCCTTTGATCAGATCCAGGAGTTCATCTTAGGTCAGTGGCAGCCCGGGTTTCCAGTGTATCTCTTGTTCCTCCCTTTAGAGTCCAGCTGTAGTCTTGCCCCTCTCCTTCAGTCTGTGGTTGCTTGACTTGCTTACATCTTGTCTACACAAAGCTGAATTATTTCACCTACTCTGTTTTGCTCTTGAATTTCTTCCTGGAGGCCTGTGCCAAGCTCCCACTGCTAAAAAAATAACAGATAGACTTTTTCTGCCAAACATGGTTCTGTGTGGGGTGTTATTGGAGGACAAATATAGCAAAGTATGAATGGATGTCTTAGCACATTGTGCTCATTAGTATATAATAGTGTTTGATGTTGGCTCTGGTTCCTGGTATATCTTTAGGGGTTTGTCGAGCTACAAATTCTACATACATACATACATATATTGAAAAGCTTTGTAATAAAATATTCTCCCCATGCTTTTTCTGTCTGCTCATCTCTTTCTCTCCCACACAGCCTCCTTGTACAGAATAGGCTATGAGAAGTCTCTCGGCCTGGATAAAGTCCTGCCATACTCATCTGTTTTTGAAAAGATGGTACTCCAAAACACATACACACACACACGCACACGTTTATGCATTTGTACGTGCATAAAGGCGTGAAAGGAAATGAGCTTCTGTCTGTCTGTGTATTGATGGGAATGCAGAGTAGGACACATTTGCAATGCAGGTGTGCTCTGTTGGCCTTAGAAAATTACACAGAAAGTCACACTTTGCTCTGTCTTTTTGTTTTAGTGCGTCCCGCTTTGTCTGATGGAGGTCCCCGGAGTGTTGTGTACCACTGAGCTGCATATCGAAACTGTCTTCAAAGGGAAGGTAAGAACGCACTTTTGTGCAGCATTAAACGCATCTTTTGCCCTTTGAATAGGTAATGAACGTTTGATTCATCTTACGCAATGAAGGAGAAAGCACGAGAAAATCGAAAGCAACATTTCAGAAAGCGCACATTAAAAAGACAGGACAAAAAAAGGTTGATTCTCCTGGAATGTTGCTGTGTTTTTTGAAAGGTTTCCCCATTCTTAAACCCTACTTTGCACTGTTGCTCTCCTCGCATCTTAATCCCTCGCACCAGAGATGTGAGCCCAGACCTTTGAGAATAAACATGAGGAAAACGGAGGAGAGACGACGGGCTCTGCATCATTAAACCTTTGTTTTGTTGCAGTGTTCGCTTGTTTTGATCATCCCTGTCAGACAAGCCTCACACGTGTGTGCAGCAAGTCCCACAATGCAATGTGGGATCAATGTGTTGCACCCCCTTTGGAGGTGTAGGATTTCAAAAAGACTCCTCATTGCCAACAGTCCAGAGCATCTTTCTGCTTGATCTGCTCTCCTCTGGGTGTATTTTAGGACTATTAGTCTGTGGATGATTTTCTGATTCGCAAGCAGGGGAACAGGGCCCCTGTTTTCTACTGTTGTGTGTGTTTTGTGTGTTGTTTTTCTGAGACTTTGGCCCAGTGTTGCAGTTTGTTTTTGCAGTTCAGACTCAGTCATCCACAGTTGCTTTGTCCTTGCTTTGTCCCCGCGCTGTTGTTTGTTTCTGCTGGTATCGCCGCGCAGGCCAGGGGTCTCCAGGGTTTCTGGGCAGACCTGCAGTGGTACACAGAGAGGACAAAATATCTGGACGCCGTTCCCAACCCCAGATACAGAACCTCGCAAATTCAGGGCGTCTGGGATAAGCTGGTGAGAGTTTGTGTTATCGGCCGATATCGGTCACCTTTAAAGCACCACTTCCAGCTTCGGTGCCTTTTACGCATATCTGTGCCCGCGTAGCTCCCAGCCTGTGTCGAACAATGCCGGCATACTTTCAGCCCTCCAATGACTCTGCTGTTGTTACAGAGGTCTGAGAAGAGACCCTCCAGCCTCATGAATCACATGGAAGAGAACACAAAGAAGTAGGTCTGCTACCCACTGGAGCTTTGTTAGGACTCACAATCCTAGAGCAGGAGGGATGAAATGCATGACTGCTCCTCTGCACTGTCTGTAAAAATTACATACTTCTCTCTAATGAGGTGCTAGTAGGTCGGAATTTCAAACCTCAGAAGGCTGCAACACCACTGTTTTGTCTTGATAACAGTCAAATGGTTGGCACTTTTTAGCTCTGTGTCCTAGTTTTAAAGCATAAGCTGATCAGCCCATTTATCGGTTGTTAGGGTCAGCTTTTGGTAAGAATAGACCTTAATCAGGGATGACACATTTTCAAATCAGCATTTAGTTTGATTTAACGCAATTCTTCTGTATTTACACACCGGCGACATAAGGCACATATGAGTTACTTGTAATGAATTCTGCTGAAACCTGTCTCCCTTTGGAGCTGACTTCATTCTGTCTTTTTTGATTTAAACTTTCTTAACGAACACCTAAAACACTTTAGGAACAAAACAAATCACTCCTTCATTAAGGTTTAGAAGTAGTTCAGAGACGAGTACAGCGCAGACGTCACATTTGCTTATAGTTCAAACAGAAACTGTCCCGTTTGTGTCAGGGATCAAACTAACCGACACATCTTCTGCTTGAGGCTAAACTCAGGAACCTGCTTACAAAGAACTGCCTTCCACATTTTGCTGCTCGCTGCAGTAAAGCAGCATTGTTCTGTCTCGGCTTAAAGCATAAGAAATATAAGTCATGTGATATTACGATGCTGGCTTCACACCGGTTTTCTCCTCTTATTTCCCAGAGTTCTCTCGGTGGTGGACACCTGGTGTCTGGGTAAGGCTTCCTTCCCTTCAGAGTCTGAACATGCTCACACACAGACGTCAGTCCAGCTGTAGAGGATCCAAACTTTGCTGTTTGCTTCCTAATCTGACGTCAAACTCTGTGGAGGCGTGTTTGTGTTTGGGCACCTTTTCGAGGATGAATTCTTTATGCCCACCCAAGAGTTTTCTGAACAAAACCAGCAAGTCATTTTATCTCATGGAGAAGGGAGGGGGGGAAATATATCCAAACAAGAAAAAAAGGGAGGAGAGCTGAAGAATTCTGCAATTACATAACAGTGAAGAGTTCAGCACTTCCCTCTCCCCTCTCGCATCCTCTTTTTTATATTTCTCTTTTTCTCTCTCTCCCATAACTCTTGCACAGCTATTTTAAGTCAGCCTGGACCTGGGGCCTCACCTTTTGCCACCTAATCCACAGATATGTGGTAATTCTTCTGTAAGCCTTCTAACATTCACTCACACTAAACAGAATCACAGAAACATTTCTCTCTCTGCACCATCGTCTCAAATAGGCAGCAAAGTTGTCTCCAGAGGATGAGGGTAACATCAATACAATATATTGAGAAACATTTCTAATTCTTTATTTGCTTTCATGGAAAATATTGAGCCATATATCAGAGCACTCTAACTTTATAATATCAGATTTATGCCACAGCTCAGCTCCAACAAATCAAACAGAATGTTTGAGAAGCTGCTCTGCTTCTGCGCTGTTTTATTGCCATTTGTGACTGTTTTGCATTCAAAATAGCCCAAACGCGGCACCAGAGATCCCATGGCATGGCTTTGAACCCTTCTTACTCGTGGTGTTTGGTGGCAGAATATAAATTATGTTACTGACTTGGTGATTCATTTGGATAATTTCTTCAGATACTAGCAAAAATAAAAGGATTAAAGAGGCTTCAGAATGACAGATTTCATTCATTTGATTTATACAAAGTTATTTATAGAAATACATAGAATTTTCACATTTGATTAATCAGAGCTAACAAATATTTAATGTGTGTTCCTGGTAAATTGGTTAGAATTTAACAGAGCAGTTTCTCTTTTGAGTCATTGCTCTTCCTGTCCCAGCTTCCTGTCCTTTGCATGTTTCTGCGTCACACCTGCCACCTGCAAGTTCACATCCATAAATCTCCTCTGTGGCTCTCCTCTCAACCCATGTTCCAGCTCTTTTAATAAATCCAGCTTGTCCTAACTGCACATCCACATCATATGAGCAGTTCACAGCCAACACAGAGCCACTCTTTCCAGATCCAGGAAGGACCAAGCTACAAGTTAGCCTCAAAGTCCTCGGTCATGCTCGATTACTTGGGGCTGCTGACAGGCAGCGTGATCCACAACTTAGACCTTAGAGGGCTTTTTTTTATCTGTAGCATGTTACACTGTAACATCAAAAGCAGGCTTCTGGTATTCCTCATCAAAGCGAGGGTGTGTTTGCGTATGCAAGCATGAGCTAACTACGCCCGAGTGTGGTCCACTTTTAAGGGGCTGACATAAAAGTGGACCGCTCACCGGCACGGCAGGACGGCTGCCTCGCCAGCCCCAAGCTTTTTGGCTGTATCTTTACAGAGAAAATACACCAAAAGACTGTTAATGAGCCAAATTTTCTTTCCAAATTGAAGTCTTGAACAGGTCAAAGTTGGTTTATCCTGTAAATAGGGCCACCTGATGCTGCCTGTCCTGTTCGATGGAGCACCGCTGCAGCATCAAAGGTTTCTGCAAGCGCATCTGTATTTATTTATTTTTGCTCTCCTTTGTAGATAAGAAGCTGGTCCCACTATTTCAGGAGGAAGACCATCAACAGAGGATGTTCATTGGCCTGGTGAGAACTGTCAGTGGCTATGAAATTGACGTCACAAGAGCGTGGCGAGTGTAGCTGTAGAACCAGCCTGCAGATCTAAAAGCTAAACGAAACGCTGCCGTGTCTGCAGTACCAGGCCAGACACAAGAGCATCTCGTTTCTAGAAAGCATTTTTCGGGAGTTCTGTTACCTATTAAAAAGATACAAATTCACAAAATGGAAAAGTTGTTCAAAAACAGCTGAAAAACACTCAGTTTTTGCTTCTTTAAAAAGTTAATTTCAACTCGGTTTTCAAAGCTTACAACATTCAGGTGATAAAGGACGGATCTTACATGGAACACAACAAAAAAAAACATTGATTTTCATCCATTTTTCAGCAACCACGTAGAATATGGGGTCAAGTTCAGAGTCCAGGGCGAGTGGCTGGGACCTAATTAACATAATGATGATTATATGCATGATAAAATAGTTTCCAAAAGTTTTGAGGCAAAATTATGGAAAAAAAGTTTTACAAAAAATGGTTTCGGGATGAGTTTGCTCAACATTAGAGAAGGGCTTTAAATTTCAACATGTGCAAATTACAAGTCTAATCATCCTCAGCGGCTCGGAAATGACCGGGCAAAAAAGCTTCAAAAGGGTCTGTCAGCTCTTCAAAAAGCCTAATTTCACCGAGCTGACTCAGAATCAGAGCAGCCGAGAGAAAAAAGCACAGCCTCAGTTTAGTTTCCCCTGGTTTGGATTTCCCTCAGTTTGTGTTTCCTCTGCACTGTCCCCACCTGAAGGAGAAGGGAGTGGCCTAAAGAGGGGGGGTAGTAGTGGGGAGCAGCCCGGTGTGAAAGGCCACAGCGTCCAGCGTTGTCACGGCAACCGTTTCCCCGCTGCTGGGCCGGATTATTCCCTTAACACCGCCAAGGGCTGACGATTGATAATTTCCCTCTGTAGTCGTGTGTTCCGCTTCAGATGAGTCGACACTTTGAGAAAGGGGTATCTTCAGGTCCCTGTCCTGCATTTATTTAACTGTACCCTTTTTTGATGGACAATTTCATATCTTGTAGTTTCCCCCGGCTCAGCAGAGTTTTTCAAAGAGCAGATAGCTTCGGTTTAATGGAGTTCAGTGCAGATTGGCGTAGTCTCCCAGCTATTCTTAGAGTGACCCAGTCCTCTGTTCTTTCCCTCTTTAGTCCCTCCATTTACATCTCCTTTAACCCTTTCTTGCTGTCCCTTTTCCTTCTCTCTGCTCCCTCTTCCCTCTGTTCTTCCTCTGCCACGTTTTGTAAACCTCTGGTATCCTTTTCTGTCATCAACTTTTAGAACTAATAGCCAAGGGAAAATTTGAATTGAACTCCGTTTGACCCTGCTGAGTGCTCCGAAAAGTAGACTCCCAGCGTGCAAAGGCAAAGTTTTCACTCTGAGCCGCACACCAACCCACACACACTCGCCCAGACAGTAACGAGTGTGCCTCTTTTGCATTCGCAGACAGTTGACAAGCTCCGAGAGCACCTCAACCGACACCTGCCTCGGCTCGGGAAGAAGAAGATCGACTCGCTGGTCGTCAACTACGTGGCCAAACTGGTTGGTGCTCAGCCTTGCGTGTGTGTGTGTGTGTCCCCGTCGTAGAGAGGCCCGCACAGCCCTCGGATCCCAGGCTTTAAAACGGGGCATCGCTCTCCAAGTTATATTTTTTTAATGCATCCTCCTCCTTTTTTCCCAGAAGGTTAAGTGATGCAGTGGATATCACTCCAGAGAAAAAGCAGCAAGCTTTCCACTAAATTTAAATGGTTTGACACTTCACTCTAGAGAGGTTGCTGGAAGCCACTTTACGTCCTTTAAGACGCATAAGTTATGTAGTCGGAGCTTGTAGTCAAGAGTCCTAAACGATTAGACTTTTTTTTTGTTTGTTTCAGCTTTGTGAGTCCACTAGGAGTTTTAGAGCAGTGATCCATTTGCAGAAGAAGGATGAGTAGAGGAGCAAACCCGCCGGAGAAGCATGAGGCTTCTGCTTTTGGATGTGCGGAAAATAGCCCCTATTCAGGATTCTGACTTTTTGTGTAGGGAGATGGTGTACGCTGACAGATAACCGTGTTCACCCTAATTTGTTTTATGGTCAATCTTTTACATGAGAGTTAACGATTGGAAACAGTCCGGATATTAAATTTTTATCTTGAATTGCGGATGTGCAGTTTCAAAAGTGCCCTATCTCGGATTGACTAAAATAGTGATACATGTAGTACCACCTTTTGCATAATCAAGTGGATGGACCCTGTCCTTGCCTCACCGTCATGGAGACCATTGGTTTTTGGTATTCCAGTGAGGTAAACCCCCTCCACAGTTTGGAGCCCCTGAAAGCAGACGTACAGCATATATCAACACAGCAGTATTAAATCAGGCCAAGGGTAAGGCTGGAATTGAATAGAAAGCAGGGTGCACAACATCGTGGGACTAGCAAATGACAGTGCAAGGAAAAAAGCAAAAAAAAAAAAAAAAAAAGAGAAATCCTCCGGGCTCACCGGCAGATCGCTGGATACCCGCGCTGGCTGCGACAGGCCCATAAGTCTGAACCTGCCCCTTCAATCTCGTGCGGAATGGAGTTGAATGGAAATGGGTGCGCCTTTAATCGTTTTAGCATTGTTCCCACATGGGCACAAGGGCCGACTATCGGATCTATTGAAGTGAAACACAGAGAGGAACATGCTTATTCAAAGGATGCTCACAAGCCCGTGAGAAACAAACTAAAGGGCCGTCTCACTTTTAGTGGAGTGGCCAGACTTGCTCTCCGCGTCCACATCAGGCTGACTCATGCTCTAAAACCTCAGGATGCTGACTTACCTTCTACAAATAAAGAACATCTCCCCCTCTCGCTGGTGCTCATTGAGACTAATGGTTGCACCGACACAGGGGAGAAGTTGGGGATGAAACAGATTACAGCTTTTAAAAGCCTCTCTGCTGTGTTAAATTACAGCTTCACTTTACATTACTGTCATAGCTGTTTGCAGCAGTGGAGGAAGGGAATACATATCTGAACTGTACTCTTTTTTTTTTTTTAGATAACAGAGCAGAAATCAGGACGCAGAACTGCATTGTTGAACATAAACAGCTAAAACTGGGGATACATACTGTCTTCATCAACCTCAGTGAATGCAGTGCATTAAAAATTAGATGCAATGTTCTTGTTTTTTGGAAGAGAGGTTGTTTTATCCCCGGGGATACTAAACAAAGCAGCTTCTTACTGTTTGCTTATTAAAACAAATAACTGACTTCAGACTTTTGTGTTTAGTTTGCTTTGGGATTAATACTGTTACAATCAGGCTGCCAGACAGAAAATGAGTGTATGTTTACATTTCTTCTGTTTTTCTGAGCAAGATTGCACTTTTTTTCTCATTTGACAGAGTCTGATATGATTTAAAGATCTTAATGAATTGCATTGTGAGAAGGGAAGGACCTAAACCTGTGCCGGTGCCAGGGTTTGAAGGCAGACTCAGGTTTTGTTCAACAAACACAAATGCAAATAGGGTTTTTGAGGGGTTTTCCTTTGTTAAATTTGAATGAAGGGTGTGAAAGAAGGCCCAGAGGAGCTTATTATTATGGTTGTCTTTTGTCTTGTCCTATTGTATTTTTTCCAAGCTTCTGGACTAGTCTGTTGCATAAGTAAGGGCTAATTGAAATTCCCACCCTCAGGTCAGAGGAGGATGTTGCCGCTGGCACCGAGCACAGGTTTCCCACCGCTGTGCAGGATGTGGAGCAGGCAGATCCTCTTCCTGTTATTGTTCAGGAGACGGCCGAGCGCTGTCATTGGTGGAAAAAGGAAGAAGAAAATAAGGGGTTTCGGACAAGTCAGGTGTATCCAGACGATGGTAGCGGCAGACAACGTGTCGGAACTGGAATTGCTTTCACATTTTGACAAGTTGCTCGGTGAAAATGAAATGGGCAAACAGCTGGGGGTGGTGATGGGTGGGTGGGGGGGGGGGGCAGTAATGGGAAGTGTGCGTTACCAGCAGATAGAATCATCACGGCAGAAAAATCGATCTCTACCGCATGTTTTCCGGCCCAAAATGATAGTGTTGTGTGAAATTTGCGGCGTTGTGATTTGAGCGGAGGGAAACGGTTTGATTTGCATGTAATGGGACGTCTCCTCATTTAGCTGGAGCTCATCAGGCACATGCTGGAGTCGGCCTGGCTGAAGCACAAACTGGGGCCCCGCGTTTTGTGCCTGTGAGTACACCACCCTCCACTCCCCGTTTGAAGCTCCACATCTGGACGGTGTGGTTGACACCTGTAACCTGCTCTGATTTCTGTTCTCCCAGGATGCAGCAGGGCAGTCCGGCTGAGTGGGCCGTCTTCCACTTCATGTTTCGGATCCTGGAATCCACCAGGGGCCTCTGCCTACCCCTCCCACCTGGTACCATACACACACACACACACACACACACTCTTTTGCCTGTTGCCACCCGTTCTGACAGCTCGTATCTGCACTGTGGGACAAACTGATGGGAGCAAAAAAAAATCCGTGGCTCTGACTCATAGTTAATGTATTCACGTTTGGGGGAGTGTAAACACCTTCAGATTTTGATGGTCTTTGCTGCCGTTCTCGCTGCAATTCCTTGATTTTATTTTACGTTTTTACTCGCTGACAGGTAAAACTTTATATGGTAAACTGTGTGGGAGGGAGGTGGGAAATGAGAGAGGCTCCAGAGCCCGTAAATGAAACGGGGACTGAGGTGGAATGTGTTGTTGTCTGGAGAAATGATGTTGTTGCCCGTCTCCTCTCCCTGCCCCCCCCCCCCCCCAGGCTATCACACCCTGTTCACCGTGCTGGCCGTGCGCTGCCTCCCTCACCACACCTTCCTGCAGTACATTGACCACGGCTTCCTGCAGCTGACCGAGACCTTCGTTTCTCGCCTCATGACAGGTACCGGCTCACACGTGCACGCACACGCCGGCCACGTGCCCGAGACGCAGCCAGCCGGACAGCTGGGAGTTTGACACCCGGTCAGGGAACGGACTCAGACACCTTTATCGTGTTTGCATGGACGGCTCCCGTCCAGCTGTGCTCACAGAGGAGTTTGTCTTAGCTGGCCAAAATGATTAGTTCTTTCTCTCTCTGAAGCCTCCTTTAAATTGCATGAAGAGAGTTTGAGTGGGTTCTTCTTTCCTCTGAAAAAAGGAGGCAAGAGTGGTGAAATCTCTGCGTCATCGTGGAGTGTAAAATAATGATACCGTCCAGGGCAGCTGTCTGTGCCCTTCAGTTATTTATCCTATCTGCCCTGTTTGGGCTGGAAGCTGTTGTCGACCATAACTGGCCCCAGCAAACTTTTAACCAATCAGCAGAAGATGTCTCTGAGCACAACACAATTACCCAAAAGACTCTTCGCTCTGCGCGGGTGGAAAGCGTCCCTTTAAAGGTTTAAGCTCTCCAAGAGAAGAATTCATTCAGATCCTGTTAGATCACACACTCACAAGATTCTAATTCATTATCATTCATTAACCTTAGTGTGTAACATTTGGGATAAATAAGGCAGAGAATAATAGATTGCTCCAGGTTTTTATTGACATTTTAATCCAAATGTATTACACCTTTTACCCTGAAAAATTACAAGAAAAACTACCAGAAATTAAGCCAAAACACGTAAGCATATGATTTAGCTATTATATGAAAGTTTTTATCGTGAGATACAGTTTTTTTAGGCTGTGAGAAGATTTATTAAGAACTGATGTACTACTACTACCACTACTAAAAAAGAAACAGGAAAAGAAACAGAAATAAAAGAATGGGGAAGATTTGCTGGCCTTACGAGCTGTCGTTAAGAGCCATGAGGAATCTCCTCTTGCCGTCGCCTCTGCGCCTTTGACGCAGAGAGGCGAAGAAATACAGCCAGGGATTTAGGCAGTGGGTGAAAAAGTAAATGAACTCGATGAACGTCAGCATCTTGCTCACACAGAGCAGCGTCTCGGATTTTGTGAGGCCCGCGTACACATAGAAGAGGCGGGCGGTTATGGGGAAAAAGCCTAAAACCAGGGAGACGGCCAGGATCCGGCTGAGGAGTTTAGTGATGGCGCGCTTCTTCTGGTCGCACATTTTGATCCGTTTGAGGCCTCGGACGAGCAGCAGGTAGAACAGCAGCAGCAGCAGCTGGCAGCACACCGCGTAGCTGATGTAGATCAGCTCCACAGCCATCGGGATCCGCTGATTCCTGCAGGACAGGCCGTCGGCCGGCCGGCGTCCGGCCTCGGTCAGCGCGGCCGGGAGGGCCAGCAGGGCGGCCAGCCCCCACACGGCACCCAGCAGCAGCCTCTGCCACCCGCGGCTCACTTTGGCCCACCGGGTGTGATGGAGAATCTGGAAAAGCCAACACACCTTTATAAATTGGACAGTTCATTTAGTTTCTATGTGATTCCTGCTGCTCGGTGATTTGAATCAAACCCAAAAGAAATTAGCGGGTGGCACGCAAAGGTTTGGTCACACCTGCTCGTGAATAGCAAAAGATAACCTGCTCTCTGACTACAAAGACTTCAATACGAGACATTTCTTTGGTATTTTGAGCAAGATAGCATTTCTTTCCCCTCTCTTATGTCTCACAGTAGCGGGAAACGTCTAATTACAGTCTGGCCATCTGCTGTGAACAGTAGTTAACAGGATTCTCTGCGTGAGTGCTAAAGATGGTCAAACCTGTTCGGTTTTATTAACGTTTAGGTGATTTTCAGCTCACTTTTCATGCTGTAGTCATTAAGTTTTGTCCTTTTTTGAACACATGTATCTTTCGACAAACACTCACACACTCTGTTACTCTTTATTCTAATTTGGGGACCATAGCAAAAAGCCTCAGTTTGAGCCTCTTTGAATCGTCTGCTGGGCACTTTGGGATCAACACTCCTTAAAATGACTCCATTTAGTAAATGTTACTCAGACAATTTAGAAAGAAAAATACACTCTAGGCTTAGTCCGAAGAACTGTGTTCATTTTGTTAGCTGACCAGCAGCTGGTGGTCACGTACCTGGTAGTACCTCTGGACACTTATCAGCACCAGTATGTTGGAGCTGGAGGTGATGCTGAAGAAAAGAAAGTACAGCACTGCTTGACAGACCCCGGCCCCTAAAGGCAGCTCGGCCAGGAAGATGACCCCTCCGGCCAGCAGGCAGAGCAGGCACAGGAGGTCGGACAGGGCCAGGCTGAAGAAGAGGCGCTGCGACATGGCCGAGCCGCGCAGGTCGCGGCCCAGTTTGACCATCACGCTGAGGTTGGCGGGGATCCCGAAGAGGCAGCTGACCGCGGCCACCACCCCGACCAGGGAGTACCAGACCTGGACGGAGGAGGCGGGATGCGATCCCGAGGACGAGCAGTTGGTGCTGAAGGAGTCCAGGAAGTTAAAGGAGGAGGGCATGGCGGGTGAGGACGAGAGGCCTGCTCTGGTGCGGAGCTCAGCCCGGGCACCTGTTTAGCTGCCTGCCTCTGGTGGTCTGTGGGTTTTAAACAGAACACAGAAACCCCCCCCACCAGGCCCGTGACACCCCCTTCAGATTTGAAGAAACGTCAACGAGCAACGATTTGATCTCTTTGACCACTGGTAGAACATTTTCTCTACAGTGGAAATCCTTTTAGATCATTTGAAGCCGTTTTCTTTCTCACGCTCGCAGTCAAAGTATATATACGGTGAACCAGGGGGATTTGGGTCAGTAAATGTGCTTCTTTTTTCTGCATCGTCTCAGACATTTTGGCGTTTTCTTGCTCAGGATGAAGGGCGGCTGTGGGGCCACTGGCTTCAGACCCGTGTGCGCCCCGCTTAAAAGTCTTACACGAGCCATTTGACTTTTCTGTGTGTCGTTAAATGATTTTTTTTTTTACCTGCCGACCTTCTGCTGATGTGTTTCGCACGCGCTCGGCCATCTGGAAGGCAGATTTGTGTCACACCTGTTGTGAACTACTTTTGGAAAACCCACATCACCCAAGCGGGTTTGCGTGAGAATCAATCTCTGAGGTGAAATATGCGGGTAATAACGCTAGAAGGGCATTTCAGGTTATTTGACACTTTTTGTAGTTAAAATTAATGTTTGGCTGTTGTTTAGTTGGAATCCCTGGAAATTCATCAGTGTCTTTCCTCTCACATCTTCTTGCCAAATGCAAGCGCCTGTATCCTCTAAGCGGCTGACAAATTGCTACTAATCAGGTAATTGGATGTGTTGTTTTAATATTGCTTATAATTTACATGGTTATGCTGCCGGGAACGAGAGCGATACTGCAGCTCACGGCTTTGATTTCCAGCCCTGCTCCCGGAGTCTTTGCTTTATGGTCACTTGACATTTCCGTGCCCTCTTAATGGCGCATCAGGACAGAAAAAGTTGGATAGAATTCACTTGAAAAAACTTTAAAGTTCACACACTCCTCTCCTGCTGCTTAAAGGAAACGCTCAGAAACAAAGACAATGCGAAATGCATTGAGGAAAAAATGAAGAAAATGAAGAAAAAAGGCGTGAGGAAACCCAAACAAGAGCTTATCAGAAACACACGAGGCGCAAAGCCGCACTCAAATTCCTGTGTCATTACAGCCTCAGTAATTCATCAGATGCTGCCTCCTGTACATGCTGAGAAGTGACTAAATGAACGTGGCTTGTCGGGTAATTAAAGCAGGTCACAGCACAGGGCCACTGGTGCCTGGTCTTGGCTGGGCGCCACGGTAATTTGACTTCACCGTTTGCTATTTAATTGAACCAGAATGTATATTTGTGTGTGCGGGACTCTCAGAGATCCTAATTAGAGTTACAAGGGACCCAGGGTCATATTTCCAGACAGTGATATTGTGGGTTTTGTTGTGCTTTTATCATGGAGGTATTCAAAGGTCAGACGTTGGGACTTGGCGGTGAGATCAACCAAAATATCCTTCCTGCCTCTCTATTCTGCTATTTTTAACATCTTGAAGAAGAACAAAGAGGTAGATCAAACAATCATTTGCGGCACAGGCTCCAAATGGTTTCCAACTTCAAAGTGGGAGAAAAGGATAGAAACTCAAAGAGAAAAAGGCGCGGTGCTGCGTTCGTGGTCCTCCCGTGTAGGGTCGGTCTTCAGGGCGCTGCGCTCCTCTTCACCCTGTCCCTCTTCTTCTCCCCGCTCTCTGCTCAGATTTGGACAACAGTGGCGCCAATGAGAGACTGAAGTTCAGCATCCTGAAGAGGCTCCCCGAGGTACTGCTGAGTGTGCAGAAAAGGCTTCACACAAGATAGCCCTGTCTTAAATGTGTGTGTGTGGGGGGGTTCGTCTTAAAATGAGATGATACGGCGTGGTGGGTATAGATTTGGAGGTCAGAGCTGAGAGTGGATGCGCAGGTGTCCTGACGTCTTCTGTTGGAGAGGAGAAAGTCTTACTTGATGACCTCTCCAGTGATTTTCTCCCCAAACTTCCTACTCGACTCCAATTAAGAGTTATTTTAGGTCTCATCTCCCCTAAGCCCCCCTGAAGCCAATCACAGAGCACTCATGCAGGCACCTGGTGTGTACTGCGTGTGCGTTTATGTCCTTGTATAACTTCCTTGTGTTGCTGTGCGGCTACAGAACCTCTTTTTTTGTTGCTCTGTGTGTGTATATGTGTGTGTGTGTATGTGTGTGTGTTCTATCCGCCCTGTGATCGGTGGAATGTCGAGTGTTTTGTGTCTCTGTTCGGTTTCCTGCCCGTCAGACTTCTGTTGGGAGGGTTTGGCAGGCAGGAGAGATTTAGCAGGTACAGCGTGCACAATACACATACGCACACACACACACACACAGACACACACACAGCAGCTCAGTCAGAGCAGGCCATGTGTGGCGCTGTAAAGGATTTGTACCTCGGCTAAATCCGACTTTTACGGTGCTCATCATATATTTGCCTAATAAACCTTTGTATTATCCTCATATCCTGGATGAAATGCACACAGGCGAGAAGCCGGCAGCTGCAAACACAGGAAGCCGTAGATGCTGGCTTAACAGAGACCTGGGCACCCTGTAAACCGTCATTATCTACCGAGCGGAGGAACCAAATAACAAATTTATATTTTTGGACGCATCAGAAAACCAAAGTCCTCAATCCTCCGTGACTCAGCATCTCGCTGTGAAACTGAAAGTGATCCAAAAGCTGCATTTTTCTCTTAGTCTCTGTTTGTTTCTGTGTAATTTGTTAGTTATACTTGTTCCCTTTCTCTGCAGCCCCTTATTAGCAGTCCACTCTTTGGTGCTGGTTTTATATTCTGGTTGGCAAAGTCGGGGGGGGGACAGCTGTTTGCTGGGACCGGGGAGTTGGTGTTGTTCATTTTCCTTTGAAAGCAGGAGCTACTGTACATGCCTAAAATGTCAAACCGCGGGGCATGTGTGTGTGTGTGCTCGCGTGCAGCCTATGGTGCAGAGGATCTGCCAGATGTGGGATCATCCTGTCAGTTCGGCCTCCATCTCCAGAGACTACGTCCGGACGCTGCTGGAGAAGCACAACAAACAGAAGGTGAGAAAAAAGCCCGGCAGGCAGGACACACACACACACACACACACACACACACACACACACACGCCGTCCCTCAAACAGAGCGCCGTGGGAGAAACTGTGGCATCCCAAAAAGCAAGCCCAAAGCCAAATCCGTCAGCGGGAGGCGTTGGAGCGACTTATGACTAGAGTTGCTGTTTGAATCCCATAAAAACCGACAGTTGTGCTTTTGTTTGTCGTTTTTTCCTCAGGGATTTGCATTCACAGACAGAGACAAGCCCGCCTTCAGACCCGAGTTCCTGCCTCTCACCTACCTGGCAAAAATACTCTCCGATATCGAAGCACAAGGTACTGTGTGTGTCTGTGTGTGTGTGTGTGTGTGTGTGTGTGTGTGTGTGTGTGTGTGTGTGTGCCCTGCTCGGTTTAGATATGAAGGCCTTTTTGAGGATTTATGTGCATGCTCAGCCAAAAAAGCGACAGCCTCTATCTTTAAAGAGCAAAGCAGGAAGTGTGTGGTGCTACATCCTCTGTAAGACGCGTCTTTTTTTTTTTTTTTTTTTTTTCAAAACTCCAAACAGCTCCGAACCCGTTTGAGGAGCAGGAGAACGTGGACGCCCGGTTCGTGGAGGAGACGGCCCTGATGCAGACGCTGATCCTGCTGGGCCACCAGAAGAAATGAAGGAAGGCAGAAGGGCGGAGGAGGACGAGGGGCGGGGGGGTTCACGGAGCAACAGATGAGAGGGAGAGAACAGCCTTCTCCGCCAGAGGATGATGGAGGGGCAGAAAGGGTGGGAAATGAAAAATGAGTGGAAAGACTGAGACTCATAAACAAGCTCTTACTGTTTGATGACAAATTATGGGGGGGGCCGAGAGACAGATGGAGGATCTGGAAGGAGTCCAACTGCTTTTCAGGAAAAAAATGAAGTGTCTGAGAAAAACAGAAGAAGCGTGTTGCACAAACACAAGAACACAGACATGAAATTCATTTTTGAATACGATAAAGTAATCTTTTTAATATAAGAACACAGAAACACATCAGACTCGCATCGAAAGCCAACGACTGGAAGCAGATTTTTTTAAACCCTCGTTTTCTCTAGCAGCCACAATTCATTCCTCTGATTGTTTCTTTCATGCAATTTATGAACATCCATGTCAAATAATCAGAACAGGGCTTGTAAATCTTTTTTTTTTCCTCCTGTGTTTCCTGTAATGCTGCTGCATCCCATCAACTTGATTACATGCTGCTGAGGGCTTCTTTGCCCACGGGCTTTTAAAGCGTTTTGGAGAGTATTTAGGTCTAAGCAGGTCCAGTTTCTCTGAATCCTCCTCAGATGGAGACGGATCTCAGGAGAGGGCGTCGCCTGTGGTGCGTTCAAGGTGCACCTCTCACACAATTTTCTGCTTCGTCTTCAAAATGTTTGAAGCAGCTCAGACCTGGATTTAAGTCTGAGACTGTCAGTCAGTGGACACAGAGGAAAAGGGAAGCATTTGGACTTGCGTTCTGCTTTTCTGGGATGGAGGTGTTTCGGTGAGGGTTAATCATAAAGCGCGGCTTATTTTGGGTCTTTGTGTTCGTAATCCTTTTGTGTATGAATGTCGGCTCCAAAGAGACGTCCAACACATTCTTACCTGCAGTGCCAAACATTCCTCTGGAAAAAGGATTTCCTAATCATTATCTCTGTTTACATTTGAAAAGGGACCGTAAATAAAGGCTGTTTTTCTCAGGCCGTTTTTCCTCTTTTATCTTGGTATTTTGGGAGTACTCTGGGATGTGAGAAGCTTTGTGTTTTTGCAGTTTGCCTTTGGGTAATTTGAGCTACTTCCGGCGGGCGAAACGACCTGGGCCTGCAGTGAAGTGGTTAATGAGTTGTCAGGATCTTCGCAGGAGGAAGTGAGCTGTCAGATGCCCCAAAAAAACCTGAGTGTTTTGGACAACCTCAGCAGAGTTCAGCTGAAGTCAGGAAATGATCTTAGTCATCACACACGCTGCGTTTAATGAAGAACACACATCGTGTTTTTTTTTTTTAAAGCATTACATTTGCCTTTTGGGATTTGAATTCTCTTTTCTTTTTTTTCGGTGAGAGCCAGGCTTTCGCTGCTCACCTGCTCGCCTCCCCCGCGCTCTGTTATGCAGCCGGTGTTATGTAGCCAGCTAACAGTCGGGGGCTAAGTTAATCTGACAGCTCCCGGCATCAGCCCGCAATGAATGATCACACAGGCATGGCGCTGCTGCGTTATCTCTGACTCACGCGGCAAACAGCCCCGGCTCAGTTTAACACAGGGGTCACCAGACACTCCCGCCTGAGATTAGCTCCGTCATAAAACACGGGCTCTTGGTGTTTCACCATTAGCTTTCAGTGGATTGAAACAGTTTACTGCTTACATTTAACCGTATGAGCCGTCCATGCGTTGCTTTTGGAAACACAATGACTCTCAGATGTTCCGATTATCTGATTTAGAGACTCTCTATCTTTTCTTTCTCTTGAGCCTCAAAGAGAAGTGACTCTTTGGTCACAAGCAAGCAACTCTGAACTCTCGAGCCAATTTGCAGCCCTTCTTTCATCCCCTTCTCCCTTTGACTCTCCTCTGCTGCCTTCTCTGACTGCCATCCGCTTCATTTAAATTCCCCCCTCTCTTTGTCATTCGCTATGCTCTTTCATTGCCCGAGCTTCCTTTCTAGATTTATCATTTCAGGCATTAAACAGGCACTCCAACCCTTGCATAAAGCTTAAACCCATTGCAATTTATTCAAAGATTACAACCGTGAAGGGTGAAACAACAACAAGGCGGAAAAATGTCTTGGAATATTCCAGAGTCTCAGAGAAATGCAGTCAAAACCGGTCAGCATGTGTTGCTAGGAACTGGGATTGATTACAAAAACATTTCTGGAGAACTTTATGTAACAGCATACCCAAATTTCCCTTTTTCTCCTTTTGCTATTCATGTCACCTGCAGCATGCAGGGAAAACTGAAGGCTGAGCGTAAACACTGCCAGTAAATTACGAAAAAAAACCAGGAAGCCCAATTGGAAGCAGATGCTGCTCAGGAGAACTGCAGCGAGGAGCGGAACGGCCAGGGCAGAGGGGGGGGCAGCAAACAGGGCCGAGGGACCAGCGTACGCGTGGCAATAATGAACCAAGTCACCACAAAACACATCTTTAATTGTTTTCCCGCTTAATATTTCTACAGGAGTCGAATGTTTTTAGGCGTCTAGTGGTTTGAGTGTGGGTTTGCGGATGTGTCTCATGTTGGCACCTGGCTGGGTGGGCTTGAAGGGGGCTTGGGCTCCGTAGGGTCTGGGCAGAGGGAGGGGGTCGTCCTGGGGGATGTATGCGTTGGGTCGGGCTTTGGCTGTGGTGTACTCTCCATTTGGCAGCTGACTCCACTCACCTTCTTCAGCAAGCTGCACACACACACACACACACGCACACGCAGAGCCACACACGGGGAAAGCTGCTTTAATATTTGATGCTTGATGGCACGACCTTGAGTTAAATGGTGAAATTTCAATCTCCTTGAATCTTATTCAGTAAAATGGAACAATTGACACTGCAGTAACTACATGAACTATATAAAAAGAGAGTCCCTGAAAGCCCCAAAAGAAATACAAAGGTAAAGATAACAATATGAATAGGTTCATCCATCTGAGTTATGGATTTTGATTTAAAGGACTTCTTTGAGGAATCCTATTATCTTTCCCATATGTATTTGTAACCAAGGAAGAATCCTGAGAAAGAAAATAAACGAGTCAAAACACACGGTGAACATATTTCCTCTGACTTCTGCCCCACAAATGAAATAAATTTCACTGAGGCTTCACATAGAAGGTAAATTTCAGTTTTTCTGCTGGCATTTGATCTGAGAGCCCACAAAACAAGAAGCGAAAGCTGTGAATGCTAAACAGGAAAACCTTTCATGAGGTTCGTAAAGCACAACATTTAAATGCACTAAATGCACCATTAACAATGACCCAAAACGAGCCTGTGGCTGCAGGTTTCCTCCATCACACGCTGCTCTGTACCAGCAGCTCAAAGCAACAACACAAAGGTTAGAAAATGTATTTCATAGATGCGGCTGACATCCTGGACACGACTGCACTGGTTTCAGACTCATTTAGTCTGTCTCTATTTGTGGATATAGTTCTATTTGAAAACAAACCAAATCGACTCTGCGTTGCCACCCTGGAGAGTGATGGAGGTGAAGATGGACCCTGCTCCTTTGTCCTTCTTCACCTCCATCAGTGCTTCAATCAATCTCTTCCCACTGGCCCGTGTGCTCTTTGTTACCCTCTGCCTCTCCTCTTTGTGTCTCTGTCTCCTCTTCTTGTCCCGCAGCATCCTCCTCCACTCCTCCTCTATCTCGGGGTACGGTGGCAGGCCCTGCTCCAGCCGCCGCTGGCACCTGTCCATCTGGACACACGGGAGCATTGGGAGAAACATTCATTTTGTATTCATCTGACTCCGTGTCCTCTGCACTCTCCTGGCCGGGTTCAGCTTCGACCGTAGCCAAAAAACAGATGGCTGCACCGGTTTCGGAATGTGAGCGGAGTCGAGCATCTCTGTGAGCCTGTTCATGCAGCATGAAGCTGGCACGCACCAGCCAAGGAGATTCCACAAGATATGAACACGAATCTCCAGATATAAATAGAGTACATGAATGAAAATAACATTTTCTTCCTTTGTCAAAACTGTGTCAAAATTTCAACATATTTTGTCAAGCAATTGATGGAGTTTGCACTCAAAACAGCTCGCAAACATTTTAGTGGAAAATAATTTCCCTTTATAACAGCAGGTACGCATCAATGAATAAAAATAGAGCAATATAACTGTATTTCACAATGAAATCATAAAATATCAGATTTAATCTCAACAAGGTTACATGAAGGGAACATGGCCATGAATATAATCCCTAATATAATCAAATACACCCACGCACCAATCTGGATTGGTGCAAGGATGTTGAAAAACGCCCATCGCCCAATATTAGGTTTCAGCTGTTAAAGTCCATCCCAGTCTGGATGTTTAAAGTGCTTTAGCACCTTTCATCTCTGACTTTAATGTGTGAACATATGCTTTTCTCACTCATCTTCTCTTTCAGTCATCAATACAATGCCTGCTTCTTTCTATGTCATGAATTCACAGACTGGTTTGAAGCAACATTAAAACATTAAGCTTAAATAGAGAAAAAAGTCACAGATTTATGTGGAATTTTCCAACCTGATCATCTTGATCAGACTATTCAGGACCACCGATTAGACAAATTACTTACTGTTAATCCAGTTTTTGTGTTATTCGGTGAGAGCAGAAACATTTCAAAATAATCTTTAGCTTGAGTCTCAGATGTTTACAATGGAATTTTCTTCATGGTTGCTATAGTTACAGTGGTAACTTATAAGATAACTGTTGGCCTGGTTACATACTCTGGCCTATTTCTCCCACAGGAATATGAATGAATGCATTAAAGAAAGTGAAATCAGATTTCAGGCGGAATAATAAGCAGCCAGTTCAAATGCAGCATGGACTTTATCGACAACCTTTAGAAATGAATTCTCTGTTTGCTGTGGTGAAGACTGGGCGTGCAACATGGTGTCTGAATGTTAATCTTTCTCACCACGCATTTCTCCTTCCTTCCTCCAAGTTAACTTCTAAATGTGTTTTACAGTGCGAATAAACAGCGGGCGCTGAGCTCTCCTCGACTGTGGTCAGCAGAGAGTGAAGAGACTAAAGGGGGAGACTAAGGGAACCAAGAGCACGGTGTGGACTTCAGAATGACGTTTTTGACGATAGGTATGCCGTGAGTGACCCGGACCCCGTCTGACCTGGTTCTCCTGCTCTTTGATCTGCTGCTGCTGAGAAAAAGCTGCAGCTTGCATCACGGAGAGTTCTGCAGAGACAGCCATCAAGCGGCCGTTGGTTCGGATGATGCTGGTTCGGACCTTGTTAAGCTAGAATGGAAAACACAGAAACACAGGTTGGGTGAACCCCAGGTTCTCCTATGGGTTTAGATACAGAACTGAGATACAAGCTGTTAATCTGATTTACTCAAATGATGAAATTAACTATTGTCTGTGTTGCTGTGGCTGCTGAACATACAGAGTCTGTGAGCAGGCTTAAAAAGTTCAGTTCCTCTTGTTTAGAAAAAGAAGAAAGCCCTCAGCACCACTCGTAAGAAACAGTATACTTTAAACCAGGAATAATAAACATGCACAGAGTTTTCTGGCTCTCAAATCCACTGTTTTCAGACTGTCACTTTTTATAACTCCCAAGATGGCAACAACAATGAGGAACGTGACAGTTGTATGCCAGCGGAAGATGTCCCCAGGGCTACCTTCATCTTCTTTAGTTTTCTGCATACGGGAGAAAGGCGATCCGAGGCAGGAGAGAAACTCGAATGCTTTCAGAAAAGCTCCTCACAAAAGTGTGAGCCGGCTCATAAAGGAAACTAAAAGATTATTAATTACGAGTAGATTGTGTTGTGATGCTACCTGTGCGTATATAGTTAAGCCTCCTCTCTGCCTATTGACAAGTGACATATGAGATTGTACCTTCTTTGCCAGTGACAGTTCGTCCTGCTGGCACTTCTCGGCCTGCTCCCTCAGAGGATTCGACAGCCGGGTCACTCTGTCCAGCAGGAGTTCTTTTTCCTGCAACTGTCTTTCCCGTTCAGCTAGATTCACCTCAAGCTATGCGCACACACACACACACACACCCACCCACACACACACACAGGGACACTGTAGCTGTCGACTTGTAAAGCAGCTTCGAAATAACATTTTAATATGCTTTTCTGTACCCTCTCCACTTTCTTGACCAGCTCCACTGTTGACGGGTCTTCGCCTTTTAGCTCCTTGTAATCCACCGGTCGATTCAGACCTGCTAGCGTCTTGTCTCTGGCTGCCGACACCTGGGAGACATACAACATCAGAGGCAATAAAAGGTCAAATCCAGTGTGCTGACATGTACAGTTCACGCTGCACATAAAGACCAAAAAGGAGAAACAACTCAGTCACGGATGAGCTGTAAAAAATAGATTTCAGACACCGCAACAAATCCACAGAATGAATAAATAATGTAAAAGTACAGAGGAAGTGCAAGAGTCTGGAATTAGTCTGCTCATGTCTGCTTTCAGTCTCTTGTCCTACAGGCATTTAAGATACTTATTGCTCTGGGGATAAAAACACAACACCTCAGGCCTATGCTAACTAAATGTCATGCATACTTTAGATGGGAGCGTCTTCCTACGAGGTGTCAAGTCGTCTGCAAAGTCTAATAAGAAAAAACTCAATTTAAAATGCCACCATGTCCTGACATTCCTAAAGACATCAGAAATAGAAGGGGAAGTAGGTATACGAGAGAAAGCGCAAAGAAGATGAGCCAAAAGGGAAGTGGAGACAGACAAAAAGCAGTTAGGGCATTTTCAAGATTCACGGCCGCGCCCGATGCTCTTTTCCAAAAACTGCTGCAGTCAGTAAGTGAGGAAGGAGGTTAGAGTTAGTAAAAAGTGCTGACAGGACTTACTGATTTAGGGAGTAAAGAGCCAGTCTCAGTAGGAAATCCCATTCAAGAATGCAGCAATGTCGTGATGCGGGGTTAAAAAACACCACATGGCAGTGCACTGTGTGTGAAGGGTGTCGTTTTGTGTAGCGGAGCGCTCACCGGCCATTGCCGTTATGGCCATCCATAAATACTGACAGTGTCTCACAGAGTAACGTAGAAAAATGTTAAGAACCGCAGGAAATGTAGCATTAAGTGAGACAAAAACTGTCATCAGTGAAAGGAAGAGATTTATTTATTTCACGTGACACAGCTTAGTTGCACAAACTTTGTCTCTCTATGAACAAATCGAAGAGAATAAGGAAAATGGCGTGATTGTGTGAACAGACGCATATTTTGAGGGGTGCCAGAGCCTAATAAAATCTGGTAGGTCCCTAAATCACATCTGTCCAATCTTTGCTAGCTTGTCTTTTGACTCGAGGAGAATAAAGGTTACACATCAAATCAGATTATGCAGACAAGGTTAAAATCAGGGTCCCTCTTTCCAACAGACTCAAAGAAAAATTCATTTAAATGCACACAGCTTCATGGAGGCAAAATAAAAGTAGTCTATGTCTAAAAATATATGAACCTGAGATGATCAAAGCACAATGACAGGAAGAATAAAACAGATGCGGGCGGAGAACAGAAAAAGAGCAGAATGATAAACCAGGTGACAATGAGAATATAGAGAATGCATTTGTCATATTTATAGAAGGCGAAAGAGAAAGACAAACACAACTGAGGAGATTGAAAAAGGATAAGAGGGTGTGGGGAAATATTGTACACGGGCGGACTGTCCTGACGGGACCTAGCTTCTGAAAAAGAAGCCTACGTCCGCTGGGCTTAATGGACGTGTGCAGCAGTGTGTGTTTATGCGCCGGAGAAGGACAGCGCGTGACAAAGTGATGACTTTCATTTTCACCTCCCTTCATGAATGGGATTAATGAGGCCTCGCTTCAGTACCAAGACAGTGAGGATGATTAAACCAGACTAGAGTGATCAGTTTGTTGAAAAGCTGCTTTTACTCGGCCGTCACACAACTCCACGTTCTACCGACCCGCAGTGCCTGTCATGTGATTAACACAGACGAAAGTATAAAAACAAAACAAGATGAGAGGCAGTGAAGAGCACAAAGTGCTCAGAGAAACTGATAAAAGGCTCGCCAACACAGGGAAGGCAAAGGGAGACGCGCAAAAGAAAGACTGACAGCAAAAATAACCGTTAAACGCACTGTTTCACCACATTCCCCGTAGATAACTGATTTAAAAACAGAGGTCCAAAAATACTGCTCACTGATCTACGGGACCAAAACGTGCACAAAGACATTTGGGAATGAAGATGCAAAGGCAAGAGTTAAGTACGTGTGCAATAATCTTCTCAGCTTTGATCTATTCTCACGTCTATGGGTAAATGTCCTCTTTTTGACAGGTTTTGATAGTTTCAATCTTGTCAGCCATAGGCCATAAATATGTAAAATGTTTACAGATTTCTTAGTAAAATTTGGACTGCTATATAAAAGCTCTTTCACGGTGAATTTTCTTTTCGGAACCGTGATATATGTGGTTAATTTTTTCTGTTTTGTTTTCCCCATACGTTTCTTATACCGGAACAGGGTTTGACTCCTTTGAGTCCTTTGACGTTAATCCTCAGTCATCAAAACTGATCAGACTTTTTTATTTGAGTTTTTTTTTTCAATCAACCTGATCCATGCCCCGCTCTCACCGATGAGCACCCTAAGAGTCAGTTAAACACTACATGATGGATAGCACACAGACTGTCCCTGTCAACCTCCTTCTCCTCTCTTCACTTTTCAATCAATCTCTCTCTTCTCTACAGTGCCCTCGCTCATAGCCTTTTCATACCCGGCCCACACGCTGACGTTTGTCTCTTTGTGTTCATGTGTCTCTGTGTCATTGTCTCTGTTCTGCCTGTCTGGCTCGCAGTTTTCTGCACCCGACAGTTACAAATCATAGCTCCTCTCTCGGTTCACGGCTGCTGTAAAACACTGCAAAAATGACAGCTTCCAGACAGCCAACAAATTTGCATTTCATATGCATAATTTCAGCTCAGTGAGTGGCTAACATGACGGCTTAAAGAGCCACGCTATAGCTGGTACACCGCACGCTTAACAGTGTTATAAAGATGAATAATGACTTTATTTACATACCGAGATTAAGTTATAAAAAGCCTCATAATAAACACAGATGAAAGACGAAGGGGCAGATCGGTAAAGCAAAAAGGTCAGCAGAGTAAAACAGCAGTAAAATCACAATTATAAGAAGGTGATGAAAAGTTAATCGGCAGAACATGCTATCAGAGCAGCCCAGCTCAGACTTTCATTGGCCCTGATTGAGGTGCGCAGACGAATAAAATGTGGAAGTTTGTGACATGTGAAAATGCTAAACAGATATAAAAAATGGATAATAGAGAACAATGACAACTGTTGGTTTAAATGAGTAAGAGTGCAACTAGGTGGAAATGTGGTGGTCAGTAACAGTAAACAAAGTACATAAATCAAGCCTCTGGAAAGAGTATGTTGGAAACAGTATCTAGAATAATCCAATTTAAATGTCAATGCTGTAATCTTGGGAGATTTGATAAATGATGCAGACTGCAATGACTCCAAATGGCCCTCGCCTTTCATTGTCTAACTAGAAAGCAGCCACAGCTACAAGGTTTATGTCCACAGAGGATAATGGGAAGCATGAAGACTAATAAACATTAAAGAAAGATCTATTTGGCAAGCCACGCCATGCGCAACCTTGAAATAACGCTGTGATTTCCTACAGTCATTGTGGAATGGTAATCTGGTTTGAAGAGTTTAAAGGAGTCTTTGCACTATAAAACCTTTAAGTTAATTACCTGTGTGAAGTATTTCTGTTATTTTACAGCTTTGTGATGACATACTGTAATACGTGCGGGAGGAAAACCATGCAGCAACCCCGCCCAAAACACAGATCGCCCACTCGTGATTTGTTAGCCGCCTGGTTTCATGAGCCAGGGCGGCGCCGTCTGAGATGGGTGGATGTGAGACGGGCGGAGTTGAGCCTGTGGCCAATCCCCAATCAGAGCTGGACACTGCAGCAGGTGAAGGAATGCAGACTAAAAGACCATTTCAATCCAATATAACCACGCGTCGGCCTGTGAGAGTGATGGCTGCTGAACTTAAAAAATGGAGAAGTAGAAAGAAACGGAGTCACAACATAATCGCCAACGACGGAACATTTGTCTTAGAATTTTAGGGTTGAATGATATGTAAATGCAGGTTTCGAAATACTGTTTTGCCTGTTTTATCTCTCTGTAGATGGTTCACACAGGAGCGACAACAGGGACTCTTGCTCTGTGATAAACTGACGTGTTCAGGGTGTGCCCCAGCTGTCAGTCAACGTGGCTTTGGATAATCCCTCAATGGGCATGAATGATGGACAGAAAACACAGTTTGATTATCTGAACTGGTCAAGTCGTCTGATATTAGAGGTTTTTGTCTGACCGTGACAGGAGGATGAGAGAATCCTTACTGCTGGTCGGGTGTGGGAACAGTGCTGTTTTTAATTACCGACAGAAGCGCTGAACTACTGTGACGCGACTTTCCCCACGCTTGGCCGGCATCCCGACAACATCTGAAGCTGCCCGAAGTGAAATAAGATTTAAAGAGGCGAGCGGTCAAATGACCTTCAGTGTTTGAAGAGAATCATTTCATGTAAAGCTCGGTCCTTCTTGACTTCCACACACAAACAAACACACTGCGAAGACACAATTCACTAAGGGTTTCCCCCGCGGTGACAAGTTCCAGACAGGTTGGACGAAGATTTAAGAGAGGGACAGTCAAACAACATGACTCACCACCACAGGGAGACTGCAGTCTGTCAGCAGCCCCACCCTTTTATAAATCTCACTCCACTGCTTACTGTTTGTGTGCTGTTTGAGAAGCTTCTTGTATAAAAAAAAAAAGAAAAAAACTTTAACAAGTATATAAAACTATCGGGCTGAATTCATCACCTATATTACACACATCTCACAGTGTGCCTTGATGGACGTGCACCTGTATGGGATGTTGAATCCAAAAACAAGTTGTAATGTTACAGTCCAACAACAGCCTTTGTTTATTTTGCAGCAATTAAAATTCCTTAGAGTAATGAAATCCTCCAAGAATATTGAGCTTCAATAGCCTCACAGATGGCCCAATCCATCTTTGTCAACATTTCCCATCAAAGGGAGGAGCTTTGTCTGCAATGAGCAGATAAACTGGTCACAGATGAATACAAATAGACAATATATATGATAAATCGACAGCAATGCAGTTGCATGGAGATTGAATTCACACAGAGAATGAATTGGCAGGGAGAGTGAAAAAGATTTGGCAAGCCTCCTGCGAGAGGAGAGAACCTATGATTCACTTTTTGTACTCGAGGGAGGTAGACGGCTGACAAGGGGAAACTGTGATTTAGAAAATGATTTGCTATTTACACACAAAGGAGATGGAGAAATATTGAGTGACTGAATGGACAGATGGATGAACAAACAGATGAACTGTGGCATTAATCACAAATGTACGTTGAGCTCCATAAGCTTCATTGATTCATTGTGGGGCAGCCTGGGCATCTGATTTTTACAACATGATTACTTGTTGAAAGCCATAAAAATCACAAAAACAATACCATTCCAAAATCAATGCTCAACTTGTAAGGCGATATTTTGCATCAGTCTCCTCAGTTCTTTTGTTGTTGTTTTTTTGTAGTTGATCTCTAAACAAATCTATAAAGGCTGGCAACAAATAACTTTGTTGTCATAAATTCTTTATTACATTAGTCTGTCACAGATGTGTGTGATTTTATGTTGTCCGTTATGCAGCAAAACGTTATTTTTGCAAACACAATACAAAAAAATCTACACAGTGCCAGAACAGAGTCTGCCAAGCTGAAAGGACCTCGCTCTGCTTTCAGCAGTGTCGGCAGCACATTCAGAAAAATAAAAACTTCTCCAAGTGTTCAGAAGCAGCTGTGCTCTGAGGGTGAGAGATGTGTATGTTTTTTCTTGGTTGAGCAATTAGCTAAATGCCAGCATCAGCACTCCATCACGTCACACTGACAATACCCACATACTGCTATTTTCTCAGGAATAATTCACTGGTCTCTCATCTGTCTTCATTTAAATTAGTCATGCACTTTTTACACAAAAAACACATTTAATAATCTGCCAAAAGCATCACCCATAGCAGGTTTATCTATTTAATTTAAGTTGGATGAAAGAAATAGTTTAAACAGTGCTGAATATTGTGTGAAAAGAATGTGAAGCTGTTCCAGTGAGTCCTAGAAAATAAATGTGTCTGAAAATAAGCAGCTATTGGCTGTTTAATTAGTAAGTTAGCCTACATACGCTTACAACAAAAACACAGAAAGCTAACATGATAACAATGTGAGTGGGACTCATCTTTTATTTCACAATAGGGCTTCAGATGTTTTCCATAGGCACTTTCATGAGGATAAGTCAGTGGAATTCATCCCTGAGGCCTGATTAAAGTTGTACCAGTTTAATATTTGATGAAATTTTTTTTGTGGTGGAGTGATGAACCAAATAATTATGCAATCCAAAGAGGAATTTAACACAACTGAAGACTACCAATGAACAGCAGAATGTAAGGTCAGTCGGAGATGGGGAAGTGAGAAATCAAGACAAGTTAGAGTTTAGTAGTTACTTTCAATGGGCGTAAATGCTTTAAGGAATAAAGAAAAGAGGGGAATATAACATAAAGGTAAGAAAATAAGAAATAAATAGACAAATGATGTGAGAAACAATTCATGTAGTCGAGTGACAGAAAAAAAAGGCACTGGGGCAAATAAAACGGATGGAGTTAAGGAAAAGGGGCATTTTTCCATAGGGATGCACTTGTTTCAGAGCTCTGCTTCAGAGCTGCATTCAACCAAAGACTAAACGATCAAGATATGACCAAGATATGCTTGATCCAGCAGCAGGTCTAAACCAGTCACTCTTTTCCAAAGCAGAAGTAAATCTGGTCCCTGGATTTAGGCAGCTTATTGTGTGTGCATTTCTCGCAGTCATTCAGTGTCACGGACTTTCCCGAATATGTTATTCACTTGGGTATTTCTTTCTGTTTCTCAGAAATAAAGACCTCCTGCACTGTATATTTACCAGAATACACTACAGTCTCATTAAAGGATGAGGCTCTGAAGTTGTTTAAAAACAGATGTCAACTCATTGACTTTCCCCAAGTCATCAGAGCTGTTCCGTAGTTTTCTTTAGCACTGCACTTAGACTAACGTCTTTCTTTGGAGATGCCTCAGTATGACACAAAGACATAGGACCTCACCACCATCAGCTGACACTACTGCTACAAACTGTGACCGAACACCTAGCTTCACAATTTGTCAGAACGTCTCCGGCATCCAGATTTGGACGGTTACACTCGACACACATGCATAAGTAGACCAGAATAATTCAAGGAAAGCTTTGCAGACACATTCAGTCAGCCTTTTTGTAGCAACTCCTGTCATCAAAACACACCAGGAAGCACTAATTGACAGATAGTGTTGCTCGAAGATTGGGTTTTGGATCTGTGGAGCAGAGCCACATCCTGATGGTCATGCTGTTAGAGGACAGTGGACACCGGCGCCCTGCAGCCACAATCTGCACCGATTATTGGCTTCATATCCAGATGAACTCCAGGAAAATGGTTCTGAAAACTTGAATTTGAGGTATCCAAAATCATAAATTACAAAAGAGTGTTTTAGTGTTTGTGTGCCTTTGTTGTAAGTTTGGGGAACCACACTGTTAGGTCATTTGTAGCTATTTCAAGGCATGTATCGAAAGAAGAAGATGTTTTAGTTTCTTAGGAACAAGGTCTGACAGAGGACACAGGCATTTGGCAGCTGTCAGCTGAAGGCTTACATCACTGTTTACATAAAAACGATTCTAATAAAGCAATGTAACTGGAAGTTTGGTCAAGTTCTTTCTGTGAAAAAGTGTCACCCGCCTCTTGTCTGTGTAAGGATGTGAGTGTAAGTTAATGCATACACATTTTTCACCTCTATCTGCAGCATGGTCATTTCGTCCTCCAGTTTTCTCTTGAGCAGCACTTCCCTCTTCTTCAGATCTATCTGCCTCTTCTCTTCATTAATCGCCAACTGTAATTCTTTAATGTCCTTCTCCAGGGTCTCCAGAGACACGTTGCCCTTAGCAATGGCTGCCTCTTGATTGTTCACCCGCTCACGATAGTTAAACAAAACCTCCTCTTGTTCCAAGAGTTGGATGCCCCTGTTGATTTATAAGAAGTGACAGCCTCATATTTTGTGCAGATGGTTAATTACTTACAGGTTTATTCTTACGATCCTCAAGATGTAAACATACAGAAAATTGCGGCGCTGTATGGCATTTTCATGATTTCTGTTTAACTCCAGAAGAGTCTCCTCCTGGAGGTTGATGGCCTGTGAAAGTCTCATCAGTTCTAGTCTGTTGTCTTCAAGCTCTTGATTGATATGTCCATGTTTCCAAGTAACCTATACGATAATAGAATCAGATAAAAGAAAAGAAAAAAAAACACATTGTGATGCATGCATTTGTATGCGTTTTCTGAAATCCTGTTATTTCAACCACTCCATGTGTGGAATATCACAAGCAGCTGAGGGCCTGTTTTGCTCTCACAGCTCCAGTTTGGCTGTAAACCATCTCTCCCCAGATCAAAACTAACTGCTGGATGTATGCCGGATTGCTTGATTTCTTCTTGAATATATAAGTGATTAGGTCTGACAAATTCTTGTTTTATAGACATCTTTCGCCTGGGGGAAAATGGGGTAAGATAAGCCATTTTCTATATACATGGTCCTCAAACGAAAAGAGAATGAGGCAGATTTAAAACGAAAGCCTCATTTTCTAACTGAAGCTCCTGCTGTAGCTAATTGAATGCTCACATAACGACAAAAGTGACGTGCTTTATAAGAAAAAAAGGGTGGGTCAACTTTCTAAATGGCTCACTTTACCCATTCCCAATAAATCAGCTAGTTGCTACAGACAAAACAAAATCAACGCATAATATTTTATGGGAAAAAACGCCCAGGATTAAAATGCAATATATAATACTCCCACTTCCACCCTGTTCCAAAAAATGGCTTTAAAACTGCCAGGAGGCAACTGGTAAAGAACATTACACCAAAGTTCATAAACTTTTAAACTGCGCAGCTTGTATCTCTCTCTGCTTTAGAGTCTTGTGAAAGACGTACAGATAAATACCAGACCAGAGTTTACTTTCCCACATCTTCAAGGATGGAGCCCACTTAAAAGATGCACCAGTTGTTACAAAAATTACATTTTTGTTGGCCTTTTTCTGTTAGATTGGTTAGACTTTTTATTGAAAAGAAATATTTCCAGTGTGTCTTTTTGTGTGTGGACCTTGGAGATATCATTGCGGATCTTGTCCCTGATTTTTGAGCTGTTAGACATCTTCATACGGGCCTTTGTGAGACATCTGGAAAAGACAGTTAAAGAGAATTTAGGAGTCAGCATTGGTGATGCTAACATGAAGTCATGACCTTGATGAAAGGAAGTCAGGCAACATGTGAACACACCTGTCCTTGTTGATCGCTACGCTGCGCTGGATCTCCATTTCATTTTCCAAAACTCTAATCTGGTCTGTCAGCTCTGAGATAGTCTGTGAGGCAATCTCCTTCAGCTGGACAAACTTATTCTTCTCTTCCCCCATCATATCAGACAGTTTGGAATACTGTGAAATTCTAAAGCGGTAAAAGCACTGATTAGTATTGGACGCCTTTTTTACTTACACCATACGTAGTCATTTAGACACTAGTATTAATATTCAATATTTCTATTGCTAGAGGAGAATTTGCACCTTAGATATTTATACATTTCTGTAGAAAAAGCGTTTTCTTCAGTGCTTTGTCTTCTTCAACTTGAAAACGCAAGTTTAACAATATATAAATGAAAGATTTCAGTCTTCCATTACTCATCATTACAAATGATCAGTGAATCAAAAAGATATTATCAAGGAAATTTAAGCCAAGGTGACACTTCAGTTTTAATCTAAAAATCATGTATGATGTAAGGTCTGCACCGTTATTGCTAAATATGGGAACAGTTCAAGGAGAAATAATATCTAATAATAATTATGGCCCTATTGCTTTATTGCTGTGGGACATTGATTCCAAGTCAAGGGCAACAACATCAGATTGTTCTCTGCTGCCGTGACCTGAATGAATGTATTCTGAGAGCCTGTTGTTGTGCTGGCTGCTGTTGTAGTGCATCTGTCTGCATCTAAACACTGAAGTGTGACCAATTAGTAACACACCGCTTTGTGTGTAACATTCTGTATGTACTGACACACAAACTGAGCAAAAAAAAAAAGGAAAAGAGGGCTCCACCTGCGCTGCAGCATTTCGTTCAGCTTGCTGTGGTCCGCGATGAGCAGCTCTTTGTCTTTGAGCTCCTGCTGGATTTGCTGGTTCAGTCGCTGTAAGTAGATGATAGCTGGTAAAAGTACGGCGTCGCCACCTCTGCATGGCTGTTTTTTAATGCGTGTACCCTCAGAAATATCTAACTTTATATGCGTCTGCACGTGCACATTCTCTAATGATGGCCTCTCTCATGACATTTTGAGCATAAAAAAACATTACGATATCAAAATCCATTTTCAATGAGTCTTTGTGGGTTGTTTTGCACCTGAGTCCTTAGCAGTTCACGGTGCTTCTGACCCCTCTCGTCTGCCTTGATCTGTGTGAGACATCTGAGGTTATGGAGCTCTTCTCTGAGTTGGTTAGACTCCCCGAGCAGCTCCTGAATCATCCCATACTGCTGCTTCTTATCACCGTCCTCCTCAGTCAATGAAAGCTGGTTCAGAAGACAAGTCTCCACTGAAAAATCTTGTTGATATTTGGACGAAAATATGTGTTTACCGACACCATAATGGAGTTAGTCCATCTGAACAAGGGACAGACAGATGCTGAATACTAATTTATTTTCTGTGCAAAAAATGGAAGGCTAGTCCTCAAGAGTATAGTTTGAGAAGATTATTCAACAGGGATTCTTATTATTTGCACTTCCTTCTGAGAAGATGATAGATCATTAAAAACATAAAAAAAATATTCTATTTACTCAGCAAAGCTGAAAATGACCAGTGGTAATTAAGCCATATCTAAAAAATAAGACAGTTAATCAGCTTGGCCATAGCAGGCTTAAATACACAACCCAACCTGTTTTTCAAAGCTGACTCGGAGAGCATCCACTTCTTTCTGAAGCTCCATCCTTTGCTGTATACTGGCCTCTCTTTTGGGAACAGCATCCAGCTAAATATTGAGAACAGAACTTAAAGTTAAACTCAAAAGCCTGCTGAAATTTGTATTGCTTTTATAGGTCCTGATTCACAGCAGTGAATGTGTATTCATTATCAAGAAAGGAAATACCATGAGGATGCATTTCAAATCCCCAAACACTTCATATGAAATTCTTTCAGTGCATAATCAATGATACATTAAATATTGACAGCAAAACCAGTACCATGTATAGAAAAATCCCAGAGGCCCCTCTGGTTGCGTTTGGATACTGTGATATGGCAACAGTACTATAAGTTTAAGGGTTCAAACAGGATATTGCAATAGTAGAATTTATTACCAACACATGCAGCACTTAATCAACATGAGCTGTATTAACACTATACTAAATATTAAAGACATCAATCATTGAACTCTAACTCATTCTGTGGTACACAAACAGACTATATTATACATACTGATTTATTATGAGGAGCTTTTATAAGAAGCTAGTGAGAGTCAACAAGAATGGGCAGATTGTATGAAATTAATTGTCCAACAACTTTTTTTAAAGGCTTCTCTAAAAGTGTAAATTCCTCATGCGTCATAATGATTTCCTTCCATGCTGTTATGTGTTCATGAGATTTGCTGACACATTTCCGATGAGACCTGTCCTCTTCTTCTTTTTGTTTTTCGTTTAAAAACTATGTACGTCAATACAATTACAGGAAAAACAAGAATTTCTAAAAAAGCCCTGCAGTCTAGCACAGATCAACGATTTAATGCACTTGTGATGGTCACCATGACATTTACGCTCAAAGCCTGGAAAAATGTCCTAACCAATGACAAACAGTAAAAACACCTCATGCCTAAAGTTGCACCGCTGGTAAACGATGCTGATAAGGTTACTGGTATCAACCTAAAGCAGAAAGTAGAAAGGTTTTTTTTGTTTTGTTTTTTTCATATTAAAAGGACTATAACAAGAAGTCCAAGTGCTTTTAAACAAACAAAAAAAGAGGCCATTCTCAGCCGATGTGTGGGCACTTCACAAATCACCTGGGCTTGTAGTTCATTGTACACAAATTGTGTTTGTCCAAGCTGCTCAGTAGCCATGGTCAGTGCCTGCTCCATTCGTTTGAGGGCTTGTATTTGCCTGAGGAAAACCAAAGGGCCTATAAAATATTTATCACCAAAACCTGTGCTGTCTACACTTTTCTTCTAGAAATATTTTTAAAAGAGACTGAATTTCTCTCAAACATAAATGTTTTTCACTGTAGTTAATTAAACCTAAATATAATCAACATATACTCATTCATTAGTTTTGAGATCATACCTTCCATCAGTGAAACTCCAATCAGGTGATTGCCACATTTTTTCCAAATCATAACATTATCTAGTAACTTAATATATAAAGATATGCAGCAAAGCATCAACTAAAGGAAGAATAGGAATGACAAGCTACAAAACAGTTAATATAATGAGCTAATATCAATATAAGTTAAACATTTTTTAGGGTTGCACTCAAGGCTTTGTAGCACTGAAGACTTCCTATGTGCACAAAAACTATGTCAATAATCTGAAGGATAAGTAAAACCAATAGATCATAGTATAACTTCTTTAAGAGTTATGAAAAAGAATGTGTCCTCAACTAAATTTGAGAGCTGAAGGACTACACTAACATAAAACATAACTTAGTGGCAGAACTGCTCTGTCAGACATCATTTAGTACCCATTTTTCTCTCTGAGCTGCACAGATCGGCTCTTAAAGAGGTGCTTTCTGTCATTCATGAGGTTTTGTAGCTTCATTTCCAAGATGCCCCTAGCAATGGAAAACACAGTGATGCATATTAGAAGACACTTTTCAGTCAGCAAATGAAATACTATATTTTGAAGATTTTATACCATATGCGATCCTAATATAAAATACACAGGGCCATATACACACATTCAATGAAGGAGAGTTGTGCACCTGTTTCCCATGAATTCAGCCACTTTCTCCTGGCTGACCTCCTGCTCTTTCAGTAGCTGTCTGTGCTTCTTCTGACTGGCCTCTATTTGGGACCTCAGACCCTCCAGCCCCTGTGCCACCTCCTCCCTCCTCCGCTTGAGGGATTTGTTGCACTCATCCACCACCCGCACTTGCTGCTCCATCTCTGACATCTCCACATTTAGTGCTTCCATCGACTTCACTGCAGCTCTGGTGTTCATGTGGGGAGGTGGGAGGAAAAAGTAACAGATGAGAGTGAGTTTACGTACGCGAACGCAACAACATTTTCCTCCAATTCCCCACACTTGTCTTGTAAGGGTGCATTTCTTAAACAGTTTCTGAAATCACAGCTTGTTCATCCATCTTTGACATGCACCCCCGGAATCCCTCGACTTTTTGAATTGGAAATTACAAGTCATTGCTCATAAGGCTTCTGCAGGCTGTTCAACTACATTACCGGCTGGCCAAATATTGATATGAAACAAAAATATTAAAAAGAGCTGCCTTCATGCCACAAGCGAGAGACTCTGCAGTAGCATTAGTATTAAAAATGAATGATTAATGCCAGACACCCATGGTGCAAACTCTTTTTATCCCATAAGGACCTGATGCAACATTTGAGAGTATTTGTATCACTGTTTACAAGGTGAGTTATTGCTTAAGAGGGTTAAATTGAAAGGATTGGCACCCTCAAATGACTAAGAATTTGACTGATGAAATAAATATCCCATTTTTTTCCGTTTCTTGCTTTGGTGATTATGATTTCTTTCTCATAAAAATGCGAAATCTGCTGCTCATTAAAAGAGCTGTGGGAGCAAAATTTGCATCGAGTAAACTAACCAAGTTAAAAAGGAAGACTTTTTTTTTAAACGAAGCACAAATTGAGAGAGTTTCGAGAAGATTCTGGGGTTATTTCTGATTCATGTCAAGTGTACTAAAAGGTTGAAACTGTACAAAACTACACATAAAGCCCTTGCATTATGAAAATGATAGGTTCATCGGGTTAGATCTACTTATTCTGCGAAACAAGGGAGGAATTTTCTAAAGTGGGTACCTTTGTCTTAACAGTCATCTGAGAAACACATTTGTATTCTTGGTGTTTCTAAGTTTAAATTTGAATTCATGTATCAATTACAAAGGTGTCAGGTACACTTACTCTAACGGAACGTGTTTCCTTTTGCTCTCCTTTAAAATCTGGTTGGGTATGCTGATGAGCTGGGCTTTCTCAGCCTTGTAACAAAAATGCAGACATGAACACAGAAATGTACAAATTAAATTATTTGTTGTTTTATTAATGTTGTAGTGCTGTATTGTGCGCACAGTCAAAACACAAATGCACACACACTCAGACCTCTTTGAGTTCCACAATCTCATTGTTGTCTCGCAGCCTTTTCTCTTCATTCAATATCAGTGTTTCCTGCAATTCCACGTCTTCCATCAGGCTTCTGTGCAGGCATTGGGAGAAAGACACCAAAGTTGATTAATCTTTCTAGCAAATTTCATTAAAAAACGTCTTACTAAGCAGAAACCATGAAAGAATATAAAAATGAACATATCAAACACAAAAAGATGATTGTAAATTTAAGCCGGTGAGCTGCTTCCATCCATTTTCTGTCTGTGGCTGCTTTATCTCGTGGAGAGATGCTAGAGGCTGCATGTTGAGATTGTAGACTAGAGATTGCATGGATAACACAGAGAGATGACTGTGCACCCTCATGGCATATTGAGAATTACCAATTAACCCAACATGCACATGTCTTTGGACTGTGAGAGGATGTGCACACAGACTTAGGGAGAGCATGCAATGTCACATGGAAGGTTTCATGATAGATAGACCTGATATCGAGTTGTCGCTGGGAAATGTCTTTCTTCAGATCTTCACATTTATCCTCCAGGGCTTTTTTCTGGCTCTCCAGCTCCTAGAAGGTCAAACATACCACGTCACCATGATGACTCATAGCTTGGAAAAGTCTTTGAATTGCATTAAAATGAATAATTGATTAATGTGCATTTTTTTTAGAAAATGGGGTTCATTAAAAGGTAAAACACTGCCAGAAATTGTTAGAGGACCAGGCTTTCAATTTGGTTAAAACTGAAAAAAAAAATAATCTCAAGAATTAAGTTTAGCCTTTTTTCCAAAAGTGATTGTGTGGCTGCTTTTTTTGATAAAAATACTGATAAATGTCTTTGGTCCATTTCTATTTGTGATGTGATTACATTTTCTGATATTCTTTTAAAAACATATGGTGTTTCACAGTTCCCTTTTTTTATTTATACATGCGCATGTTGTGTTTTGTGTGTTCAAGTTGAGATATACATTCTCTAAGAAGTTAATGTGATGTATTTTTATTATAAATAACTGATTAATGGTGCCAACAGCAAACATCCAACAGCAAACATCCATATGGAGGGATTAAGGTTGGATGAAAGCTTAGAAATAAAACGTGTCTCATTTTCATTGGTTCTTTAGGACAGTTGTTGCAGTGGTAACCAACATCTTTGAAACAAAACATGGATGGTGCAGTGAGGAACTTACAGCAGGCGTTGTTTGAATCTCATTCTCTTTCTCCAGAACCAGCTTCTCTTCCCACAGACTGCACAGCAGTGAGAAGTAACATGAGGACCGGTGGAGACGAAAATAAAATGAATAAGTTATTTGGAGATAGATATGCCAGGTTTCACTTCCCATTTCAACAGAAAGAAGAATCCATTGTCCCAAATCTATATCAACATTCTTTGAATCTGACCAAAACACAATTTCCTGTCAACCAAACTCCCATCTAAAAGAAAAGGATGCAGAATCACACACATGACTGAAATAAAGTTTTTACCCAGTTTCTGGTATTGATGATTAAGAACAAAACTCTTACAAACACACACACAGCATATAAATGTACTGTTGTTTATGCAGCACAGCTACAAATTATATAAGCGCATAAATCTTGGGTTACAGCATGCACTATGAATGTGCATATAAGAACATCATTTCTGTGAATTTCTCGTCCCCCTGTGGTAGATGCTTTTGGGGCAGTCGATTAAAGTTTGTTTGAAATTATTTCAAGTCAGCTCTGTCATTATGAAAAACCTTACAGCAGCACATACTGTACAGCTGCGCATTTCACAAAGCAAATGATATTAATCTTCCTGACACTTGATATATTGGATCTAGACTCATACACAGAAAACTGCTTGAATGCCACAGTGAGAGCCAGCAAGAAGCAAGAAATTTCTGTGCATGTGTTTGGCTAAAGATAAAGGGCTCAATGATTTTGAAAATGCATATTTGCACGGTGAGCATCTGCTTGTCACATGCAGACTGATAGCTGAGTGGGCAAGAGGCGAGGAGGGAGAAGACAGGAAGAGAGGGGAGAGAAAAGCTTAGGCTGGAGGGGATGAAAAAAGGGCAGATGGAGAGAGGACAAGATAGCTCGGTAGGAAAAAGCTGTCATAAACAACAGACACAACCAGTGTGTTATACTGTCTATTATTGCATCCTCAGAGAATCCTCTGCAAGGGGTTCTCATTTAATATTTCAATTAGTGCTGGCACAACAGCTCTCTACCCCAGAGTCTGCATGAAAACCACTGCTTGCCTACAGATCACAGCCTTACCACGCAGTAGAGACTTTATGTGCATTGAGTGGTTTAATGTTGCAGAGGCAATGCAGGGCAGACTATTTTTAATCAGCTGTCTCTCTAGAGTTTTGGTAGAATTAAATTATTTAGCAATAATCCATGCCAGTGGTTCCTAATCAGAGGCTAGATCCAATTATCAGATACAATACTTCTCCAGCCCTGAATATTGTGGATTTTTTTCAACTTTCCAGTGAATGTACCCATATGTATTCATTCATATGTCCGTTTTGTGCAACTCACAGTCTGTCCTGTGGGCAATTCTTTTAGCGTGTCAGCCCAGAAAACAGAAACATGAGAAACCTGACTCCCTCTTAAACAATGGAGCTTGTCAAAAAGTTTGTTACATACAGAGATATAATAAGATATCACAATTACATATTAGAGTGTTTTCAAATGGCAAAAGCCAACATTTTTGGCAAAACGTTTGGGAACCACTAGTGTGTGCTATCAGGTTTCAGAGCAATGTTCCAGTAACCTCCCTCTTGCACTTAATGGAAGATAAAGTTTGTGTTCCAAGAGTGGGAAAATATTGGCATGATGCGTTCTTTTCCGTTTCTATGCGTGTTTGACCTTTCGGGCAAGTGAAGCGGAGTGCACTGGGTGAGGAATAAAAAGAAATACAAACCTGGAGAGGAGAAGAGGGAAATTGGTTGCAATGAGAGAAGAGACCCATGGGAGACACAGGAAAGGATGATACAAGAGGAACAGAAAACATGATGAGGCTGATATGAGAAAAAAGTGTTGATAGCTCAGGAAAAACAAAAATCCCCTTTAACTAAGTATTTCCATATCTAATTTGTATATCCAATTAAAAATTAAGTAGAACAAATAGGTGAAGTAATGAAAAGAACATAACCTTTTGGGTAATGTGGTTTCTTCCTGATTGAGTGGTATGAATTCTCGTGAGCCAAGAAATGTCAAAACAGTATATCTGTGTGTGCATCTGATACTCTTCACCTTCACCTCCATCTTAAGCCAATAAAAAGATGCTGCCTCATGGAGCTCACCTCAGTGTTTGGCCCTCAGTTACTACTATCTGTGTGTAACCAGGTGTGTGTGCACTCCCTACTCCTACAGTAAGCCAAAACAAAAACTCCTATCCTCAGCAAACTGGTTTTACTTCTCTCTCTTGAGCTGCGTGTGTTTTTTTTTGGATTTTGACATATATATTCGAGTCATCTGACGTTAATTAAGAGCTCTGGTGGAATGTGTTCGATCGGTGGTGCAACAGAGGTGTGCGTTTGGATGCATGCACGTGTGCGTCTCACCACTTCAGCTCATGCTGCATATTGTATTTTCTCTCCTCGGTAGCTTTCAGCTCATTGCATGCCTGGAGGAGCTGTCGCCGCAGTTCGCTGACCTCACTCTCTGGTGCCTCAGATGTGCTCTGCTCCTCTAAACTCTCTACCTCGGCCCGAAGCCTCTCCAGGTCGGCCCGACGGCTCTTAGCCTCTGCCAAAAGTTGGACTTCAGAATTCTGGGCACTGGAAATGACAATCACATTAGGGCATTGCATTTGTTACAGATTCTCATTCACCCTCAAAGCCACAAGCAGTATACTGAAGACAGATAAATACAACTGCAGGAGTTTGATGATTAAATTAGTCAATATAAATTCAAATTCATGATTTTCTGCATCAGAATATGTCAAATATTCTGCCCCAGTAAAGTAGCTACATCTGTTATTTTAGGGCTTTCATGTTTTATCAATGTTTTGTAACATAAATGTCATGATTTCTTCACATGAAAACTGAACTACATCTGAAATATAAATGTACATAAATCTTTATTCATATGGCAAACTGTATCAACTCAAACACCTGCCCTTCAGAGTAAATCTGAAGCCAGAACCAATCAAAGTAAAGTTATCCAAATAACGGTTGCTTGAAACCTCGGTTTCAGAAGATAGATTGACTCCGTATAGGTCTTTTGAATTTTGTGATTAGCAAAGTCTGAGTAAAAATTGAGATCTTTTGGGGATATTTTCCTTCTGGCAGGTGTTCCAAACAGATAAGCAAAAATACGCAAATCTTTTAGTCTAAGCTTCAAAAGCTGCTTCTACAGTGGCTCTACAGGTTTGACAAAGGGAAATCATGCCGATTAATAGTTAATCTTGTTCAAGGTTACACATTGGAAGCAGTTTGTGTTTTACAAAAATTGCACACAGCTCTCCCCTCTTATCGCTCGTGCGTTTATGAACTCAGCATCTCTGTAGTCAAACATTGATCCAAATATTTAATATCCCATCAAGATATACCTGATAACATACCGTTTCAAGGTCTCATGGAGCAGACTGTAGCTTGCTTTCAGTTTGGCTACTGTGGTTTGGCTAATTTTGCCAGCTGCTAACATCTGTAGAACACAAGAGTACAGAAATACTCAAAGATGGTATTATTCAGAGGAAAATGAAGTTGTTAAGCAAGTCAGCTTGGTTTCACATTTTGTAATGTAAGAGCTTTATAAATGAATTCCAGCAAAAAGGTTGTTTCTGCTGTAATGTGCAGAAATATAGAAATACTGCTGCACAGAACTCTTTTATGTATCTGTCAGAATGTGACCATCCAATAAAAGGGCCTGCCTATTCATGTAAGTAATAAGGTTTTAACCCGCGTTGGGGTGAATCAATGTATTAAAGAAGGCCAGGGGTAACTTAGAGAAGCTAATTGAGATCAGAACAGAGAGAAACAACATCTTACAATCTGCAATCTCAAAGGGAGAGGACTACTTATTGAAAATGGCTCTTTGATAATGAAAATAACCCACAGTTTCAGATTAGAAGCACCATTATCTCTGAATGATTGTGAATGTGCTGCTGAAAAACAAAAGAAAACACAGCAGAGACAAAGATATCAGGTCAAAAACACTGTAAAAGGGAGAGCTGTAAAATTTCTCTCCTGGGACCTGAGTGAGTATGTAACAGTGATAGAAAGAGAGGACAGGTGCTGTTTCTTATCTTCACAGCCAGGCTGGTGGAGTAGCGAGTAATGAGGGATAGCCTTGTCTGTATCAAAGAGCTGCAGGTCTGAAGATATCTCAGGTCGGACTGTGTAGCAAGTAATCTAACGTGTGCATGAGCACACACAACCAATTTGATTACATACACACAAGAGCTGATATCTCATCCTGACTTCAAACAATCATGATAGATGTTTTTTTTCTGCTATGGTGGCTATTGGATATAGAAGCGGCGTGTTCCTCATCACGCTCCAAGGGCTGAAAGGACAGATATGAATGGTGTGGACTGTTCCAATCACTTGTTTTGCTTTTCTTCCCATCACCAAAGGTCAACTTCTAAACCAAAGTGAATTTCACAGGTACAACTTGAGTAATTAAAAACATATAATTGGGAGCAAAGCCATATTTTACCAGGGGTCGATTCGATTGTTTCATCGGGGCCGTTGACATCAGCAGTGTAACAAACATTCCAGCAGTACACTGCATTTATCTGAGGCAGGCAGCCTTGGGCAGTTTCAGGCAGCCTCCCTTATTCTGCAGCCAAGACTTATCTGCAGCAGTTGAGCGGGCTGGAGGCTTTTATGGTCTGGTTGCATGTGGCTTCCATGTGGCAAACCACCTCTGAAGTGGGGTACAGAAAATCACTCAAAGATATTGATGCAAGCACTCTGACTCTCGCACACGCTCGCGCAGGCTGCACACACCTGTCCTTGTCCTGCAGCCACCCCTCGCAAACATGTGATCTGTGCTGCGGACCAACACTAAAACCGTCCAGTAAAATGAGTGTGTCGTGCAGAAGGCATGTGGTGTGTATATCAAAAAGAATCCATTGACTTTAATACTCTGCACCCTGAGGGAGAAAAATAATGACGATGGCCAGGAGGCATAGCCCTGCATTCCTCTGTGTGATGGAAAGAGCCACAATCTCTCTGTCTCTCTGCCTGCCCTCGTGTCCTCCTATTGACAATTTGAATTGGAAGCAAGCCTTCAGCCAGACTGAATCACTTTGTTGGGGGAACTTTTGTGCTGTAATTTTTTCCCTTCTGGAGTCTTCTTCCACTGGGGCTGAGAAGCCTTCTGTCGAAGAAATCTGCAGCATTCCTTAAACTGCCTCACTTTTCTTAAAATGACACACAAGAATAAGACATATGAATCGCATTCCACATCCTGTGGTGACAATTTTCTTAATAAACTGAAACAATAACCGATTCCCGCAAACAAATAATCTGTGTCAAGTTAACGACTCCACAATTAACTTATGGCGAGACGAGATTCCAAGTAGTATAATATGCACTCTGTGAGAGTGTTTCTGGATGGAGAAATGTGGTTAATTTAATCAACAGTTATTGCCTGATCATATATAAGATGAGATTGCTTTATGTATGTGCCTATGAGCTATTTCATTCTCAAAAATCCTGGAACCACATAGAAGGAACAAACCACATGATAAACAAATCAAGCACAGTGTTTATTGTCTATGGATGGAAGGCTCTATTGTGTTTGAGGCCTCTTTTTGTTTAATAAAGAACTAAATAATTCATAAACGCAGCACAGGTGACACCACAGTGGTTAAAACATGAAATCTGATAAGCAGCGGGAGCCTCGGAGCTGTGAGAGATGAGACTTTAATTTGATTAGGTGCATGAAACGCGCTTAGGGAAGGAACTGATTGTGGTACCCGAGCTCAAAAACGTTTTCACCCACAATAACCCCTCAGGGGAGGGGTGATTATTGTTTCCTTAGTCGCTATCATGGTCAAAATGTTAGTACAAAAACCGTTGTGAAAATCAATGCTTTCTGGATGGTGCAGTTCCTTATATAATTCATAAGAGCAGAGAAAAGCCCTGCCATTGAAAGAAGCCATGTGTGATGCAAAAAATGCTAAAGATGTCTTCATCCTCTTTGAAACAATCCTCTTTGAAAGTTCCAGTAGATTGTTGTTAAAAAAAAATGATGCTCCATTTTAGAAATGAGAAAAAGTAAACAAATTTAAAAATATTCTTTTGTAAGTTTTTAGTTTTGGCTTGCCTGTAAGGAATACTACAAACCCATCATGTACTCTAATTTTTCTTGCAGTGTGAAAAGCATTACAGGTTGTTCCGAGCTCGAGCCCCAACCACACAAAAGACTGGCAAAGTGGAAGATGTTGAAGATGTCGGGGAAGCCTTCCTCACCTGATTCTATTTCATTGTACTCTGAATTTCAATGCCAGACCCTGAACCATTTACTTTTGCAGTTCTGTCCGGAACAAATACTGCTATTGCCTAATGAAGCATATAGCAGGCTAAAAGGAAAAGTGTCAAGCTTGGACTCAAACTCTCATTCCTAGCTGTTAAGCGTCTGTTGCTCTTCCCCCGTCTGAAGATTTTTTATGAAAAATATATTTCTTTGTATCACTGGTGTAACTGGTAAATCACTTACAGAATGATATTTGACACCAGGCAGCTGTGGAGCCTATGCGATGAAAACTGACATGTGGGGGTATTGACAAAGGAAAGGTGTGTAATGAGCTGGGAATGAGAATGTTGCTTAGAAACAGGTAAACTGTTTGCTTAGAAACAGGTAAAAAATGTTTGACCTGAGAAGCAGGCTTTAAATTATTAAAGAGTGAAGAAGTAGCTCATCTCTTAACATACCGTATCTGGTTAATCTTGTGTCTAACGCCGTGTCTTTGCAGAATTCTTGGTAAATTTCATGAATACAAAATAAAAGGTTGTTCGGACTGGTAATGCATTAAATTAATCTTCCCAGAGTTGCTCCGGGCTAAACTCTGCAAATTTATACTAATTGTGGGCACCTGAGCTTAATTTTGCGACTGGAGCTCTGTGAAGGTGATCCAGCGAGACTTTGGAGTCGGTCCAGGTTCTTCACAAAGCCTTCAAATTTTACAGACACTCAAATCCATAGAGCCACAAAGTGTGAAAGAACATCACCCTGATGTGAGTTGAGTGGGTAGTTCCTGTGGACTGAGTCATTTTGTTCCTCCGGGAAATGAGCTGACTTCAGAGAAAGAGGTAGGATGGCAGCATTAACTGAAAGGAGGCAAAAGACATGCTTCTTCTCACTCCATGTCTCCACCTGCCTCTCTCTGCCCACCCGCTCCTTCCTATTGCCCCATAATCTTTCTGCATCTCTGTTTTTCCACAGTGCTGTTGATAATGTGTTTTGCAATAGTACAGCCCCTCCCATCCTCTCGAACTCAGAATGCTCTCTCCCATCCCTCCCGCTGCCTCCCTCCCTCGCCCTGATATTAATGACACAGCTATCTGAGGCAGCGGCAGTTACCCTGCACTCTCCGGCGCTCGTACGTGCGCTCACTCGCTGACGGACAGACGCGGATACACAGGCAAACATTTTTTTTTCAACTAAAAAGATACAGGACGCATTCCCAAACTGCTGCACTTCCAACCGTTAGGCACACACACTCACTCACGTGCCTCTTTAAACTGTAAGTTCACAGCGGAGCCAGTTTCAGACGCTCATTTGTATTTCTGGCAAATCTTACAAACATGAGGACAGCGGTGCTCTGCATCTGTGCCGGTCTCCTGCTCACAGCCACCTTGGTGCCACGACTCGGCCGGGCAGCAGACTTTTCTCTCAACTCTCACCAGCGATGGGACACTAGAGGACCCAACAACCTGGGATCTGAATCTGGTACCTCTGCCTCTTGTGCCGTGAAACTTCGACCCTCCGGGCACTGCGGGAGCTCCGGGGCCAGGGCAGAGGAGGGAGAGGACTGTCCCTATCAGCTCACCCTGCCTCCCCTCACCATCCAGCTGCCCAAGCAGTTCAGGCTGCTGGAGAAGACGATGAAGGAGCTGCAGAGCTTGAAGGAGGTGGTGAACAAGCTGAAAAGCGGCTGCCAGGAATGCCGTGGGGCACGAGGCAATGGGGCTGTTGGATATCAGCAAGCAGACCAGGGACAAACACAGATCCCAATTCAGAGGGAATCCGGGGAAGAAGTGACAGCACAGGAGGTGCAAGGTGGGTCAAGCCACGAGGAAAGGGGAGACGGGATAGTTCCTGGAGCTTCTTTGGATGGTACCAGACTTGGGCATGGTTACATTCCTGGGAAAAATACAGAAAGTCCAAGCACGATGCGGGAGATGCAGGTAAGAAGAAAAATGTAGTCTTCTTAAAAAATATTTGATATGGTGTTAAGAACGATATGGAACATTTTACAGAGAAATTATGATTTTTTCATAAAATATGCATGACTGTCAATTTAAGCTGAATATACGATTATCCTTCACAATCGAGTGTCTATATGTGTGTATAATACAGCCATACACATAGCACAAAAAGTCCAAAGCAGCAATGCACCATTTTATGTCTGTCTAAAAAAAACATGAAATTTGTCTCTGACTTTAATGAGCCTTGGGAAAATGTTCGAGGCAACGATCCAAGCAGGTGGATATAAAATATGTTTCATAAATATTGTAGAAATGGTGTCACCTCGAATTTGGCCGGTCAGATGCACCCAGGTGGAATTTAACCACACCAGATGTTACAAGACCTTTGAAGTCTGACCTGGCACAAATCCACCAGGGAAAATTTGCAGTACTTTAAACAGGGTGGGGAATCAGCATCAGACACCAGCCTAATGGCAGTACGATTCATGCCTCTGGTAAGCCTGTTGAATCACACACACAGCCTGGCAGCGTGCCAACCATTGCCAGACACTGTTTTGGAGTTAAAATTCAAACGGGAAGGTGAAACAACGAATGAGAACGGTGCCTTCACGAATCCACCTGCTTTGTAGCCTGTCCCAAACACAACTGTCTCCGCTTGTGCTTCGGCCGTCCTCAGGTGAAGATGAATAAGATGTCAGCCAGCCTGCGCAACGCCAGGGTCCTGATCACAGCTCTGCAGGGTCGTCTGGAAGGGCTCAACCTGCTCAACATGGACAACGTGCAGGCAATGGTGGACAGACGGGTGGAGAACATCACCGGGGCGGTCAACAAGCTCCGGTCCACCTGCACCACACCGTGCGCAGTCCAGAACAGCCCTCAGTGTAAGCTTGCTTTCACATTTACGGCACCACCTTTACAGGCTTTCTGTGAGATGAGAAGTGAACCATTTCTGGCTAACAATGACCTTGTGAAGTCTACACAGTGGAGTGGTGCAACATGCAGTAATATTATGCACAGCGGTGGAGATTAAGATATGAGAAATGGAAATGTTCTTTGTTCAAATAATCGTAGAATATCCGAACACCCTCTGTATCATCGAATCTGAGCGGTCTGATTAGTGGAACATAGCTTTAAGATGAGATCACACTGTACATGATTGAAGCCATTTGATAGCAGAATGAAACTTCCCATTACCTCTTATGTAACCAACTCAACCGCTCTGACCCTCAACTGCTCTCCACATGCAAACACACAGAACAGGGGAGGCAGACTTTGTGCTCCAGGGCATTTCTACTGCACGGCGCTAACATTTGAAAATTGTGGAATTTCATGGTAATGTATGTAAAATGTAACTGCCGGTTTGCAAAGTGCTTTCAGCCTAACAAACGTTCTGCCTTACCTTGACGCAGAAGCTTGCTTGTGTGAGGGAACAGCATAAATGCGAGTCACTTTTCAGAAACAAAGTGAATAACATCCTGATACATCAGGAATGTGACACTACTTTGGGGGCTTTCATGTGGAGAACAGAAGTGAGCTTATTTCTAAGTAGATTAGCTGGGGCTAGTGGTGTGAAGGGAATCCCGTTTTTTTTCCACTGCATTCGCTTCGCTCCAAAACTTTGTTATTTCTCCTCCACACTTTTTTCAATTCCCATTATAATGTCTCCCTCGTGGATTTATCTTCAACACACATACACCCAACTCTTAACTTCCCCCTTGTTTCACTTCGGACTTTCTTCACTTCTCTTTCTAGAAGCTTGCTTTCATTATCACCTGCCAATAACAGAAGTAGCAGCTCTCCAATGACTGCACACTTCACCTTTGTACAACGATTTATTGCATTTAGAGAAAAAAGTCTAAAATCATTCTGGCTTAAGCGGGAGAGTTATATCGAGGGCTTACTGTAAATACCTTTTCATATTGCAAATAACTTGTGATAACATTGCTTTTATATGTCATGTTTTTAAACAATGCTGTAATTGCAGTTTTACTGTTATAGTATTCCTGATCCTTGGAGACCGTTAAATCTGAGAAAACGAGGAAAACAATCTCAGCACCAGGCCCATGAATAACTAGTGCTGAAATCATGTGGCAACCTTTTTTTTAACCAAATGTTTATCATATCAAGCAGTTTACTGAGCCAATTGATGGTCAAAAAAGGTCACATCCAGAATAAATGACTGGCCAGCCAAATTGTAGCTAAGACATTAAACAATCAGTAAATGGAGAATACACAAACCAAACCTTTAGAGCTCTTTTGCAAACAAAGATCCAAGAGGGAACACATTTCAAACATGTTTAGGAAGAAATGAGTTGTAGGTTGTGTGCAAATGACATCTGTACACGCAAATACATGCTAAAATCCAAACATTTATGCAATCTTGGATGAAAAAACACGGGCAAGTTGATTCAGATGGCAAACAGAAACACCAGCCAACACTGTCGAAACATTTTGAATCAATCTAGAACTTCATCAAGCAGCACTAAAAGTTATCCAAAGCGCTGTAAACATTTATACATTTAATCTCTTCTGCCCAGTTGTATTATATCTGCCAGGATTCCTCATATTTGGTTATTTGAGTGTGCGAGCAGCAATTAGTGTTACTGATAAGCAACATTAGCGCAGTTATCTTGACAGAAAAAAGGGGCAGTAAATGTCGCCCTTTGTTAGGAAGTGCTTGGCAGAACATGTCAATTTTGCTGACTTTCTGTCAATCAAATTTAAACCACTGTGTTTCAGCTGTTGTGTGGCCGACTAGATTATCACGCCCAACGTACGACAGATTTCCTTCCTCGTCACTCAGACTAGCTTGATAATAGCTGTCTCCTCTTTGTGTGAATTGTGCACGTGGTCTGTAGTCATCTTCAGTCTTTGAAAAGCTTGTCAGTCAGCCTGTCATCAGACTCATGAGCTTAAGTCCACTTGTCAAAAATGTCTGTGCATGACGCAGGCACGGCGAGCAGCCTGGTTAGTGTAGCTTTAGTGTAGCTGACGGTTCAACAGCGTTTCAAAATATGATCTGACTGTATGAGTAAAATTTTATGATGTCTGCCAAAAGATAAGCATTTCTCATGAAAAAACAACTTTTGTTAGGCCTGGAAAACATCATGGTGAAAGCCTGGTTTACTCCCTTACGTTGGCCCAAAGATTGGGGAACATTCATATTCATAATTACGAAAAAATAAAAGAACGCTGCCTCGTTTCATAAACCAACACGTTCCTCATCTTCTCCCTGTTCATTTGGGTGCACTTTCACACCGATTCTGTGCGTCCAAAAGTTATTAATGACTGTAGCCACTAGGGGGCACTATCCGCTCAAGATAACCAATATTCAATGTGTCGTTTTGAAAAATCAGTAGAGATTAATCAGAATACTTTGGTATCATTGAACAGTAGTACCAAAAGCCAATACACCAACGGTCTTTTTGGCATCAATAAGTGACTGCCAATTAAAGTTATTTAGGTCAGGCACAGGGCCAGAGTCTGAGATTGAGATGGCTGTTGTCTGTCTGGGGACACTGGCTGTCCAGCAAGATGGATGGGGACAAAGAGGGAGGGAGAGGTGCAGTTGAGAACACAAACTTTTCATTCCAGATATCCCCTTTCCATAAATTATGTTTATATCTCAAGATTCTTTGTACCCACAAAAACCTTTGGCAGAATCACAGCAGTGTTAACACAGGATGTGGCACAAATATCCTTTTTTGATAAGTCAATCATATATTTCTAGCTCACAAGTCTGTGGACAGTGTGTTCGTGGTTTAGCTGATGGCCTGCATTGGGAAAGGAGCAACAGCTAAAAAAACACAGGCAGTAAAGATGTTTCTTTCTATTACCCATGAAAAAGAACTGATCAAAGCAGGCTGAAATTGTTTACCGTGCATGCTTTGTGAGAAAATGAGTCTATGCTTCAGATGATGAAATCTGGAGAACATTTGCCCTTGAATACATACATTCACAGGAAATTAAACCAGAAGTGAATTCCATAACTGGATTGCCCAACTCCTTTTCTTCTCTCTAGTCTTCCTTGGCCTCGGGGACTGTTCTTATTTGTCAAGTGAATGGGCAAAGATAAAAAAAAAAAAAACAGACCATAGTGAAAGATTATTGAATATCATTGAGTGAAATCCATTTAAAACTGCTCTCTTTTCTCTCTATCCTGCTGCCAACAAACAGTTATTTTAGCCCCTCGGGACTGCTCAGACTACAACGTGTTGGAAGTGAGGAAGAACGATGTGTATCGTGTGACCCCTGATCCCCGCAATGGGACATTTGAGGTTTTCTGTGATATGGAGTCTTATGGAGGAGGATGGACTGTGATTCAGCAACGTGTCGATGGGTCCGTCAGCTTTAACCGCACCTGGGACGAGTATAAGAAGGGCTTTGGGAACCTCAGGTATGTTTTTAAAAGCCTTTTGCAATTGCAAAAAACGGTTTTAGAAAAATGTCAATTACCGTAAGAAAAATAGATTTTGAATAACGCCATAGAAATGAGAATTCTATTATGTGCAACTAACCTCATGAAAATATAACATAAGACTGCCAGAACAGTCCTTTAACAGTGCAAAACAGGCAATAAATACAACTAAATCAACTATTTGACTCAAAAGGAGAGGCTCGGCTGGACTATTGTTATTGAATCGCTCGCAATGCAGGCTATGCAGTAACAATAGTGCAGGAGAAAGCAATTACTCTGAATTGTTAAGAGTGCTGATCTTTTAAAACTAAAGGTGACGTGCAGTTATTTCTACAGAATTGGGTTAAATTTGCAACGTGCCGCAGTCTCAGGTGTTTTTGCTGCAGTCCTGCATTTCACTTGAGCTGTATTTGTCTATGACTACTCAAATACAAATCTGTCATATAAAACTAATTGAAGTCATTTAAACAAAAAAAAAAGTCCTGAACAATGTATTTTTTTTAAAGATAAGCTCTGAGTCAACATTCAAATATGCAGTTTGCAGCCAAAAACGACAATCATCACCACCCTCTCTGCAACCTGTGGGTCAGCTTTATAATTTTTCTCTTTTGCATCAAGCTGGAGTGTTCTATTTGCTCAGGTTAACCAGGGGTGAGCATGACTAATAGACTACTACCAAAAAAGAGATACAAACAACAGGCTACCAATCCAAGAGGTCACTCTTGATCAGAGGAGATGAGGCTTATTTACAGGCAGAGCTTCACTATTATCAGTGGATCAGTGTTTAAAGGAAAGAACTTTTTCCTGAGCGCCTTCACCCTCCCTTACCACGACTTAAGCCTGCCCAGGCTGCTGCAGGGCCAAGAATAAGGATGCACACCTGCTACCAACATCACAGATTGCTCACCACCTGTTTTCATTACCAGTGATTGATTATCGCATGTAAAACTAAAGGAAACGCTCAGCCACAGTACATCGGGTTTATTCAAACAGGTTGCTCAGTTCTGAGCTCAAATTAAATTTTCAAAGACTGTTAATGTTCAAAAGCAACAAAGAGGGTAAAAGTGCTGTGGGCCTCAAGTATAACCATAGTGAATTTCTTGCTCATTATCTTTAATCTCATATTTTTCTGTTGTTTTTGGTGAGAAATAGCCGCAGTAACGTATTGATAACCAGCAATAGGAGGCTATACTACTAAAAGAATTATTCCCTCTCTCATTCATTTTTCACTGTCACACTCTCTCTCCCCTTGCATCTCCCTTTCTTTCCTCCCGTGCATAAGGATAAATATATTTTTTGTCCAGATAGCTGAATCCCCTATGTAACCCATCCACTTTTGCCTGTATACCAGCATATCATATATCTGTTTTTCTCCTACCTTACTTTTATCTTTGTCCTGTCCTGCAGAGGGGAGTTCTGGCTGGGCAATGACCATATCCATTTGCTGACAAAAGCAAAAGACATGATTCTGCGTATAGAGCTGGAGGACTTTGAGGGCGTTCGGGAATATGCAAAATATGACCAGTTTTATGTGTCCAATGAATACTTACGCTACCGACTGTCAATCAGTGGATACAGGTATGATATTAGTTTGTGTATACTGCGGCAACGTGACAATTTGAAACACAACATTTAACGTTTCACTGTCTCATGACAGCGGGACGGCTGGGAACGCCATCAGTTTCAACAAGCACTTCAACCACGACCAGAAATTCTTTTCTACGCCCGACCGCGACAATGACATGTACCCCTCCGGAAACTGCGGCGCTTACTACAGCTCCGGGTGGTGGTTTGACGCCTGCATGTCCGCCAACCTCAACGGGAAGTACTACCACAAGAGGTACAAGGGAGTGCGGAACGGGATTTTCTGGGGAACGTGGCACAACATGTCGATGGAGTACTACCCTACCAACTATAGGCAGGCCTTTAAAACTGTTAAGATGATGATACGGCCCAAAAACTATGCTCCTTAAGGGAACGGGTCAATATGAGAGAACAGTGAGGCACTTAGAGGGAGAGAGGAAAAGAAAATGGAATAAACAGTATATGAAGTTTCATACATTTTCATGTAGTCATGTATTTGAACAGATTTACATAAGCATACGTGTACAGCAAAAGAGACTATAGGCTCAACGGCCAGTTTAAGTGCAGTACTAACAAAAATAATATTTTGTGCAAAAAGTTATCATGCTATTACTTTTTCCACGGTCGTGAGGATGGCCTTCAAAATGTTGGATTGAAATGAAATGATGACAATAAAAGAAAATGGCCTGTGAACAATCATGGACTAATGAAAAAACACCCATGAAGTGTAAAGTCCAGCCTCCTACAGAGGCGTTCATATTCCATGGATGGCTACAGTGAACGATTTTTCACTGGTTTCTGACATCTTTCCACTTGCTGTCCTGCTGCATCCTACCACAAACCCTGCTGACACCAAGCACAGCACATATTAGTAGTAAAAACTAATGAGCTATCCTATTCTCTACTGTAAATGATCTCATAATTAACGGCGGCCACTCAAGTGAAATACGTGAGGGCTGATGACACAGCTTTGTGTCTGAAATTAATTGTAAAAGACTTCACGCTGGGGTCAAACAGATTTACAACTGTTTAGGGAAGCTGTGCACAACTTAGAGGTTTTGTATAAATTTTTTTCATTACACTTTGACAGTTCCCTAATATCCGATTTCCTACAACAGACTAAAGCGTCCTGCCCAATAAGATTTTCCTTGAGCGCTACATTTTGCATTACTGATGTCGTAGTAAAACAGCTACCCAGAACAACATTATACAGTTCCAATTGTTTTTCCAATATTATTGCAGGGTGCATTAAACTACTGCGTCCGCAAATATCCCCTCAGCTCATCATGTGTACAATACTGCTATCTAATGTTAGGAAACTGTATAGCACCATGTAATCCATTTTATACACTGTGAAAAGGAAATGTGCAACTTTAAGGATGTGTACAGTATTTATTTCCTTCATGAGGTATGATAGCTTTTATATAATATACGAAATAACATGCAGTGCAAACTAATGATTGTTAATAGTTGAGCATTGATAAAGCCTGTGCACTATTGTGATCATTCTTCATAAATATATTTGGAGTATTTGGAGCTTTGTGTGTATCATGTTGACCTTTTTTATTTACATAGTCATATGTAATGCTAAAAGATATGCACTTTTTATATTTAAAATGAATAAAGTTCAACTGATGAGGCTGTGTGCTTTTAACTCTGTTTGACCATTTAAAGTCCCACTGCTGCCTGTTCATCTTTACGGTGTCTTCTCTTTTGGAATCACTGTATATTGAAAAAAATAATAACAGAGGTTGAAGTGTTATGTGCACTTAATGAATGGTGTGAAGAGGGATGAAGAGGAACTGACTCAATAAACCAAAAAAAAGACCCTCCAGAAAGTAAATGATGATACTGTGGGACCATCTAATGTCTGTTTTCTGTTTGTGATGTCCACGTTAATAAAAAATATATCATGCTCATCCAAAGGATGAATTACTGTTTCAAGTCATTTCTCTTCAACATGAACAATTACTTCACTTTTTCTTATCATTTTCAATCTAAACATTCATTCAAAGTAAAACACCGTATCACAGCCCACCTCATTTTTTTTTTTTCCCCCTGGGGGCCAAAATGTTATTTTCCTATTTATTTGATAGGTATTTCTTTTTAGTTAGCGTGGCAAACTGCATAGTATTTGGCACTAAATGAATGTTTCAAAAAGAGATGATCCCATGAAAGAAATGGCATAACAACCCCTCACCTCATCTAAAGATTGAAAAGTAGAACCTGCAGAGACATCAGTGCTGGCAGAGGGTTTTTCTTCTGGAAATGAGACATCAGGTGCAACAACCACCAGAGAACCAGGAGCCTCCATGTGTTGTTCTTCTCTGCTGGTAAGCCTTTTATCCTGCTGCTCTTCAGAATAATTCACTGAAAAATACACAAACACAGTTATCTTTGGTTAATCTTAATGAACTAGTAATATGACAAATATTTGGATATATTCAAAATGCCAAGTGCACTAATAGAACCAAACAGTGACGTGCAATGTGTTTTTCCCCTTGTTTCAATGACTGAAATACAAAAAAAAAGAATAATAACCAAGTCACAACTTTTATATGTAGCAGCTAAAACAAAAACAACAACAACCAGAGCCAGCAAAACAAACAAAACCGTTTGCCATAAACATTTGCACTATTAGGAAATACAATTTTTCATCTCGGAGTGAGAAAACCCTAAATACATTTTCAAACCTGACTCTTTAAAAGCACTAATGTAGGAAGCTGAAACCCTAAAGTATGCGCTAGTTTCGGAGTAACTTAGTAAATAGAGAAGCTAAGCTAATGACTTAGCTTTGGTTTTCCTTATGTTGCTGCTGGTCAACATTAATGCAAAAGCCTTACTTTTGTATATCTCTGCGTTTACACTTCATCCGTGAAAATCTCAGCTCTTGTCTAGATAAAACTGTTTCTATATAGGTTTTAAAATAGTTTGAGCTAAATCAAATCACAGCTGTGTCAGAGATGGCGTGTTGTGGTTACCATAACAACGCTGCAGTAGACGTAAACTTTAGTGTTTAAGGAGACCAAACTTATATTTAAAACTTCGACGCCTTTCTTGCTACATTGCTTTCTTACCTGAATTTTATGTTTAAATGCTCAAATGTTGTAATGACTTGAAGAAAATATGTTGTAAGTACTACTTAAATGCAGATATCTGTCTTAAATTGTGGGATATTGGGAAAAATCTTAATTTTCACCTGCATTGGCTGTCCAGCAGAGGGCTGCAAATTCTTATTTGGTATATTCCTGGCAAACACAACCAACATGTGTCATACATTTGCCATGGCAGTGAATGAATGAGCACTGAAAGAGATAAAATGAGTCTGAAAATGACCTGAAACCGAGGTGAAATGATCAGGATGATGTAACTATGCTGTTATAGTGTCAGCCTCTTTCCCACACTGCATCCTGGGAATGGCCGGGTTCATCACTCATTCTCCCTAACAGCTGCAGGGACGTGTTTTTCCACCAACAGCATATGTGTATTTGCATTCTGGTGTGTGAGTTTCCATATCCTATTTTAGAAAGACAAAAATCACTGTTGTGTGTTCATCTCATCTCTCCATCTGTGGGCGTGACCATAAAAAAAGAGAACCTATTTCCAAAGTTCTCTTTTGGTCAGGTCATTCCAAAATTCCCATGTCTGGTTCATTGCAAGTAGGAGTTTTAGATGTCCTCCATGGTACAATGCTGTTTTATACTGGGTTTAAGGGTGTTGCACAAAATAACCCTCATTATTGAATGCAGCTTTCTGGAAGAAACCCCTTCAGCCAGCCCTCTGTTTAAGTGGCATCATTACAGCAATAGCCTCAAAACACAGCGTGCTAATTACCAACTATGCTATTTAAAGGCGTTTGACAGTACAACGTTTGTTCACCCAGTCCACAGCTTGAGCTTCCCTGTGAGGGTTATGAGACTTTATCCACAGTTTAGCGTCTGTTGTGTCACTAACCACCCACATAATGACTTCTCAAACAGGACCACCCCCTAGACAGTCAGTATGCAAAAAACAGGTAGAAATGAATAGGCAGTTAATTGTTTTTTTAACAGACTTGCCAATTAAATGTGTTAATTGTACAGTTCTAATTGAACCAGCTCTTGTTAAGTCGGAGCAAATCACCCAGTTCTCTCTAGTGCGTGTTTTTGGCTGTCTATAGTTTCCTTGAAAAAAATAACACAATGGAAATGCAGAGCTTTGAGTCCTGGCAAGCTTCAGCTGACTTAGTGATAAAAAATATATTTCTCTCTCAGTGGCCCCACAATCACCTTTTTTAGCCAAATTAATCATGCTGCTTAAATTAAGTATTTTGGGGTAAGTCAAGAGAACAAATTGTGACTAAAAAAGGCCTTTTGTTCCTCAGGTTAGTGTTTCTCTGTGTCATAATTTGCTGACTAAATATATTAGAAACATACTTTCCACTGTGTCTTCCCGTCAATGTAACCATGATTGCTGGCTTGTGATTCATGAGCGTTTTGCCACAGTTCAGAGTTACTGCTGGGAGATTTAATAGTCCTCAACAGATGTTGATGATGCATGTTGGAGCCGCAGGGGCAGTTTGCAGGGCTGAAAACTGCTATCAGCTTTCGTTGCAATATGAGTGAGCTTTCTGCTTTACCATCAACTCTCTAGGTTAGCGTGTGTGCTTGCACTGATCATTTATTGTATTCTTTCAAAGCTCCTACTCAAACCAAATTACATGAAGAAGTATCTGGACTTTTATGGGCTGCTTTTTTTGGTATTGTAATCAAACAGTGAACAATTACATCACCCTTAACTCCCTGTTTTTGTCTGTTTTATTTCTACTGTCCCAATTAACACAAATACACACAGTGTAGTGTAATATTTTTTCCAATGTGGTGTCACTCCCTCTGTCCTTCTGACAAAGCATCTGGAGGCAGCTCATAAACAGATGTTTACTGGGCTTTTAAATGTTGAAATAGGTTTTTGAACACAATCGGCTGTGTGCTTTTAGAATCAGATGCCTTTGTCCTTGACAGACCTTTAATATAAACCAGATATCAAATGAGTGGCATGGTTGTATGGTGGTAACTACAGCTGCCTCACAGCCTGTGGGTTCCTGGTTTGATTCCTCGTGGTTTGAATCCTCGACTGGCCCGTCTGTGTGGGTTCCCTTCAGGTACTCCAGCTTCCTCGCAGAGCCCCAAAACATGCATGTAAAGAGTGTGTGTGTCTGATATGGACAGTGATTGAAATAATGGTTTAGAAATGGCCAAAGTGAATATTACTACTATTTATTTTGCAACTGTTATCCAACTTATACGTTTAATTTGTCTCCCCTCAGTCCTCGTTGTTACAATACATTTTTAAATGTGGTGTTGATGTTAAGTATGAATATTTAGCACAATTGTACTTTAGTTTGGTGAACTACCAAAAAACAGAAACCAGCGAGACACTGAGAGCTGCTTTTGGCAAACTCAGAGCATGAAGTCATTTCATAGAGATTCAACGGCCTCCCTGCAGAGAATCCAGGGCATTGTTCTACAGTGTCAGCAGGCAGACTGAAAAGACCCCATGTAGCTTCAACGTGTCTGACTCACACGGTTCTTGGGCTACAAGGGGGAAAAGTCTTATATGTTGGATCACCATATCTGTGTTTTATGCATCAATGTCTCCACAGAATATCAGCTGAAACCACTCGTGAGAGTCAATGACAGCTGCACACATTTTCTTTACATGTTGACTCAGTTGAAATGAATTCTGGCATTTGGAAAAAATTCTGTCATCAATGTCTCAATCAGTTGGAGCTTGTCTTCAAAGCATTTTAAATTGGGGTCAGGTAAGGATGGTAAAATGTAAGAAACGGAGTGTCAGACATTAAACCAAAGCTGATGAGCCTAAAATGGCAGAATACAATGGGCAAACAAACCCTACGGCAACATTGTTCAGGGCAGGTTTCTGCCTCCTCTTTTTCTAAAATGTTTCAGCTTTAACATGTTTTTAAGATGCCATATTGAACTTCGTTCACTGACGGAAGATTTTAAATTGTAGTCTTGAGCCCATGTAATGATTTCCTCAGCAAATCCTGTCTGTCCTTAATGCAGCTCTGCCTGAGGGGTCTTATAAAAAACCCTCATAAAACGTGTCTTTGTTAAATAAGATTAAACGCCTTCTTCTCTTTTAACAGAATTATAGATGCTCACTCTCAACTCTCGGCCGTGATGAGAGCTCCCTGCTGCTCTTGGAAGGCAGTTTATGTGCACCTTGTGCTTTTTGAATAACTCCCATCTTTCCAGAACACAGACAATGCTCTCTTATAGCAGACTGGCACTTGTCTGGACCACAGAAAACCCCTGTCAGAAGACATATGTTTCTCTCCGGGCTCTCTGCTCTTGCCTATCCAGCACTATTTCTCAAACATTTTGGGCAGTACTGAGTAAAATGAAGAACCTTGATAGACTTGTTTTATCTGTGACTGTTTTTATCTTGTTATCTGTGAAAACAATTGTGTGGTGAAAAGAATACCTCCAGTTTTATGTGGAAGCAGGAATTGAAATCTTTTAAACATTTCTGTCTTTCTCTGATGTGGCTTTATAGATCTCCATGGAAATGGGAATTTACACCTTATCAGTACTGCATTATGGAAAAAGTCAAGTGTCAAAACAGAAGTCTGTTGTGAGTGGAAGTTTGAATGTTTGTAGAAAGTAGACTAACTGGATTTTATCAGATAAATAAAAAATATATGTTGTCTAACATGTCCAGCACCGTAAAGTTTATTTGACCCCAGCGATAGATTCCAGTCTCTTTAACAGAAGTGCATCATTATCAAAAAGGCTGTTCAGGGATGGAGTTGTGTACACTGCTTTAACCTTTCTGAGGAGTTTGGATGTTCTCCCTGTACACGTGTGGATTCTTTCAATGATTGTTGCACCGTTGTGTGTCTGTGATGGCCCTGTGATGGACT